ATCTGACCCCCCAAAAATGTCGGCAATGCAAAAGAGTCAAAACAAAAATGCAACTTGCGCAGCAAAAAATTCTGTTTTTCCCCATCTTTGCACAGGATGTAAATACTGGTACCGATACATGTCTAAGTTAAGGAAGATAATGTGTACCTCTATTCTCTGTTCTTAATATGGCAGGTGTTATTTTGCAAGACAAACATGCAGCATCACTGTTCCACTAGATGCTTAGTGAAGCGACTGCTTTAGGCAACTGAAGTAAAGACTCGATCAACTCTCATTTATCAGATTGCCATAGGTTGGAGTCAAATAAATGTGTCTATCCCTTCTGTTTGAAAGTATTAAGTTAACCACTGGCCAGATGTCCATTTTTATTGGAAAAAGCTACTGCAACTCATTCCAACATGGTAAATAGCAACTGCTTTCTTTATACATGTGACACTTTCTTCATAGCCTGATGCTTTTGAAATAACTACTTACGCAGCTACAGGCCAAGGCTATGCTATTTCAAGAGTCAACTAGTTTTTGTGACTTTGAGTGAACTTTGATCAAAGGAGGATGAACTGGACCCTAGTGCAGCAATGAAGTGATCATTTCTTTGAATTGACTAAAGATGTAATATTGCAAAAACAGAATGCATTGAGCAGACCCAATAATAAATTAGGAGTGAAGAAGAAGGGAAGCGCGATAAGAGAGTTATAAGGTTGTTTTGTAGTTTGAAAATGTATTTGGCCATTGTTATCCATATGCATATTCCTCAATGATCAAAGGAGGAGTTTAATCACTGCAGAACCTTGTTTTAGATGTTGTAGGATCTGTAATTTGTCCTTTAGCCTAAGGTGGATGAGCAAGTCATTGGGACCTGTTTGAGCTCCAGATGTGTTTTCAGGATGGTTTCAGCTTCTGTTCTTTTCACTTTGCACTTCCCCTGAATGTAACATCAGTTCATTTGATCTCAGTAACTTATACAAGACCAGGACACTGGATTTACTTAAGACAGGAAGGCTGAATGTGGAAAAAGTTAAGTTCCCAATTGTATTTATTGGAGGCAAAAAGATTATGTATATGATGACGTTATTCACGTACAATGTAGATAAGGAAAATTGTGCATGCAAGATTGCAGAAAGAAAGAGAGAGGAAGAAAGTGAAAACAATGTCTAAGAAATAAGCACTATGTAATGATGCCCTTACCATAACATTTTGTACATTGTAGGTTTAATTGGTGATTTGTAGAAACAAAAACAACAACTGCTGTTTTGAAGCACTGAGTTCAGCTGATTAGAATGTTTGCAGAATCCCCTTCTCTTGGTAATGTTGCTAAAATGAAAGCAAATGCACCACACTTGGGGATCTCAAGAGTAAACTTTTTTATTTAATAATATTTTTTTAAAGGGTTGAAGTCAACAACATTTACAATGGTATAATATTGATTTTTAATAATGAGCACTTTGCACAATAGAATCAAAAGCATGTAGTCCAAGTAACAAATTATTTATAGTGTAATGTATATTAATCTGCAGTTATACTGGTAGTTTGTACTTTTATTTGGCCTGTGTAAACGGATGGATGGTGTAATGTATACCCAAAATACCAACTACCAAGCAGAGCATTTGCATAGTCGAGCCTGGAGGTGATGAAGGCATGAACAAGAGTTTCAGCGGCCTGAGGGGTGAGGTGGTGGCAGAGTCGGGCGATGTTACGGAGGTGAGGGAAGGCAGAGCAGGTCATGGCTTGGATGTGGGGAAGAAAAGACAGTTGAGGGTCGAACAAGACACCCAGGTTCCTGACTGGCTCGGTGAGTTGTAGTGTGCAGCCATGGAGGTTGATGCTGCCAGAGCCTGAGGTGCTGAGGCGCTGGTGTGAGCCAATCAGGAGGGCCTCAGTCTTGTTCACATTCAACTGTAGGAAGTTTGCCCTCATCCAAAACTTGATGTCCGACAGACAGTCTGTCAGGACAGCAGTGGTCCTGGAGTTGAGGGTGGAGGCAGAAAGATAGAGTTGGGTGTCATCCGCATACATGTGGAAGTTGACTCCATGTCTGTGGATGATGTCACCAAGGGGAGCATATAGATATTAAAGAGGAGAGGGCCAAGGACAGAGCCCTGGGGGACACCAGGCGTGACAGTGCGGGGGCTGGAGGAGAAACCGTTAGAGGCAACAAAAGGTCAAAGTATTCCTTGTTTCTGTGATATCAATACATTTCATACTCAAACTTGTGACATTATGGGAGTAGTTGGGCCTTCCTACACAACTGTTTTACCAGGGCACTGCTTGGAGAGCTGTCAAGCTATCACCCCTCATACCCGAGAAAAACTACAGCATGGCACATCCTTTTGAATCCTGTGAATCTGTGTGGCGTAGCAATTGTGTTTGAGTGAGATTGTAGTACTCATTTAAGTTTTATGTGCAGATTTCTCCTCAGTAGGAATGGGTGGGGAGCGTTTCTAGGCAGTAATTTTGTTTAGGGCTTTGGTAGAATGAGACTTTCCCAAACACATTCCTACTTGTATTTTAAATGGGATTGAATGTGTATCATCTTGTTTGATTGCCTGCTGCAATACTGTATAAGATTAATATTTGTTTTGTTAATTGATGAAAATATGGAAGGATTTGCTTCTCCACAGCTCTGGCTGTATCGTCGGCCTTTCAAATCTGCTTGGTGAAAAATGCTGTTTGCTAATATTTAATTTAGACTCCAAATTGACAGAGATTTAATCCAGTGGTTCCATTTTCAAGAAACTCCAATAATACCCTTATCTCGCTACTTCAGTAGTGTAATTCTGTGCTTGGGCACAAATGATGTTAGCTTCAAAGCTCTGGCTTTATGACCAATAAAGCTGGAGATAAGTGATAGTATTGTCTAGAAGGAAACAAGCTTGTAAAGCCATAATGTCTTGGAGAACGGGGTCGTTAGGTTCCTTGAAGGGGGAATTCAGTGTTCCATAATATCAGTATTTTTGGTTGATATCATACCATGAGACTTGGGCTTTCTTTTAAAGTGTTCTCCTCTGAATTTTGTTTTCCTTTTAATTATTGGTATCCGTAATAGATTTTGGGGTAATCTGGATATATATTTTTGTATTGTGTGTGAGTATATTATATGCACAGTATTGCTCCCTTCTCTTGATTTTGCTGCTTTATTTCAAGCTTATTATTTAAGCCTTATTAAAAGCTTTTTTGTAATTCTTTAAATGAACATGTGCTCACGTACATCCGGAGGCGATTCCCAGCATAAAGGGCGCTATATAAATGCAAGTTGTTGTTTCTAAGCACGGTTGAAAAGGAAAGTTTTCAGGCGGGACTTGAAAGAGGGGAGAGAAGGGGCAAGGCAGAGGGATTGAGGGAGAGCGTGCCAGAGTTTTGGGGCATAGTGGCTGTAAGCGCGACCTCCGATGGTGGGGCGGAAGGTGTGAGGGACCAGCAGGAGGCCGGTGCCAGTCGACCGGAGGTGCCGGGTGGTGGATTGGGGAGAGGAGGTCAGAGAGGTAGGGAGGTGCAACGGAGTGAATGAATTTGAACGAGAGTGAGGATCTTGAAGTCAATCTGTTTGGTGATGGGGAGTCAGTGGAGCCTGGCCAGAACTGGTGAGATGTGGGTATGGAGTTTGGTCCGGGTCAGTATGCGGGTGACAGAGTTTTGAATGAGCTGGATCTTGTGAATGGTGGAGCTGGGGAGACCAGCGAGGACTGCGTTGGAGTAATCCAGGTGGGAGGTGACAAACGCATGCATTTTAAACCAGATATCTATATTGCTCTTGATTAAAATTTATTTCTGAGGCATGTCTCTCTACTTTGCACTTATTGTGACTTAACACAAAATTTACATACATTATAAGAGAAATAGCACAAAAGATAGTAGATGAAGTTGATTGATTCTGACCCTGTTTTAATGTATTCCTAAGGTAGATGCAGAAATGCATGGGCATATTAACACCCACAATGATGTAAGGTTGTGTTTTAAGGAACACAAAACCTTGCATGGATAACAGGAGCTGAATGGAAGAATCAACAACAACTTGCATTTATGTAGTGCCCCTCACAAGGGTAGCGTCCAGAGCGCTTGACAATGGCGGAGCACAATGCCAAGCCGGGGCGAGGGCGAAGGTGACCGCACCCACAGAGAATAGAAAGGAGATGGAAGGGGCAATGAGGAGGGATAGAGGAAGAGTGTTCCAGAGTTTTGTGGCGTTGTGGCTGAAAGCACGGCAACCAATGGTGGAACGGAAGGCACAAGGGCACAAGCATTATTATTATTATTATAATTATTATTAACAAATCTCTAATACCATGAGTGTTTCCGTTGCTCAAGTGGTCATTTATCATCTGACTTAACAGTCAGCATTTACTGCTTATTTGGTAAGGGAGGAAGTGAAGGAAATTATCACAACCAATCTTCATTACATCTACCTACATGCTTTCCAGCAAGGTCAGCGATGAGAGGTTTTAGCAAATTTTCAGCCTTTCAGAGTGCAGAATTTTGGTAAATTAGGATATTTATCAAATAAATTTGCCAAAATTCTTCACAATGTCAAATGTTAAGAAAATAGCCTTGTCTAAAGCCAGGTGGATGGAGGAAACTTGAAAAATTACTGGGTTGTGTGGATCATCAGCACACTGGATTTATTGATCACTTGTTGATGAAGTGTAAAATACACCTTTTTAAGTTTAAAACCCCAAAATATATGTAGAACAGATTTTGTTGTGGAGACACTGCACTTCATATTTATTGTGGAATTTGTCCTGAGATTGTAACTCTTATTTGGGGGTGGCAATCCTCTGATTACCTTCTCTATATTAAAGAGAAAGTAATCAGGGGATAAAAGTTACTGAATACTTTTTCATGTGAATAGCTATTTCAATGTTGTAAATACTTATTTTTCATTGAAATTTTAATTTTCTGGTTTTGTGTATTTTATCAAAGTCCACAAAATGTGCATTTTTTTTGTATTAAAAGAAGTTGTAAGTGATTAAATGTTAAAAATCTTTCTGATCTCTTTTGCTTTGCAGGCTGTATCTGCAAGCAGAGTGGCACTTGGTCTATATTGCTGCACTGTAGCTGTCCTTTTCGCTGTGATAAAGACAATCAACTATCGGCTTCATATGATGTTTGAGGAAGGAGAAGTAATACAACAAAGCAGTGTTGCTCAGACTGATACTGGTGCAAAGGACAGAGCAAGCTCTGGAAGACTGAATAATAACGAACAGGAACTAGTGCTTTCAGTTGATCCGGGGTAAGAAAACACAGATACATATTTTTTAAGCTAAGATTGATGTCCACGTATATATTTTAGGTGGAGCATTTTCCTTTGAGTTTACGGAGAGGAGGAGATTTGAGTATTGAGATATTTTCCCAATGTTCCCTTTTAGTTTCTTCGTGTTACACATCATATATCAAATGCAAGGATTATTATTATTATTATTATTATTATCACCAGCTGAGCAGGAGAATGGGTGATTTTTCCTTTGCTGTCTGGTTGGTGTTGCTTGCAGTTGTGAGAGGCAACCCCCTCCAGGGGGCACAATGCCACCACATTTATATTGTAGGGCTGCTTTCTGATAGCGAGATCAGGAATTCATCCTAAAATAGACTGTGTGTTTGAAACTGCATCTTGTACCTGCTGTTGTGTCTCTTCTTTCCCTCTTCAGAATTATTGCAAAACTATAATTTCCAAAAGAAAAAGCTCTTAAACTCTTTAAAATAAATTGACTGTTTTGCACACTGTAATATATGATTGCAAATTAGTTTTGTTGGGAAAAGCACATTTTATCTGATTATTCTTATACAGAAAGATATAATTGGTAGATTGCATAGTGGCATTTGTGAATAGCACCATATAAATGAAATCTTTAATTAATTATCTGCTCTTGTCTCTTCCTCCTGCTCCCCCATAGTTGAAATGTCAGTAAATGTCCTATTACGTGCCTGTTTAACTCGCATATTTTGATGCCTCTAGTATAGAATTATTGGTTAAGAAAGTACAACCACAAACATAATTTTGACATATATCAATCTTATATTTGTTTAATGCTAGAAAAGGTAATAACAATTTAAACTGAATAGAAAAACACAACACACTAGAAATTGATATTGGAAGGGAGTGAATCTCTATTAGGTGAAAAATATGGCATTTCAAAACAACAACAAATTGCATTTATATAGCGCCCTTCACTCGGAGAGCTTAAACAGATTTAGTAATGTATTGAATAATTATCAAATCTGTTATGAAATGTTGTATTTTTCACCCAGACAAGGAAATGGAATTTATTCTTCATTTAAATGAATACCTGTTCAGAAATTATGTCCATAACTGGAGGTTTTACAACCACCTTCTCTTCCAATAATTCTTTAGTAATTAATTAGATTTCCAATGCCCCCATTGAATCATTCTACCTCTAATTCAGTAGTGTAGTCTTGAGGCCACTTTGTAACACTTTCAAATTAGAAGCAAGAACTTCAGATGATCTTTTATTGGATTTGTCTTTAAAGGAAAAGACCAACACAAAGAAAGTGAAGCCAGGCAGCAAATAATGGAAGAAACTCATTGTATATATAAGAATCTCCCAGATGTTAATTTATTCCATCAGCAAGACATTGCTTTCATGTGAAGTGCTGCATGGAGATGCATTAGATAATGAAGTCTACCAGGAAATTCATTGAGTTCTCTGAACTGAGTATGTTCCTCTTCAATTCCTCAAATTATATGCTCTGAATAGGTTCTTATTAACAACAACAACAAAATTACATTTATAGAGTGCCTTTCATGTCGGGAGGACGTCCTGAGGCGCTGGCCACTCAGGGGTCAGGATCCGAGCATGGGGAAAGGTTGGCGTAGGGGTGAAGGAAGACAGAGAGGTGGAAGGGCGACCGAAGGCACGATTGAAGAGGAGGGTCTTGAGACCGGCCTTGAAGGAGGCAAGGGAGGAAGCGAGGCGAAGGGTCTGTGGGATGGAGTTCCAGAGTGTGGGGGCAGAGAGGCTGAAAGCCTGGCCACCGATGGTAGGGTGGGTCGAGCGGGAGACATGGAGCAGGCCAGAGCCCGCTGAACAGAGGGAACGGGCAGGTTGGTAGGGAGTCAGCAGGTCAGAGAGGTAGGTGGGGGCAAGGCCACATGGCCTTGAAAGTGAGAATGGGGATCTTGAATTCGATCCTCTGAGGGATGGGGAACCAGCGGAGTCGGGCAAGAGAGGGAGTGATGGGGTCATGGAGCCTGGTGGGCGAGAGTACATGAGCTGCAGAGTTTTGGATGATCTACAGCTTGTGAAGGGAAGAGTTGGGAAGGCTGAAGAGGCGGAAGTTTCCATAATCGAGGCTTGATGTGACAAATGCATGGGTAAGGGTTATTAAATGCCACAGGCTGTTTTGCCTATGCGTTAGCCAAAGTGCTGGTGTCCATCACAAAACAATTGCAAGGAAAGCATTTCACTTGTGTTAGAAACTCCAACTAGTTTTTTTGGACCAGTGAGAAATCTAAAATTAGATCCTGCAGAGTGTTGAATTAACTTCTAAGTAACTCGTATTTTGCACAGTGCTTACACAAACATTACATATTTACATACGATATCTATGATCATTGTAATTGACTCAAAAATGTTTTTGTGAGCCTCCCTCTGTTCAATATTTCTATATACTGTAATCAGCATACAAAGGAGACTAAAATATTTTATTCATAGAAACCGTTCAGATCTACGTTTTAGATATTTTCAAAGCAGCACTTACTTGGAGAATATCTTTGTCAGAAAAATACAGGTATTGGGAGAACAGAAACATCAACTTACCATGCCAAATCTTTAGTGTATCTTCAATGCACAACATTGGCAAATGTGACTAAGGACGTATATTTCTTCTGAGTTGTGAAGAATTGATATTGAAGTTGTGTAGTACGGATAGTTATCAATCTTGCAGAATTTTACTCTGTGAAACATATATAGTAATTGGCAAATTTTATATGCCTTTTTTCTCTTTTCCTTTATGTTATTTCCGTGAAATGATAGGAATCCTGTGGAGGATATTGCTTTGACTGAATTCAGCAGAGATATTTCATCACCACCAGACTGCAACAACTCAAAGCAGTCTATGCCTGACCTTGGGGTCAGTGATGGATCGGTAAGTAACTGGGTGGCAAGGAGCGATTTGTGGTTGGCATAGATAATATAGATGTAAGCAGGTTACTTGATTTAAACGGTGATCCTAGAACTGAATAATAATCATAATAATCCTTGCATTTGATATAGCGCTTTTCATGTCGGGAGGACGTCCCAAAGCGCTTCACAGAACACACTGTAAAGTGAATTGACTGTATATTTGTGGGCGAACGCGGCAGCCAATTGCACACAGCAATGTCCCACAAACAGTCATAGATTGAAAATGACCAATTTATTATTGTTTTTGGTTTTGGAGGGATTATTATTAGGCTCTGTGTGGAGTAAGGAAACTTGCCCAAGGTTTTGCCCTGCCTGGACGCAAATGCAACGTGAACAAGTCTCAAAAAAGATAATCAATCCGAACAGTCATTTTCCCACTGAGTGGAAGACTTGTCAAATTGATACAAACTAATACTGTCCTGATCGGTTCCTTTTAAAAAGGTGATGAATCAATACCTAGTTAAGAACAGGATTGAAAGTTACAGATACATATTGAGCAGATGATGAATCACTCTGTTGAGCACAGCAACTGTGACCTAAGGACAGTGAAAATGTCATCCATAGAATGACCTGCTCAGGATTCAATACAATATTCGATAAAATAAAAAGTAATCCTTGCATTTGAAACCTTTAGTCGAACCATCTCAAAATGCTTTGAGTTACTTATTGTAATGTGTAATGACTGCATTTGTGAGTGAATATCAATATCTTTCAATATCTTGGAATTTCACACGAATTAAGGATCAGAAAAAATCATGGCATCTTGTTTTGGAAGATTTTTCTTGCATTTATTAATTTCCCTGAAGAGATATATTAGTAGGCTGGAGCTCCTGATAGTGAAAATTGTACTTGGTTTGTTGGTGGAAGCATGTTTGATGAGATAAATTAACTTTAGTTAATGTTTATGGATTACATTTTAGAAAATCAAGAATGGTTTTGAAATATTATCAAATAAACTTAATAAAAGATTGTGGTGTGCTTTTTCCCTGTGACTTTCTAATGCTGTCTTGTAATCTACAACTAAATTTTATGAAATCCTTTTTATGGATGCATGGAAAAAAGTATTCATATTATACAAATGTACTTTGATTGACGATGAAGTGTTTTCTTAAAAGGCTCAATATGCCTCCAAATTTGCAGTCCTATTCCACTCCCCTTTCCTCAACTTGTGTTGATTTTGTGTGACAAATCTTATACATTTTGAAATAATGTAAACTGTGCCTGGTGTATGTATAAGACACTTAGCAACAAATTATTGCTTTCTGGCAGAAAAGATGGACACGTTGGAAAATGCTGTAAGGGTAGCCTTAAAATAAAAGCAGAAAATACTATTTAAATGAGGGGAGAGGGAAATGTGATCCCCCGCCAACCCCCATCTCTTTTCCTTCACTTTAAATTGGTTAAATACAAACTGCTCTCAAAAATGATTTTTTTTCAACCAGTGGTGAAAATTAAACTGCAGTAAAAGATCTCTGAGGGCACTGATATTTCTCAATGCTGAGTATTAGGTCATTGACTATTAACCTGTAGTCATATTCTTCATTCTCCTTTGGGGAATGACAGAGCCCAGTGGCACCTGATGTTTAATTTCAATGTATTTTTTAATTTGGAGCTGGAAGCTAAATGTTTTTTGAAGCACGCTGCTGGCTTGTTCCCTTGCCAATAGGCAGGTTGTGGATTTTATCCCAAAGGCTGCTTATCACTTGCGGTTACCTGCTTCATTTGGGATGATTGTTATCAGTTTGAACACAATTTGGGTATTAATATTCTGCAAGTGCAAGATTTAGTGAAGGGGGGAAATAACTGCCATAGCTTTCTGCTTTAAAAGGAGTCTGGACTCTCTATGCCAAGGTTAGCTTTTATGAAGGAAGGTAAGTGTGCTACATAAAGCTGCTGATGGGTGGGGGGAATAATTTGCAAAATATAATTTTATTCTGTAGCCAGACTCTTAAAGTGCGGTTGATGGAACTGCATGTTTAATTACAACTTGGAAAGAAGATCAAGGCCATCTTTTATAAATGGTTATTAACCATTCCAGCATTTTAACGTTACCAAACAAAACAACTTGAATTTGTATAGTGCTCTTCTCAAAGAATAATATCTCAGAGCACTTTACAGTGACCGGACAGGAACTGAGCAGGGGACTTGGGAGGGTGCAGTGCCATTAAACTGGTCTGCTGCACTTATATTGATGTTTCTCCCTCCTGGTGTGGAACTTTCATTTAACATTCATTTAAAAAGAAATCAAAAAGTTGATTTACTACAAAGAACAAAAAATGTTGTAATTAACATTTTTTTTTAAAAGTCAACAAATAAAATGAAAATCGAGCAAATCATAGTTGACCATGCAAATCTGGCTTGTAAAAATATTTTTTAAAATATACTAATTTGGTCATTCAATCCATGACTGCTTGTGCGACACTTTTGTGCGCAATTGGCTGCCGGTTTTGCTCACCAAATATACAGGCAATTCACTTTACAGTATATTCTGTGAAGCACTTTGAGACATCTCGAAGATGTGATAAGGCGCAATATCAAATGCAAGGATTATTATTGTATTTGACAATACATTACCTGTCCTCCCCAAGAGAGCGAATCTCAAGAGTTCTTTCCACTGAATTTAAAGATTCACTCCTCACATCATTAATAATTTAAAACAGGTTGAGGTTAAGCTAAAAGATTGTGTTTTTGTTTTACTGGCAGTAATTTTTTAAATTTGAAAGAAATAACACATCTGGTGATTGAATCTGAAAGTGGGATATTTGTATTTTCTCAGCAAATATTACTCTGCTTTTCAGCCACACTGAAAATGTTCTGTATTCATTGCTGTTTCTAACACACTAATAAAATCTTTCTTTGTTGCTAATAGGAACTACCAACAAATCCTAAAGATGCTGAAGAGCTTAAAGGTATTTGATTGTTCCCTTTGATTGTTTCAAACCCTAACATTTTGATATGACTACCTGCTCGTGTGTGTTACAATGTGCAGTACCTGTCTAAATGTGTAGCCACAGATGGTTTATGATGCTGATTAGTCAGGATTTCTTCCAGTTCTGTAGCTGAGTCCCTCCATTTCAATACAAAAAAAGTCAAAAGCATTGAATGATGCAGTTATTTCTTCTGACTGCTGTTTTCATCACATGTGAAGTTTGGATGAAGACAGCCCTCCGGCCCATTTGATCTCATCCTTCAATTCCTATCAACAGGATCAAGTTATTTCTTAAATGAGCCCAGTATCCTGGCCTCTATCACTCTTCCCAGTAACCCATTCCAGCTGTTGATCACCCTATGTCTAAAGAAATATCTCTTGGCATTCCTGAACCTGTGATCTCTTGCATCCCTTTAAACTGTAGAAATCTGATCTTAAATATGCATAATCCGGAAATCTGCTTAGGTTTAGTCTCAGCTGCTTAGATGTATAACTGACAGGAGACCAAGCAAAATGTGATTACCACATCAGCTAACTCAGCACAGACTGGAATTCGAATGTGCACTTTTCCACTAACCTCCCTTTTTTCATTTCACGATTATCCTCAATTTGTGCTCCCTTGTTGCTGACTCAGCAAACAGTGAAAGTCCATGTGGAAACATCGTCAGTTTTTCATGTAATTGCTACAGTTTTATAAGAGTAATAATCCTTTACCGGAAAAAACATCAGTAGAATATGTTTTATCTCTTAAATAGCTTTTTGACATGTTTTCCATTCATGTGCCTATATAACAAAGAGATGAATAGATTCATATAGTGCTGAAATGTTAAAGACCTTTTGAAATATTAAAAAATTACTTTTAACAAAACATCGGAACAGTAGTAGACCATTCAGCCTATCAAAACTATTCTGCCATTTTATTTGATCTATTATAAAATATCTTTTAATCCCATTTCCTCTCCTTTTCTCCATTTCCATTAATAATCTTACATCCCAATTAGTCATATTTTTAAACATCCCATTTGAATTTGTATCTACAGATTTCACATTCTCGCAACCCTTTGTGTGAAGACATGTTACCCGAATTACTTTCTTTTTCTAAGGCACATAACTGCATTATTTTAAATAAATACTGTGAATACTGGCATTGTGCTGTTGCTGCACTGGTTACAGAATGATGGTTCCACCAAATTCTCATAGCAGTGTTTCCAATGTTTCATTAAGAAAGATTTCCCTGATCCACCTGCTCTGTAGAATATAGTGCAGATTAATTGCCCAGTACTAAAAAATAAAACAACTGGAACTAAGTTCAGATCAAATGCAACTTTGGAACTGTGTCAGCTCTCACTATTTAAAGATGGTGTCAATCAATATACAAATACCAGTATTTCTGAATGTCAATAACACATAAATTGTAGAGTTCCTTAATATTACAAGTACGCACTATTACAAAAGGCATTTGTGGGAATTCTGAGTAAATTTATAGTGATCTTTTGAGCTGCATCTTTATGATTTTTGTGTGCTTTTTGACTTTGGTGGATTTGAATAGAGTCTGTTAAAGTTTTAATACTGAAAGGTGTTAAATGTATTGCAGAGAGAGACATTAGAAGACTTATTGGAGAAAGCAATAACTTACTACTTGATCCAGCTCAAGGAGTTCTATTGAAGGTTGGAAAAGAAAGAGAAGGTATTTCAGTATTCTAATACAAATGATGTACTTGTGGGTCTTTACATACTCTTTTACAATTTCTAATGACCTAAAAAAGTAGGAATTCCTGAGCACTCAAGACTGTATACATGGATGCAGAATATTCATTTGTGTTCTCCCTTTATTTTGGTGAATTTTAATTTTGTGCTTATCAAGGTGAGATTTTAGTTCTGGGATTTTGCCATTTTGGGCACTTATTGTAAATAAAATCAAGCACTTAGATTCGGTACAACACAGTTGATTGGAGATCAAAATTCCCTCTATATTCATGTATACAATCTTGAGTGCTCAGAAATTCCTACCCCATTCTCAGAACATCTTACACTTCCTTCGTCATAGTTTGGTTTGAAATACACCCACTAAGTATGTCTCATTTGCATGTATGTCTATAAACTATAGCTTAAAGTGCAACATGGTCATGCAGTTCCAGCACTTCCAGTAACAACAACAACGTGGAGTCCTGTAGCTCAGTAGTTAGAGCACTAAGACCTGAGTTCAATTCCAGGCAGGGCGAAACCTTGGGCAAGTTTCCTTACTCCACACGCCTAATAATAATCCCTCCAAAAACCAGAAACAATAATTAAATTGGTCATTTTCAATCTACGACTGTTTGTGGGACATTGCTGTGCGCAATTGGCTGCCGCGTTCGCCCACAAATATACAGTCAATTCACTTTACAGTGTGTTCTGTGAAGCGCTTTGGGACGTCCTCCCGACGTGAAAAGCGCTATATCAAATGCAAGGATTATTATTATTATTATTAATAGTGACATAACTGGAGAGGCAGTTATTTCTGAAATATCCAGTTATAAGCAAGGAACAGGAGAAGGTGCATTTCACTCACTAGAAGAGCATGTATCATAAAAAACAATGTGTAGATATATCAAATGATGGTCTTCGCTTATAACACTGTAGATCTAGCAAGATGCTTTATAATGTAGTATTCCTGCATGTTTCATTTATAAATTTAACAAATTCATAGAATGGGTGAAGTTTGCAAGAAATATGGGAATACATTTGTTTTAGAATAAACTAGATGGATGTCTATGTTTTTGCAGGGCATTTTTTTGAGAAAAAGATGGACACATTTTTTTTTCCCGATGGTCCATCTCCTGGTTATTTTGATGTGAAATCTTTGCTGTTTGTTAAGGTAACCCTATATTCATTACATTGCAGATCCCATTTTCAACAATCCAACACCAGTGATGCCCTACGATTCTCCAGTTTGTAGCCGTCAATCTGTTTCTCCTGTTGCAGCATTCAGTGGGAAAAGACGCTACTGTGCATTAGAAGAAGATCTGCCTTTGTTCCCGGTACCATCTACTTTGCCATGCCCAGCTATTGTCTGTCAGCGTAATTCCACCAGATTGTTAGATGATTCTAATAACCCTAAAATGGTACATGTTCCCCCTCAGCTCTATGCTACAACAGCTATGTATGGAGAACCAATTATTTCTGAAGCGTCTAGTTATAAGCAAACAACAGGAACAGAAGATACAATCCATTCACTGGAAGAGCCTATATCTAAAAAACAATGTGCAGCAACATTAAATGAGGATCTTTGCTTGCGAAATATTTTGGATATTGAAATCAACATGTTGGTGACTGATGTTGCAGATGATTCTGTGACAGAACAATATGAGGCTTCAGTGTACAATCTGAATATCCTTACTGGAAGTGGTACATACTCTCAGAAATGTTTCTTTAACTGCATTAATGAAAACGCTCAGCCTGGTGTTAGCCGCACTGATTATCCATGTGGAAATTGCCTGACTGAACCAATTGATGACTCTGAAAGGATTAAAATAGAAGATCAAACAACAGAGGAGAGAGAGGACGGTTTGGATGAATTGAAAGATGAAGTGGTTACTGCTACTGGCATTACAAATCCTTATCTACTGAAACCTGTAGAACATCAGGAAATGGACCCAAGCAAGAACTCCAACAACCAGTTGGTGAGGTATTTGGGGGAAAAAACAAATCGGAATAATGAAAGTCCACAGTCTAGCAGAGGATCAAGTTTTCTGAATGTACAGGGATCTGATTCATCAGACATTCCAGTTATTACACTGGAAATTTCTGAAGAAGATAGATCACATGATGATAATTCTCTTGGTAGCAGTAGCTTAATTCCTTCTTCTGAAACTATGCAGGCATTTGTATATGTTAATGTAGATGAAGAGATACAAATGCCAGGAGCCAGTGGGTCCATATCAAAAATAGACTTATCTGTAAGACCAAAGTCATCCAAATCCCTTAAACAGGCTGTAGACCACCAAATGTACAACAAACCAAAGTCAAACACTCAAACACACTTAAGTCCTAGCTCAACTGTTGGCTCTGATGAACATTGGACTACAAGTGGAACCCCCAAGGACCATGAAAGTTGTGAAGATGAAGACTTTAGTGAGCACAATAGTCTTAGCAGTGCTTTAAGTCTCCAGTCTCATCATATTCTGTCAGTGGATAGCTCTTCCAGCAGTGTTTCACAGTCCTGTCCTTCCCCAGATCACACTTGCTCACATCTACAGGCTCAGAGAGATGTAAGAGCTACCTCAGATTCCTTCTTGAAAGTCATACCTTGCTTGATAGAAAACCAAAAGCAATATGATCAACACATTGATGGGGATTGCTCTGAGAAAACCCATGTCAGGGTTCTTAGTGTGGACAGTGGAGCAGATGTAGTTTTAAGCAGAACCTCCAGGGGGAGCCCCAGTGACCATGGAAGGACATTAACCACTTCAAAATCAGATTTAGAAGCAAAAGAAGGACAAGTACCAAATGAATCAAACTTCATAGAATTCATATCCTTACTGGAATCAATTAATAGCTCCAGGATGAATGCAGGCAATCCAACAGTCTGGACTTGTGAACATAGAGAAGAGGGTGCTGTGGGAGGAGGTATGATTTATTTCTTTGGATTCTGGGCTTGAATTTACGCACACCATGTAATTTAAGCTAACAGTATGTCAAATTATTTTCTTGCACCGATTTTCTACATAGCTTTAAGTGCAAAAGCAAGATGTCATGGTTATTTCCCTCTGCTATTAGCTGCACAGACAGTAGACAGAATAACGTGCTTTGATTATGAATTGGTTGAGTGTCAGTCAACTTCAGCTAAATAGCCCCTAACAACCTATTTTATCTATTCTGTGCATATTACGTGCCAATGTACATTGCCAAATCTTAATGAGGCTGGACTTGAACCAAGAAGTTAGATCTCCAAAGGGGTCAAATATATATTTCTCATTAGGATCTCCTAGGATAATATCTTAAGATCTATACATGAAAGGACAAAAGGGAAGTACTTTTCCTTATAGTATTGGTTTTAGGTCCCTCAGGCCGCTGAAATTCTTGTTCATGCCTTCATCACCTCCAGGCTCGACTATGCAAATGCCCTGCTTGTCAGCCTTCCCAACTCCTCCCTCCACAGACTGCAGATAATCCAGAACTCTGCAGTCCGTGTCCTCTCCTGCACCAAACTCCGTGACCCCCTCTCCCCCATTCTCGCCCGACTCCATTGGCTCCCTATCCTTCAGATGATCCAGTTCAAGATCCTGGTCCTCACCTACAAAGCCCTCCATGGCCTCGCCCAACCCTAACTCTGCAGCATCCTAACCCCTACCAACCCGCCCGCTCCCTCCGCTCAGCCGGCTCTGGCCTGCTCCACGTCCCTCGACCTACACGCCCCAACATTGGCGGAAGAGCCTTCAGCCACTCTGCCTCCAACCTCTGGAACTCCACCCCCCAATCACTCCGCCTTGCCCCCTCCTTAGCCTCCTTCAAGTCCCGCCTCAAAACCCTCCTCTTCGACCATGCCATCGGTCACGCCCCCTTCCCCTCCCTTCTCCCTCTCCTGACCCCTGCTTGGGTCTGAAATTTTGAACACTGTCCAGCGCCTTGAGACGTCCTCCCAACTTGAAAGGCGCTATACAAATGTAATCTTGTTGTTGTTGTTGGTTTCTGTTGAATACTTTCTTATTGCAGAGGATTGTTTAAGCAAGACACTGCACAGCAGCATATTGGTTTCCCACAAAGAAATAATAATAATTCTTGCATTTGATATAACGCCTTTATCATGTCTTCGAGTCATCTCAAGCGCTTCACAGAATATACTGTAAAGTGAATTGACTGTATATTTTGTGGGCAAAACACGGCAGCCAATTGCGCACAGAAGTGTCCCACGAACAGTCCTGGATTGAAGTGACCAATTTATTATTATTATTATTTTGAAGGAATTATTAGCCCTGGAAAAGCGATCCGCCAATCAACTAACAACCAGATTCCTACTTACTGCTAGGTAAACAGGCATGTGGAGTAAGTCAACCCAACATTTCCTGCTGCTGGGAATCAAACCCAGGTCTCTCGCTTGCGAGGCAAGTGCTCTAACCACTGAGACCATTTATTTGTGGCTTTGGGCATCGCTTCCATAACTATATAATCAGAGGCCTTGGTGCAGATTATTTAACTGGCTAAACACCTCTTTGGGGGAAAGGTTCATCCACCTGAAAGAAAAATGTTAGGAAGAGGAGACAATTTTTTTTTCAGAATTTGCTGTTCGACTTAACTTCAGCAGAAGCCAACATCTGAACACCACTCTGTACTCCTGTCAATATGCCAAGGGCCCAGCCAAAGTGGATGCTGTACAGTGGAGTGAGCCAAACATTATCATTCCCCCTCCTACTCCTGCCACTTTAGTAAAGCACAACAACCACCAGCTCAACTGACAACTGTGAAAAGTCTCTCAGTAAAGCTTAGGTGAATAATAATAATAATAATAATAATCCTTGCATTCACGCTTGCCGGAATGAATGGGAGGAAATGCTATTGCATTTCGTATAGTGACTGAAAAGTTTCAAAGAGCTTCACAGAATATATTGTAAAGCGGATCGACTGTGTATTTTGTGGGCGTAAAATGAAACCTAGAATTTCCTGCTGCTGTGGTGCTTGGCGGATATTGTATTGAGACCGTTTTTAATGGCGTTTTTATAATGGTGTTTTTTAAAACGTTTTTTTGTGTATTTCCCAGATCCTGTAATTCCAGTAACAACAGAAAATGCAACTTTAATTAAGAGATACCAAGAACACAACAATATGCTGAGAAGACCAGCAATACGAAGGCGCCACATTGTAGGAAGTAATACAACTCTACCACCATCCCTTGTCAGCTCGCCTCTAATGTAAGTTTATTTTCGCTTGTTCTTTGTATGCAGTTCTGATAGAATGCAATTAGACAGGCCAATGAAGCTGCTCTGTTGTTGGAGGGATGCCTTGTGGCTTCAGATCGTTGTGCCACAGAATAGCAGGATACAGTTTTACTTTCTTCACCTTTTGACATACTCTCCTGAAGGCATTATGGAGTATTGTTTCATGGGCTTTGGCAGCCATCATGTACCTCTCCCAATTAGAAATCTGGACAGCAAATGTTGACAGACAATTTGGTTGTCACAGTAGGGCTCCAACCAATGTCCAAACTAACGTGAAGCAGAGGTCACTATATTGTCATCAGAAGTGGGCGACCTCGCCATATTAATGGAGAGAAGCAGAGCTGGAGTTTGGTAAAGGAACCCGAAAAAGGAACTTCCCTGCCATGTAGAAATGTGCAGAAATGTGGAATATAATGAATTAAGTAGAAGGTTTACTCACTATTTAATATTCACACACTGAAATTCCATGAATATTTCTCATAGGCACAGCACTTCCTTCCCATAATAAAGCAAAGAGCTAATTTTTTAATATTAAAAAATAATTGGACCATGAGAATCGGGTTTAAGCAGTAAAATGTCGTTTTTTAAGAAAAATGTACGATACTTCACTTTAAAACAAATCACATTCTGTTGTCTCTGAATCCCAACCATGATTCTACCCCCTCCCACTTGCCAGAGTGAATGGGAGAGAAATGTGATTAACCCCTTTCTATCAATAATTATACCCATTTTCTTAGTTATTCTCATTGCATTTCCATTGTTTATGAGTAGGATTGCTAGTGTTCTTTTTTTGACAAATCATTTATGTATAAATCATTTATTTTACCTTTATTTTTCTGAATTTTTTATTTTTTAGGGAACTTTTCGACTACAATTATAGCCGACTTCTGGGTTTTGAGGTTGCTGCAGATGTCACTTCTTGTGCTCTGTGATAAATATGTTTTCTTTGAAAAAAAGTTTAACAATGGGAATTCATTTTCCTTGATTTGGAGAAAATTGGAAAACCCAGTGAATACTGATTAAAATTGGAAACCAGCAAGCCTATATATCAGTTATACCAATTTAGATATGACTTCTCCAAGTTTTCACTTTAGGTGGATATGCTTATTGTGCTGTTGAATTCAATGCACATGAAATATTTTACAGCTTACAGGATGGTCAACTCCAGGCATCTCCCCAGTTGCAGAATCATTCTCATTCATTACTGTTGAATGGCTCAGTGTTACAAAGCAGTCCGTCAAGGCATGAAGCTTCATCACACGATGATACGTCTACTGGTGCAACACACTTTTTTTTAGATGAGCATGGTAAGCAATGCACACTGTTAAAGTAACTACAATTTCATCTATGTGCTTTAAGCCCCTGACTATATTTTTTAAAAAAGTACAATAGATGGCATCAAAATAGGGCTCTCCTGTGCTGGAGGCTAGCACCAGCACAGACAAGATTGGCTGAATGACCTGCAAAAACCTATACTGTAAACTTTTTATGATTCTAAGATTTATGGAGTAAAAACAATACATAGTCTGCATATGCGTGTGAGGAGGGGGGAAAGAAAGAGTCCTGCAGTGTATGGGATTGGAGGAGGGCGTCATAGTTTCTCCCCTGTGGAGAGTGAGTCAGCATGTTTGTTGTTAGAAAGTCTTATTTGAGATGAAGGAAGCAACAGTTGAATACAATGCCATTCTTTTCCAGGAGAAATACGATCATATACGTTTGGTGTTCCCAATAGAGGTTATGAGAATTCATTGAATCGCCTCCCAAGCTTAGAACACGTTCCAAGTATACGGTAAGTAAGTATGTCTTATTTAATCAAAATACTCCCAAGAATATCTGGACTTGTGGAGTTCTTGTAGCTCAGTGGTTAGAGCGCTCCTCGCAAGTGAGAGACCTGGGTTCGATTCCCGGTAGGGCGAAACGTTGGCCAAGTTTCCTTACTCCACATGCCTCTGTTTACCTAGCAGTAAATAGGAACCCGCTTGTTAGTCGATTGGCGGATCGCTTTTCACTCAATCCACGACTGTTGGTGGGACGCTGTTGTGCGCAATGGCTGCCACATTTCGCCCACAAAATATACAGTCAATTCACTTTACAGTGTACTCTGTGAAATTCTTTGAGACTTCTCGAAGACGTGATAAAGCACTATATCAAATTCAAGGGTTATTATTACCTTAGCCATTGTGTGATTATAGGGTGTTGATTGTGTTTGTTTACAGGAGTGAACAGTAGGAGATAACTCATGAATGTTAACAACTGTGAATGAATTCTGAGATTTTTCACACTGGTGAATTAGCCTTGTAATATATACTGTTCCAAAATGTCCAAGGGAGAACCAGATTCAAGATTATAGTTTAACATCAAACACATTATGTCATCTTATTTTTGCTTGAACTAGTTAACCACTTATAACAACTGATAACATTTTAGATTTTAGCAAGAGGTATTCATGTCTTGCTACTCAAGATTTTCCCCTCCAATGGATAATTTTAAAACACTTATGGACATTGATCATCACTCTGACTGAAAGGGCAGCAGTGACCTCGATTTAGCGTCTCGTCAGAAACAAGGCATCTCCAACATTTCATTGATCTGTCAGCCTAGACCGTGAGTTCCTTATCCCAAGGTGGGGCTTCAACCCTAAATATTCTGACTCCAAACACTACCCAACTTAGCCAGGCTGACACACTGGTTTAAATGGTTTATCACTGTCACCTGAAGAACAAGTAAATTCTAGTCTTGAAATTTCTGCTCAAATTGTTTTTATATTTACTATTTTAACTTTCTTTTTTCCTGGTTGTGGTCAGTTCTGTCGAGCAGGAAGGAGAATAAATAACAGCTTTTTGCCCGATACATCATAATTTTCACCACAGAGGGTTATTGGTTTGACACCATTGCTGCACATTTACTGATATGAATTATTACAGGAAAATTCTATGTCCAGAATATGTATAACTTACATGAATGCTGCATTTGATCTGTTGTGTCATCCTCCCGCTACAGCAAAATACAATTGAGACAAATATGTTCAAGGAACAAAAGAATGCTGGTATTCTCATTGGACTCAGTAGAGGGTGCTGTATGCCCATCTGTTTCAACCTTTATGATTCTGCATTGGATTTCAATACATAAAACCACACCTACTTATTTAGAGGCGCACTTAACGTAGAATTTTTCAAAAACAGTTTTCTTGTTCCTTATTTCACTGGTGCCGTAAAGCAGCACAATAGTTATGTTGAAAGAATATTTTTCTATGTCAATTTCTATCCTCCACTTTTTTTATATCATCTGGGTGCCTGACACATGCAGAAATTTAGCACCATGTTTAAGAGTTTCAAAATTAGATTAACAATTCTACATTTGTATGCCACCCACACCTGTGAATTTCTCTGTGTCTTGAATGGAATGCACATTCTCTCCCTGGAGAGTATGGAGCACAAGTTGACAAGATCTAAGGCTTTGGGACCTCAAGTGTATGTTGGGGTGTTCCTTGAGATCTGCCCCTCCTAGTCCTGCCAATGAGCTAGGCTGGCTGGTCAGTTATCAGCAGTACTCTGGGTACTGTGGACTTGCTTGGCTAAGGAACTGGACTACCAAGGCTGCTGCAGAGAGTTGATTCAATTATGATATTCTGTTGCTAAGAGCATTACGTTGGAGCCAGATCAGTTCCAAGGAGACCCTACTTAACTCCTTGCTCCCCCCTTCCCCCCAGGAGGATAGTCACTAGTTGGTTATTTCACATCCAAAAAGTGCAGATTTGAGCCTTCACTTGGTGGATAGAAAGTACCAGCGATCAACACGGTTCAGCTCGAAATGTATGAGAGCATTGCCACCATCCTCCTATCCACAAGTTGGACACACATCCCTATCCATGGAGCTATGGTTCCACCAGTTGGAGGTGCAGAGCTTAAGCAGAAGCTGCTTACCTTCCTGCATACCAATAATTGGATACCAGGTCCTGGATATCCGAATATCTGTTCACGAACCCCGACTCCAGGTAACACCTTCCAGCAGCTGTTGTCCCACACTTCAGAGTTTCCTCATCAGCTATTCAAAGGATAGCTACCTACAGCATCATGACATTTCCTAGAATGAATCTGTCCTGAGTTAGATGAACAGTGCCAGGACAGATACAGAGCTTTCATTACCTGTGACTTGATAGCTTCCCCATTGGAAAATGCATGCAAATAGCCTGCTGACATTTACTGTCTAGACCTACACAGGATGATTACTTGGGCACTTGACACCAATTGATGCCTTTGGGAAAGGAGGAAAAATGTTTTTTTACAAATAAAGAAATAGGAAATGATGTGAACACTACCAAGTGTAATGCAGAAAAATAAAGTCTGTTTAAAAACAAGATGTTGCGGATAACACCCAACTCTTATCTCTCTACTTCCACCCTTGACTCCAGGACCACTGTTGTCCTGACAGAATGTCTGTCAGACATCAAGTCCTGGATCACAGATAATTTTCTTCAGTTGAACGTCAGCAAGACCGAGGGTCTTCAGATTTACTCCCGTCAGCGCCTCCACACCTCGGTCGCTGACAGTATCACCATCCAAGGTTGCACACTCCACCTTGCTAAGCCAGTCCAGAACCTTGGCGTCTTGTTTGGCCCACAACTATCCTTTCTACCCCACATCCGTGCCATGATCCGCTCTGCCTTCCCCCACCTCCACAACATTGCCTGGCTCCGCAACTGTCTCACACCACAAGCCGATGAAATCCTCATACACGCATTCACAACATCGAGGCTTGACTATGCAAACTCCCTGCTTGTCGGCCTCCCCAACTCCTCCCACCACAGGCTACAGATCATCCAGAACTCTGCAGCTCATGTCCTCTCCCGCACCAGGCTCCGTGACCCTATCACCCCCATTCGCACCCGACTCCACTGGCTTCCCAGCACAGCGGATACAGTTCAAGATCCTGGTCCTCACCTTCAAAGCCCTCCATGGCCTTGTTGCCCCCCTACCTCTGCGACCTCCTAAACCCCTACCAACCTGTCCGCTCCCTCCGCTCAGTGGGCTCCAGCCTGTTTCACGTCCCCAGTCTTGCCTGCCCCACCATGGACGAATGAGCCTTCAGCCACTTGGCCACCATCCTTTGGAACTCCATCTCGCAGTCCCTCCACCTCGCCCCCTCCCTTGCTTCCTTCCAGATCCATCTCAAGACCCTCCTCTTTGACCGTGCCTTCAATCACGCTGCGTCCCCACTGCCCTCCACCCTCCCCAATCCCGATCTCCAGCTTGGGTCCAAAACATTGACTGACCAGCGCCTTGGGACATCATCCTGACATGAAAGACACTATACAGATGTTAATTTTGGTGGTGGTGTAATGGAAAAACAGTAAAATGGGTACTCTGGAAAGAAGAGATCAGTGGGCTAAAGGTTCTTCATCTGAACCTCTCTTGTGATCTTGTGAACTGACCACATGTAGCTTCATCTTATTCCGGATTGCTGACAGAAATGCGTTCAGTGGGGATCACTGGTACGCATCTCCTGAGGGCCACATTCTTCTGAAATTGTGATTGTGGCAGACACAGTCCGCACTGCCAAATCACATCAGACGTAACACATGTTTTCCATTTCTTCACAGGGAACCTCAGTCCCACTCTCCCAGTTACACAACAGCAGATGGACAAGGTGGAGCAGAGGTTGCTGCAGCTGAGTCACCCTTCCAACACCAACCAGCTGTACTGCAGAGAATGCATATTAGAAGAAGGCATTCAGAGCCGCAACTGGTATGTAGTTATGCCACTCAGAGATGATTGAAAACACCTCATAGCTTCAAAATAGAATATACAACTATGTGTACTAAGGGCAGAGATTCTTCCTACTTAATGATTATTAACCCTGCAAGCCCAAGCCCTAATGGATAAGGTGGACAAGCAGTGGGAAAGCTTGCTTGCTGATGCTTTCAATGGCAAACTGCATTTTAGCTGGTTAAACTCTAGCAGTACCCCAACTCTTAAGCCTTGGCTCTTGTCAACCTATGCCTAATACTCTCTGGAATAAAGTAAGCAGGATGCTTCCCTACAAAAAGTGAGTGCATATTCCATTCCAATACAAGGGAATTTCCAAGTGTAGCTGGGATGCTGAAACTCAGTTTGGTTTGGATACTCTTAAGCATGATGATGGGTTTCCATATGTGTCAAATGCCCGGCTGACCAAAAACGTTTGCTACTTGTATGCATCTATGCATGTATTTGTATTGAAGTTAAGATATGTATTTCAATGAGGTGTAATTGGTGCATTCTGTTAAAATGTGCAAATAATATTTTGTGGGTGAAACACAGCAGCCAGTTGCGCACAGCAGTGTCCCACAAACAGACAAACAGCTGTGGATTGAGTGACCCATATTATTTTTTTTTAACTTATTTTTTTTGGAAGGGATTATTACCCCTGGAAAAGCGAGCCGCCAATTGACCACCAACTGGGTTCCTATTTATTGCTAGGCAAACAGAAGCCTGTGGAGTAAGGAAACTTGCCCAACGTTTCGCCCTGCCGGGTCCTCTCGCTTGTGAGGCGAGTGCCCTAACCACTGCGCTACAGGACTCCAATGTTTGTATACAGAGAGAATTTACTCTCTTATATATGCCTTTAATTGTATAATAGGCAACTGATGAAAAATACTACAAAATCAATATAGTTGTCAATTTAGTAGTACCTGCTATACATGCTTTTACACATGGTTAGCACAACTTGTAAATTAGACCCCATTATAGCAAAAAAACTTAAGAATTTTATTGTTCATACTTTAATTAAAATATAAAAACAAAATCTATTAAAATGAGAATATTTAACTCTGGATATCACTGATCCCTTGCGCTCCTTGGAATCACATTCTTCTTCATCATTCAATAAATTTAAGGAAGTGAGGCTTCTAATGGCATTTTAACAAAAATTGAATGCTTGCATTAGACGTCCTGGGATGTGATCCAATGATTGGTTTTGGTAATTTATTCCAGCTGAGCACTCAGACTTTACATAAACAATGCAAGGCAAGTACGAGGAAGAAGATTTCTTTTATTTGCCATTTGTAAAATTATGCTTAAATTCCTTTGCTGTAATAGTCTTATGGTTGGATTTATAAATTCAGGGGATACATGGCAAACTATAGCAACCTTCATTAATCAGTGTTCCAGCCAGTGTTGCAATATGCTTTTTGTGCATATCCTCAGGAATATATTATTGCAAAGGAATAATTTATTGATCTGTTTTCAGTTATTCTTGGGAATGAACATTGTACAATTCAAAATTAATTTTGAAAAGCATGAATTGGGAATCATCCATCTTTAGCAAACTCTGATGTACAACAACATTATCAGGATGATGGCGCTACTGTGGACTGTACTGGGTTAGATCTAACCAAAAGTCTAAATGGGTGGATAGATGATAAGCCAATTAGACTGATCAGATTTAATAAAGGTAAAGGTTAATGATGTTCCATTAAATACCATTAGCAGATTTATTAAATATTCAGTGTGGTATTTACAAGGCATGTTAATGATGTATAGGGAGAGCAGTCCAGGGCTTTATAAAGTCAAACAGATCAGAAGATCACAGGTTCACATTCTAGTCTGTGCTGAGGAAGATGATCTTAGCTGAGCAGCAGTTGGAGCGTTATGTCCATTGGCTTTAGTTCCTCTATGTTTAGGAAAGGAAAAATCAGCCAGAGTCACTGCTACTGTCTAGACTGTGTGTCAGTCTAGCTCGATTGACAGCACTGAGTCAGAAGATTATGGGTTAAAATTCCTTGGCAGGTCTTGGAAGTCAGATTGTCTAAGATAACCCTCTACTGCAGTGCTCAGGTGTGGTGCTTTGTTGTAGGTGTCGTCCTTTGGCTGAGACGTTAAACCAACTGCCGTCTGCCTGTTCAGGTGGACGTTAAAGAGCGCATGGCACTATTCAAAAAGGGAAGAGCATTTCTCCCGTTGCCCTGGTACACAGTCCCTCAAATAAAATTGGTAATTCACTTCATATCTGTTTATGGGACATTGCTTTGTGCAAACTGGCTGCCACATTCCCCACAAAACACAGTCCCTGCAGTATATCCTGTGAATTGTTTTGGGATGTCCTCCTGACATGAAAGGCATTACACCAAATGTAAAGATTATTATTATTTTTAGAGTATGTGTATGTCTATCCAGTGAGAATAGATTTAAACTCGGCTGTGATGCCTTCTACAACGGAATAGACTGCTGAAACTCGTGTCTGGTCCCCTACAATAAAGACAAGCATTTATTTGGTGACTGTCGGTGCTCATAAAATCATTTTCCATAAAGATTCAATGAGGAGAGAAAAAGATGAAATAAGTTCATAGGGACTGAACATTTCCATGCACATTTTGAGTCCACTAATGGATTTCTGAAATTGGGAGTTGGAATCAGAATTCAATCCAAAAACTAAAACTCTTGCATCCAGTAATGATTGGGTCAAAGTAAATTGTGTTGTACATTGTTGTGGTTTAAGGTCAGTTACTGGAATAAATGTATTATGTGAAGAAGCTTGCAAATCTCCTGCATAAAATCTATCCAGACTAAACACCAGTCATTGAAAGTGATTGAATGGCCATGTGGAGCTTCTATTGTTCGGGTTCATATTAATGATGAAAATGTATTATAATGTAATTTATTGCTAGCCAGGTAGGATATTTGAAATTAAATTAAGAACAGCTTCTCGAATTTATGTCAAAATTTATGTGGAATCCTGTAACTCAGTGCTTGCCTCGCAAGCGAGAGACCTGGGTTCGATTCCCGGGCAGGGCGAAATGTTGGGCGAGTTTCCTTACTCCACATGCCTCTGTTTACCTAGCAGTAAGTAGGAACCTGGTCGTTAGTCAATTGGTGGATTGTTTTTCCGGGGTAATAATTCCTTTAAGAAGATCAAAATAAATTGGTCACTTCAATTCACGGCTGTTTGTGGGACACTGCTGTGCGCAATTGGCTGCTGCATTTCGCCCACAAAATATATAGTCAATTCACTTTCTAGATGGATTAATGGATATGGGGATAGGGCGGGTAAATGCAATTTGGTTGGAAGATCAGCCATGATCTTATTAAATGGCAGGGCACGCTCGAGGCGCCAAATGGCCCAATCCTGCTCCTATGTCTTATGGTCTTATGGCCTTTACAGTATATTCTGTGAAGCGCTTAGCGACGTCTCGAAGACGTGATAAAGCGCTATATAAAAATACAAAGATTATAAAAGAAAATGTTTACTAAAAAAATCTTCAGAATAGTTGGAAACAATCATTATAAGTGCAAACAAATAACCGGAGTGAAGATGGAATGAATGATTGGAAATGGTGGAATAGTTGCTGATTTTATTTGCAAGATCATTTGCAAGATTTAGCAATCCCTCACCCCCTACTGATAAATCTGCAACATGGATTCTATATAACCAAATCAAGTGATGCAAAGTTTAACTGGTATTCCCATGATAATGGCACAATCCAACATTGTTGTTACTAACTAAAGTCTGTGTGTTTACCCCTCTCCTGGCTTGGAAAGTAATGTATGTGAGCTGTTGTATCACACTGAAATTGAGTGAAATCACAAAGCACTTTCAGAATGCTGAATTGATTTGAGTATCATCTCAACCTTACAAAAGTTGAAAGCTCCCCAAAACCACTTTCAATCCAGCTTTGAAGTCTTCCCTCCACAGTCACATCTCCTAGCCTTATAGATTCTCTTGAGACAAATTCTTTGATTTATGGACACTTTTGTCTTTTCCTCTGATCATTGGATTTTTTTTAACTGAAGATAAGAGCAACATCGGGGAGCTTTTCCCAGTGTTTATATTTTAATATAAGGTTAATTACTTTTGGAGCTGAACTGTTTGCTTATTCTGAGCAGGAAGAGTTCATTATTACAACAACAACAAATTGCATTTATATAGCAGCTTTCACATCGGGAGGACATCCCAAGGCACTGGACAGTCAAGGGATTGTACTCCTTTACAATGCTGGCTGAATTTTTGTTTTAAGATGAATGTTGTTAGGAGTACTGTTATGTTGAGTCCTATATGTTGTACTGTTAGGAGAGCAAACAGCAGCACAGATACAATAACAACGTGCATTCATATAATGATAATCTGTACTGAGTGGCCTCAATGGACTGAATGGCCTCCTTCTGTACGCTAAGCTTTCTAAGCATAAAGGCATTTAGCACCTTCCATATAAAAAATCTTCACCAAATGAGGATAGTGAACGTTATCTAACTCGGAAATTGGGCCAGCAACGTCCCTACATAAGAATAAGATTTTTGGCCAATTTGGATAAGGGAGGGATATAGACCAGGACAGATTACATTTGCATTTACAGGGAAGAAAAAGAAACATCAGAAATCAAAATGCTTCAAAAATCAAATACCTCAAATCAAAAATGACATTAAAATGGAATAACATTTCCGTTTTAACTTGGCATTCACGTCACAAACTCCCACGATTGTATGGTCAGGTGGCTTATAAACCTCTCTTCCATTGTAACTTCACGTGAGCACCTCCTGTGACGCCCAGCCAACGTTAGAGTGAGTTTGCTGGCTGTGGGTATCCTATATGAAGTAGGTCAGGGTTATTCCTGTTTTAGTGAAGATAAGATTACAACACAAACCTTGGGAGAGTGGAAAGTGAAACATTATCATTCTGGCCTGGATTCACACCGAACTTTCTGAGGTGAAAGAACTTTCATCTGGTATGAATCTAGTCCTATGAGATCCATAATTTGATGTCCCATAAAGAACGTAAATGTAAATATATGAGCATTACTTTTTTAATTAATTGCTTGTCTTCTAGTTTGTTTTTAACTGTATCTTTCTTTTGTGCCTACAAAGGGTCGAAGCAGTGCCCATGAATCTTCTGTTGACATTGTAGAAGAAAAATCCAACTGCAGACAATCCTATAGGTTTTGGGTCTTGCCTGGCAAGTGGGTGCAGATTCAGTATGATCGCCTGGCATTGCTGACCTTACTTGACAGGTATATATAGTCATTTTTATTTTTTAAGCTGTACAACTGTATAGCAGTGCTAGCTAACCTGACTGTGTGTCATGGATATGCGCCTGTAATGTCTTGAACATTTTTCCTTGTAATAAGTACTAAATGGATGGAACAATCCTACAAGCAGCAAGCGTGGAGTTAATGAATCACATAATCTTCTTACAGCAATGCTAAATTAGAGCCTAGCTTAAAATAATAATAATAATAATCCTTGCATTTTATATATCACCTTATCATATCATTGAAACGTCTCAAAGCGCTTCACAGAATATATTGTAAAGTGGATTGTAATATATGAATATATAAAATATTTTGTTTTCACAGAAATCAGGAAATTGGGGAAAACATATTGGCTGTTTGCCTTGCTGTCCTTGTTGCTCTTCTCGGATTTACGCTGCTTAATCTAGGATTTTTCAGGGACTTGTGGGTGCTCCACTTCTGCCTCATCATTGCAAGTTGCCAGTACTCCCTACTGAAAGTAAGTGGCTGTGCTTTGGTGCGTTTTGTGTTCTGTTACCATTTGATTGATGTTGAGATGCTTTATATTACTGATTTATTTTTCTCTCTCCTATGTTTCAGAGTGTCCAACCTGATGCTGCATCTCCCATACATGTAAGTTGCAAAAAAGAAACTTGATTCATTTTGCAAAATAGCTGAATGATATGTATCAAACATCAGTAACCAACGACACACCCGCCCCTGTAGTAGCAATAGTAATAAACTGAAATCAATATGCTAATGTAATTTCTATGGGGTAGCCCTTTTTACACATATGTAATAAGATCATATTTATGTAATACTTATTTCTCAGGTTGATGATGTGAAAGAACTAGTGTTATTTTTAAATTCTGAATAAGGAAGGGAAATATGGGGGAAATGCTCCTATGTACTCAGTGATATGTGCTGATAATAAAATCAGCACATTTCTCCACAAAATTGTCATTTCAAACATGGAACAGTAGATTTTGGGGCTGAAGAAGAATGCATCTGATACTTTAAATGTCAGTTGATTTCTTTGATTTGCTTTGTATTCAGAGTAACCAAAAAACAGAGCTTTAGTAATGCAACCCATTATTGTTTACTGAGCGCTTGAGTTTGTGTTTTGACATTACTAAAATATAACCATCACTCATTATACACAGTGGCCAAAATCCAATAAATCTACACTGACCCTATTAGATATTTGTGATGCACAATGTTCCAGTGGTCAGTCTATATTTACTTTATATAAGTGATTTGTATATTTTCTCCCCTTCCCCTGTTTGAACTTGACGGCACCACACACTAGAACCTCGGTTGAGTGGCTCTGCAGTTGGCTGGGAGAGAGATGGAATGCTTACATTTGTATATCGTTTGCATATGTTATCAACAGTGTTCTGCAAGCAGCTTAAAAGCATATTAAATCGCATCCTAATATACCAGTACACAGTCAACAACAACAACAACAAGATTCCATTTATAGAGCGCCTTTCACGTCGGAGGACGTCCCAAGGCGCTGGACAGTTGGGTCAGGACCCGAGCAGGGGGGTAAATGGTCAGGGTGAGGGGAGGGAAGGGAGGGAGCGAGGAGGAGGGAAATGGTCAGGGTGAGGGGAGGGAAGGGAGGGGGCGAGGAGGGGGTAGAGAGTTGAGAGGGGAGCTGAAGGCACGGTCAAAGAGAAAGGTCTTGAGACCGGCCTTGAAGGAGGAAAGGGAGGAGGCGGCGAAGGCACTGGGGGATGGAGTTCCAGAGCCTCGGGGCTGAGAGGCTGAAGGCCCGACCACCGATGGTAGGGCGGTTGGGGCGGGGGATGTTGAGCAGACCGGAGCCAGAGGAACGGAGGGTACGGGCAGCTAAGTAAGGGGATAGTAGGTCAGAGAGGTAGGAGGAAGCAAGGCTGTGAATGGCCTTGTAAGCGAGGATGAGGATCTTGAATTTGATCCTCTGGGGGATGGGGAGCCAGTGGAGGTGAGCGAGGGTGGGAGTGATGTGGTTGCGAAGTCTGGTGCGGGACAGTACACGAGCTGCAGAGTTCTGAATGACCTGCAGCTTGTGGAGGGAGGTGCCGGGAAGGCCGGCGAGGAGAGAAAACCGTCATCTGTTACAAATAGGAGACCAGGTTAACACCAATAGTAAGGAAAATATAATTCCAAAGCAGTGCCTACGAAATCTGACCTTTCGTGTTGGACCAGCACTATTTCTGTAAATAAGCTCGGAATGCTCAGATCTAAAATAGGTCTGCATAAGGGAACAATAGTTGACTGGATGTTAATACGACAAGGGTAATATCTAATGAGACAAATATATTGCTGTAAGCCACGACAGTCTCTGTTACGTTGAAGGCTTGTCTGGTTCCCACAACTCTGCAAGGCAGTTTAGGATGATTTCATACAACAGATTTTTTTTTAAAAAAGCATGTTATTCTATTATAGTTCACAATTTTTTTTATCCCAGTTTAGCAAAGCTGATTTTTGATCATACGTTTCATCTTTAATAGTTACTAAATTTCAGTCAGAACAACCAGTGTGTTTTTATTTAACTGCATTATTTTGCCTCTGGATGCTGAGTATTTCACTGTGTATTTGCGGTACCATAACCAGAGTTATACTGACATGTTGTAATTAGCAGACTTTATGAAGATGAAATGGAGTTCGTTGTCCGCTAATAACTATGTCACTTCATTTGGGATTGATTGTTATGATATCAGCAGTTTAATAATCTCTGAAGCGTGTAACGTGTTTGCCAGATGAAAAAACAAAAATGCAAAAGACTGGACTAGCGTGCAAGCATCAAGTGAAGCACTACTTAATAAAACGGCAATTCAAATCTTCGGAACATGTTTTGCATATTATCAAATGCAACGTTGCAATCCTCAAGGCTACAGATGGAAAGGTATATCATTATATTCTGCTGTAGTGTTGGAAGCGTAATGCATTGTGCAGTCGGCTTCTGGACCCAACCATTATGAGCAGAGAGAGGTGTCCATTTCCAACACATCTATAGACCAGTCAATAATTTTCAGCAAATTGTTTGTACCATTTGTGTTCATTATTTTCACTACGATAAAATGGCCAACTTCCAGGTCATCAGAACACCACCAATGCCACTTCTTGCTTTGCGCATACTTAGCAAACAGGAAGTGACATTGACCGTGATCCGTTGGCTTGGAAGTCAGGCATTTTTTTCTTGTAGTGCAGGAACCGGCTGACGGTCAGAGAACAAATCACATGTTCTGACCAACTTATTGCATGCGCGGTAAATTGGCTATCACCCCTTGATTTTATGGAACACAAATTCCATGTTATAACAAGAATCCACTGTATGTTTAATTGAACTGACATTGAGGACACACCTGGTAAAACTCGAAAGTCAGCAGTAATTCAAGGCACTGTTTATAGTTGACTAACCTCTTTAGTATGGACATAATCATGATTTTGGAAAATCAAAGTCCTAATAGCCAAACTACTGGGCAAAAACACCAGTACTTTATACTGCTAACATATATGGGTGACCAGTATAACCACAAAGTATTCAGGAGAGAGTAAGGGAGGGGAAGACTACTTTGCAAACTTTTTGACTACAGTTTGGTGAGGGAGATGAGCCAAAATAGTCACCCATCAATTTCACCTCCATAACATGTGAGTGACATGATAATACATCAATTGCAAGATACTAGCTGACTCATCACAGTGAAGATAAGTATTTGAATTCTGGCCTTTGTATTGATCTACACAAAGTTGGCTTCTCTGTTTGATCTGAAATATAAACATATTCATTATTGATTATTTAACTTTCAAAATAATACTGAATTTAATACACAATCTTAAATTTTAAGACAAAATTAGGTTATAGACTATAGAGAATATCAGTGCTACAATGCATATTGATGAGTGGATATTTGTATAGCGCCTTTCATGTCAGGAGGACGTCCCAAGGCGCTGGACAGTCAGTGTTTCGGACCTGAGCTGGGGAGTGGAGGTTAGGGGGGGAAGGAAGGTGATCAAAAGCACGGTGCAGAGGAAGTCTTGAGATGGGTCTTGAAGGAGGCAAGGGAGGGTCGAGATGAAGAGACTGCGGGATGGAGCTCCAGAGGGTGGGGACAGAGTGGCAGAAGACCCACCCACCGATGGTGAGGCGGGCGAGGCGAGGGACATGAAGCAGGCCGGAGCCCGCTAAGTGGAGGGAGTGGGCAGGATGGTAGGGGGTTAGGAGGTCGCAGAAGTAGGGTGTAGCAGGGCCATGGAGGGCTTTGAAGGTGAGGACCAGGATCCTGAACTGTATCCTTTGTGTGATGGGAAGCCAGTGGAGTCAGGCGAGGATGGGGGTGATAGGATCACGGAGCCTGGTCTGGGAGAGGACATGGGTGGCAGAGTTCTGGACGATCTGCAGCCAATGGAGGGAGAAGTTGAGGAGGCCGACAAGCAAGGAGTTTGCATCGTCAAGCCTCGATGTTATGAATGCGTGTATGAGAGTTTTGGCGGCCTGCGGTGTGGGACAGTGGTGGAGCCGGACAATGTTGCGGAGGTGGGGGAAGCCTGAGCTATACTACTATGCTGCACACCCACATAATATAATTTTTCATGATGGTTTCAGTTTTGACAGGAGAGAGCCAAGCTAAGGGGGAAACAAACAGCTTGGCTTTTCATTCAGCTTCACCAAACTAGATTTTCACTGAAGGTGAAAATCAAATCCAAAGGTATTCCTGAATACTTGCTCAATTTTAGAGACAACTTTGATCTCCTCTTTCTGTGTAAGTTTAAAGACCAAGATCTAAATTGTTGAAAGGTTTGCATCTTTGTTTAAATGCTTCTTCATATTTTTGACTCCAATCCTGAGACCAGATAAAAGAAACTGGCTTTGCAAAGGACAAAGGAGTGATATGGAGGAAAAACATGGGTTTAAGATACATTTGTTTAATTAAGATATGTATTTGCTGCCTTATCTGCATACCTGCCCACATCGAGAAATTTGCCCAGGTTATTTCAATGTCCAAAAAAGTGATTCTAAATGTTAAATGTTAATGGTGATTCAGATTTTTTTGAAAGCTTTCATGTGAACCCCAATATATTGGCTACAGAAGGCATTTACATCAAACAATATCTGAAACACTAAGACTGACCTTTTCCTGTTTTGATCTTAGAACTTCCAAAGGAATTCTTTTCACAGGGTGATGAGGGCCTTTTATAAAATGACTCTTAAACAGGCCATTTTCTTGTTTCTCTTTCAGGGACACAATAGAATTATAGCGTATAGCAGACCTGTTTATTTCTCTATATGCTGCGGCCTTATTTGGGTCTTGGATGCTGGAAGTAAATGCACTCGATTTCCATCTTCTACCCTTTACGGAGTCACATTAATTTCTCCAGAAAATTTTGGAACTGCCAGAGATGTTGTTATCGGTGAGTCTTTGAGACAATGTTAATCGTAACCTTTAAAATGTTTGTAGTGTTTGTAGAAATCAGACAAAGCTATTTTTTTTTACTCTTATATTCATGAGACCAGGTGTACAAAATGTTCTTAATTCACCTAAATGCAGGGCAATTTGTCGTTCGTCTCCTCACGGCTTATGGGATGCTGTATGGTAACTGTCAGGTTTATCTGCACAGCACTCACTGCATTGCTTTGGTCATGTGAAGCATCTTGAGATACTTCAATGTGATAAGGTGTCATGTCAATTGGATTTTTTTTGAATAAGTTAAAGGAATTGTGTATTGATGGATAGGATGTTGTCATTTCATTCATTAAATCAGTTTACTTGTATTTTCTATTGATTTTAAACTATGACCTAAATAACTAATAGTTCCTGCATTTTATATAGCGCCTTTCATGTCAGGAGGACATCTCAAAGTACTTCACAGGATTAACTGTAAAGTATAGTGACTATTTTGTTTCCCCGTAAACACGACAACCAATTTTGCGCACAGTAATGTCCCACAATCGGCCATGACGTGAATGAACAATACTACTTGGGGGATTGTTTATCAGGACACCAGGAGAAATTCCCTTCTTTTTGAATAGTGCCATTGGATCTTTAAAGTTCACTTGATCAGGCAGACAGAGCCTCAGTTTAACTTCTCATCCTAAGGATGGCACCTCTGACAATGCAGCACTCCCCCAGCAGTTGTGTCAGCCTGGACTGTGAATTGAAAGTCTCTGTTGTGGGGCTTAAACCCATAACCTTCTGACTGAGGGGCAAGAGTGCTGCTAAATGTGCCAGGCTGACTCCTAAGTCTAGTAAGTCTAACTTGCTGCTTTTATTAATGGTAATCTCTTAGCGTGGCACTTGTTTATCAAGCCTTATCACTCTGCCTACCTAATACAGCTTTTACTGTCATGGTTCAGGATGTCTATGCAATTCTCAAGTTTGCTTTGGATTACTGCCAAGCTTTACCAGGTATTCCCATTTAAAGCTGTTTCAGCTGCAGGGAGACATCACTCACTTATTTTACTCCCCCCACCCTCCCTAGGATTTGAACTTGGAACCTTCACAGATTCATAGGTCCTCAGTCACCTATTTCACTGCGTTAGCTTGCGGGATACTGCAACATGAATGCAGTGGAAAAATAAAAAGGACTGGGGCATGGCAGCAGGATGTAGGTGCCTCTATCGATAAGTCATAAAGATATGCCCTAGACTGCGAGGGAAGCGTGCTATTATTGGGACTGGTGCCAATCAGACACAATTCATTCCCAAAAGCTGTATGGAAGGCATGATGTGGTATTGAGATTGTTTCTATTAATCTGATTTTGTTGTATTCTCTATTGGTTGCATTCTGCATTTGCAGCCATAAGGAGAAGGCACTGTCTGTTTGATTTCCCTTCCCTGTGCAACTGGATAAATGTTTGTACAGCCAAGCGACATATTAGAATAGCTCAGGTTTTGTGGTCTGAGGTGTGTCATATTGCCGTGTCGTCCAACATAAATAAAGCTGGGATATGTGGAAGGTTATATGTGGAAAGATATTTCTTGAGGAAATTAACATTTCTTCCTTAGAAAATAGGAGAGCAATGGTGACAGACTTTCCTCCGGGAGATGCAGGAAGGTATCTGTTTACTTTGATGGGTGTCGGCAGCTTCTATGCCCATAAGATATGGTCCAACAGAATGAAGTATACGCATAGAATATTTTATTACCATAATCTGTGTTGAATGTTGGCTGCAGTTCTGAAACCATTCATGTGAATCTGTTGCCATCTGCTCTTACAGCCAACAATATTTAGATCACTGGAATGTAATTGCATATCGTTTCTGCAGTAGATGTTTGGAAATATTAATAAATATATCAAGAAGATATGAAAATTCTAACTAATAAAGAAGAGCCATTTCCCCGTTTCTGAGGATGTGATAAAGTTTAGAATGAAATTGGATATAAAGCTGCTTATTCTTTTCCCAGTTAAATTTGTCTTTACCCCTCTTCAGGTCATACTCTAGCTTGATTCCAGTGCAATGCTGGGGGAGTATTGCATTGCCAGACAATGCAGTCCTTCAGACAAGATGTTAAGCCAAGATCCAAACTGATTATTCAGGTAGGTGTTAAAGATCCCATGACACTACTCAAAAAGAGAAGTGAGTCACTTCTGGTGTTATTATTATTATTATTACTGGCCAACAATCCTCCAGGTAAAATTGTCTTTCACTTCATGTCTATTTGTAAGATTTGCTATGTGCAAATTGGCTGCAGCATTTGTTGACAAATTCACAGTTGCAACCCTTTACAGTAAAATCCTGTGAAACTCCTGTGACGTTTTGACAATGTGATGAGGGCCTCTATCAAATGCAATGATTATTATTACAGAGGTCTGATTTGTTTGCAATATGTTGCTTCTTCCAGATATGACAACCTCTATTTTATTCCTGCAAAATGTGGGACTGCAGAAGGAAATAGAATTTTTCTATGAATTGCAGTGACTTTGGGGAATGTGACAGTCAGTTTGTACACATCAAGTGTTCCACAAACAGTCATTAAGTGAATGACCGATTTTATTTGGGAGATTGTTGACCAGGACACTGGGGGAAACGCACATTCCTTTTTCGAATAGTGCCACAGGATCTTTAACATCCACTTGAACAGGCAGATGGGAACTCGATTTGGTTTATTGTCTTATCTGAAGGACAGCACCTCTGACAATCCAATGCTTCTGCAGCATTGAACTGAAGTGTCAGCCTAGTTCAAAACCCTGACATTAGGCTTGAACCCACAGGGTCTGACTCAAGAGTTGAGAGTGCTGTTCTATCTGTATCTGTGACCAGAGCTCCCTCTGACTCCATGTTCTCCTGGATCTCTCTGCAGTGTTCAACACAGTCGACCACACCATCCTCCTCCCTCATCTACCTTAGTAAGACCACACTCACATGGTTCAAGTCCTACTTAACCAACTGCCTTCATTTCATTTCAGCAAATGGTTTCTGCTCCTGCTCCCACTTGATCACCTGTGGGGTACCGCAGGGCTCCATCCTTGGTCCGCTTCTTTTCCTTATCTATATGCTCCCTCTGGGCGATGTCACCCGCAGACATGGGGTAACTTCCATATGTATGCCAATGACACAAAAATCCACATTGCCTCCTCCAGCATTGACTCCAGGTCCGCCGATGTTCTAGCAGCTTGTCTGGCAGACATCAGGGCTTGGATGAGTGTAAACTTCCTGCAGCTTAATATGGACAAGACTGAAGCCATACTCCTTGGCTCCTGTCAAAGTCTTCACTCCTGCAGTTCTAAACTCCTCAACCTCCCTGGGCTCTCCCTCAGACTCAATGAACCATCGCGTAAACTAGACTTCTGTTTCGACCTCCAGTTGTCCTTCCTCCCCCACATCCGGTCCCTAACCAGGATGGCCATCTTCCACCTCTGTCACATTGCCCGCCTCTGACCGTACCTTACCCCAATGCAGCCAAAACCCTTGTGCATGCGTTTGTCACCTCCTGCCTGGATTACTCCAAAACACTCTTCGCCGGTCTCCCCAGTTCCATTATTCAAAATATCCAGCTCATTCGAAACTGCCCCCTGCATACTGACCCAGACCAAACTCTGTACCCACATCACACCAGTTCTGGCCAGGCTCCACTGGCTTCCCATCACCAAACGTAGCGACTTCAAGATCCTCACTCTCATGTTCAAATCCATTCACTCCCTGGCACCTCCCTATCTCTCTGACCTCCTCACTCCCCAATCCACCACCCGGCACCTCCGCTCGATGGGCACCGGCCTCCTGCTCGTCCCTCACATCCTCCGCACCACCATCAGAGGTCGTGCTTTCAGCCACTACGCGCCAAAACTGGAAAACTCTCCCTCAATCCTTCCACCTTGCCCCCTCGCTCCCCTCTTTCAAGTCCCGTCAGAAAACTTTCCTCTTCAACTGCGCTTACAGCCATCTTCCCCCCTCCTCCCGGCTTGGAGTCAGGTTCCCCCACGGTTAAGCGCTCTGAGGTGCCACCCTGTGTGGAGGGCGCTATATAAGTGCTGGTTGTTGTTGTCGTTGCTACCAAGCAGCCAGGCTGACACCAATTACTTGTAAATCTACATTGAAAACTTCTTATAGCATTTGTGCCCTTCAGCTGAGCATTGATAACATCTTGTAAGATGCTGACATCGGTAGTGACTTCCCCACTGCAGCTGTTAGGCTAACTAGTATTTAATTTATAGGCTCATGTCTTCTTTTATGAATTTATACCCCAATTCAAATCAATATAAATCGGAGACTAAATCTCCAGGCAAAGTCCTGTCTACATGTATTTTATACAGGGAACAGATCAAACTTGCGGAATTGTTTTAAATAGTACTACTAATAATAATAATCCTTGCATTTTATATAGCGCTTTTCACGTCTTCTAGACGTCTCAAAGCACTTCACAGAATAGACTGTAAAGTGAATTGACTGTATATTTGTGGGCGAAATGTGGCAGCCAATTATGCACAGAAGTGTCCCATAAACAGTCATGGATTGAAATGACCAACTTATTATTATTTTTTTCTTGAGGGATTATTATCAGGCGTGTGGAGTAAGGAAACTTGCCCAAGGTTTCACCCTGGCGGGAATCGAACCCAGGTCTCTCGCTTGCAAAGCGAGTGCTCTAACCACTGAGCTACAGGACTCCACGATGGTCAGGAAAGAAACTATGCAATGGACCTTAAACAATTACATACTTTTGCCTATTGTTTTAAATAATGTGGTAACACACCTCATAAATCATGGTTTAATCAAAGAACACTTCTCTGATTATTTTCTTAGCAGATTTATGATAACCCTACTCCTAACCCAGTACCGTTTTATTCAGAGCATATTGCCAAGTTAGCAAATGAAAAATTGACCAACAATAAGGAATCCAAAAGATAATTTTATCATATTGGGGTCTCCAGCAATGAAATATTTCTGTTCCAATGAATAGAAACTTCTCTTAAAAAATCCCTTTGCTCTTGCTAGATTTTCTGTGGTGATGTTTATGCATAAAAATGCTGCTGCTAGTTATTTCAAGGGGGTTTACTCCTGTATTACTTTGTATCACCGGTGTGAAGCTCATGCACTTGGTCAAACTTGGTCACTTTTCCATGCAATAGCTTCAACGTCCATTGATCTTTAAGATCTGTAAGGTGAATTTATTCACTGTTTTTTTTACTTCCCTTCTCCCCTTTTAGAAGGACAGATGTAAGCCAGTCTGTAAGGCCATGCCAGAAAAAGCAGGCAAAATAGATCAAAGGCGACTTTATAGATCTTCACCAAATTGTACAGATCTGCCTGAAGGAGAAACTTCTTTCCTTTCAAAGTTCATATGATCCAAATCATGGTGACAGCAATGCCTGCTTAGATTTCAGCAAACAAAACCTCAAGAGTAGCTTTGCAGATCTTTACCAACTTTTACTGACAAGCTCCCTAAAGGAGAAGTTGATTTCCCTTCAAAGCTAAGCTAGCTTGATAAAAATTGAGATGATGGCAGCATTGTTTTAATTTTGAGTGAAAAAAATAAGAAGGGGAATAACTTAAGAGGTATTCCAGATCTTCAGTAAATTTATTTATATTGCCCTCCAGTACTTCGTAGAGACACCATTATTTTATCTACAAGACGATAATTATTATGTGAAAGGGCAGACTGAGCTCACCTGCCAGCTCGAGCAGTTTATTCTTTGAACAACCGAGCCTCGCAGAATGAGAAGGGTCCTAGGGTCTGTTCCCTTGTACCCTGACTTAGCTGATCAGAGCTGGGCGAGAACAAGAAGGGCTTCATTGATTAGTGTGACATTGACTTTTGCGTTATACATTGATTTGGTTCCAAATTCACAACATGGTTAGATTTTGTACAATAGCTGTTTCGGAAGCAGTGCAGCGAATGAGGCACCCACCTCTTATTCTTTCCTATGCATGTTTGTGCTTTTATTTGTGAGCAAAGGGCTATGTTATTGCATTCAGACAAAGGAACTTTGGTACATGAGTATGGTATTGCTAAAAATATACTTAGCAGGGCATTGCGTATTGGTCATTGTGCTGAAAGTGTTAGTGTTACCATTATACAATTTATATTGCAATAATGAGGAGTAGCTGAATCCCTAGGTCCCATTGATGAGAATACAAATTGATTTCAAATCCTGTGTGTGAGTTGTACAGGACATACTTCACATGACACGCCTACCTTTGCCATTCACTTGAGATCTTTTAGTCCTACTTGAAGGGCTGCTGACAAAATTTATTCTGGCAGTCACTTCTTGCCGGGCATGGTATAATAATAACTCTTGCATTCGAGACTTCTGAAAGTGCTTCACAGGATATACTCTAAAGAGACTGTGTGTATTTTGAGCGAAATTGTGGCAGCTAGTTTGCACACAGCAATGTCTCGCCATCAGCCGTGGAGTAAGTGATTTGTTTAGGGGATTGTTGGCCAGGACACCAGGAGAAACTCCTTTCCATTTTCGAATAGTGCCATGGGATCTTTAACATCCACATGGGCAGGTAGAAGGGACCTTGGTTTTAAAGTCTCATCTGAAGGACGGCACCTCAGACAATGCAGCGTTCACTCCCAGCACTGCACTGCAGTGTCATCTTAGACCATGTGAGTTCCAAGTTCTCCGGCATGAGGCTTGACCCCACAGTCTTCTGACTCAGAACTGAGTCAACCAACTGAGCCAGGCTGACATGTTTACCTACAAATATACAGTCACTAGATTTTACAGTTATCACAAAATTCTTGTTTTTTTTGTTTCAGTAACATAATAAAGCACTATAGTAAGTGGAAGGATTATTATTATTGTTTCCTCCTCAGCACATTGTTAATCTTGTCTCTGCCCCCTCCCACCCAGAGGACTTCCAGTTGCTCCAACATTGCTCAGTAGGTTAAAATCTCCAAAAGTAAGAACTGCATTAACATGCTTAGCTGATTTTTGTTCATTTACCACCTTATTTTGCTTATTCTGTGGGAATATTACATTATTGGGCAGGTACAGGATTTCCCTGGCTGTACAAAACGTCTTACATTAAATGTATGCAAATGTTTACTTTGGACACAAACTCCTGACTGCTATGTTTTTAAAGGATTCACAGCAGACATCATGCACATTTCTCAGGCCTTCATGGTGATATGTTGTGTATTTTGGTATTTCTGGTTATCTACTGTTGGGGTGGGGAGAGTGAAACTCTTGATGGATTATGGGCTGTCATGTGATCACACACACACTATATCACTGTTCCGCTTGTTGCCCTTTCACATCCATCACATGAGCTCTAGCGTTCTCAGTGTGCCTGCCACAAAACAGTAAGAGACAAAAAATAAGCTATGTTGATTGAAAATGCAGTTAATTTGAAGGAACAATTCAATCCCTGAGTTGTGCTGATTGCGAACTGCAATGTCCCACAAAACAGCCATGAGGTGAATGACCAATTTTATGTGGAGGATCGTTGGCTAGATCAATGTGAAAAGCTTCCTTCTCTTTTCAAATATTGTGATCTTTAACATCCACCTGAACAGGCCGGTAGGACCTTGTTGAACATCTGAAGGATGGCACCTATGACAATGCAGTTCTCCCCCACCATTGCATTGAAGTGTTAGCCTAGATTTTGAACTCAAGCCTCAAAGTGGTGTATATAAGATGTTTGTCCTGAAGAGGCGAGAATTTAATTTTGAAGGTTTCTGCCTTATACTTTCTGATGGAGATTACAATGCATTTTAGTTAGGTACTGCTGGAAGGGAAATGATTTATTGTAACTTCCAGTAGTATCATTATTATAAGGAAGAAGTGTGATTTATGATTCACTCCTCTTTCTGTTCATCGCACTGACTGGAAGCTGAGGAAAATTGAGTCTACTCATTCACATTCAGGCAGATGCTCCACGAACTGGTATTAACTGATATTAATATAACATTAACTGATATTGACAAGCGGCCTTGTGACCTTTATACAGCTTTCACTTTATAAGCTTGCCTCATTTTGAGAAAGATGTTGTTTTCCCTGGTGTTGAATTGGAACCTATTTTGGGATTTTGATTTCCCATTATTCTACATGTTTCAAATCCATAATAAAATAGTTGGAGATGAAGCAATTGAACCGAATGACATTATGGACAAAGTTGTGGAAGTCTAATTTACGTAGATAATTAACTTTTAACATTTCCATTTGAGTCAAATTTTGTTTTAATACAAACTTTTCCAGGCATGTTGCCAGCTGACACCCACAAATGCCCCCTTTTCAGCAGAAGGGACAAGGGACAGAGTAAGAGCAAGTCTCCTGGCTAATTACCCATCTCTAGCCTCGAGATGCAAAGACCAATTGTTGCCCAGGCTGACAGAAGCTCCAACCACAGACTGTAAATTGAACTTGTGATCTTCTTGTCTGTATTGGTTAGTGCTACATTGGTTAGTGCTACATTAGCTGATGCCTTACCCACTATTCTATAAATCAGGAGAGCTTCAATATTGCAATCCTTGATGTCCATTTCAGGAGTAATACCCAGATTATATTTCGAACTCTGTTTGCACCTCCAAGATTTAAATGCTTCATGAGATTGAAGTGAGCATGTTCTAAAAGCAGTGTATGCACCTCAGATGTTGTCTGCAGGCATCTGACTGCAACGCATGAGCAGTTGCTAGATCAGTAGAGCGAGCGAGAGAAAATATCTCACATCAGAGTTGCGTTAGGACGGCTTTTTCCTGTGTTTGTATTGAATGAACACTGATTTTTTTTTAATATTTTTTTTAATCGGGGTTTATCGGTTAAAACCGAATATCAGAAGCTCTAAAGGTACTAAATTTATGTTTAAAAAATCTGCAGAAGTGGAATGTCCCATGTTATGGGCAGCTTGACTTCAGACAATTTCCATTTCAGATTGCCAACATTCAGAGTTTTGTAGCACCAGGCATCTTTAATGGACTATGCAACCATACCTACGTGCCTTTTTATTTTTCTTGAGATTATTTGATTTGAATTTACACCCTCAATTTCAGTAGCTTAATTGCCTTTTTCCAGTGAGAGTGTATTTGTGAATTGAAGTGCCACAACAATGCCTTGTATCTAGCCAAATCTCTCTGGTGTAATTTAAGTACACAATTGCAAAGTATCTTAGTATAGATTCACACAAATTTCAGCACGGAAGGAGTTCATTATTCCTGTTGTGTTCATATCAAGTTATCGCTTTCTTTTTCTCTCTCTATCTCTCTTTTTTGTATTATCTCTCTCTCTTTCTTCCCCCATTCCCCCTTCACTGGAGCTATCTGCTCTTATTTCAGTAATATGCTAAATGCTATATTTACCCTTGAAATTTTATGCAGAAAGAAAGAACTTGCTTTTATAGCATTGTATTTATAGCATATGTTGTATTTATAGCATATGTTGAAATATCTCAGAAGAGTTTTGCAGTAATTATTGTCAAGTGTAGTGACTTTATTGTCAAAAGTGTCTGCCATTTTACTTAAAGCAACGTCTCACTAAGAGTGTCATAGGATATTTAATGTCAAAGGGGACATTAACTGTATAATGTTTAACGTCTGATCTAAAGAACTGCATCTCTGATAATGCAGCACTTCTTCAGTACTGCATTAGAATGAACTTAAGCCCCAGTGTGGGGATTGAACTCTTAATAGTCTGATCCAGAGGGGAATCCTACCAACAGAGTCAGGCTGACACGAATAGAACTAATGAGAATACATTGGAAACGTTCCAAAGCAGCAAAGCTGCACTTTGAGACGTTTCAAAGACGTGATAAGGCACTATATCAAATGCAAGTATTATTAGTATTATTTGTATTTTGGTTGCATGTTCATCAACAAGCTGAGATAGGCTTAGTGTTTGTAAAGAATCGTGTTGCTGTGTGTGATACAAGAGTGACATTTACTGCCTCTTACTGGTTTCATTCCTGTTGTTGCAGGCTTCATGCACTGCTTCCCTGTGATTTTCCTTCTGGGTCTTCTTCCACAAATCAATACTTTCGTCACGTATTTTCTGGAACAAATAGACATACACATATTCGGAGGTTCTGGTATGTATTCACAAGTTTTCATTTTGCTTTTTTTTTAGGACTAAATTAAACAATGTAAGGGACTCAGTCATACTTACTGGGTAGACAATTATTTAGGTATGTGACTATAACTTCTATGAGTACTTTTGCGTTAACATCGAATTGCTTGCACACGATTAAAACCTGGCTGAAAGGCAGCATGTGTCACATTTTGATGGATGTGGATCCAGTGTTACACACTCGCACCCATCATCTTGTGTGGTGAACTTGATCTCAACAAAGATAGATGTTGTGTCAGTGGCTGTTCAGTAAAAAGTCCTGTATTTATTCATCCATATGTGTATCCTGTTGTGTTTTGGCTGCTATCACCTACCTGCAATGGTGCTTCACTTCAGCTCTTGTTGTCATTCAATTAAATGGGCAATGAAGGCAAAAGCTAGAAACGTGCGTTAGCAAGTAAATACGGACTGGAACGTGATCAAAAACAATGACTAAACTAACTCAAAACAGAAGACAAGCCAAATCAAATGACCGAACAGAAACTGCCACATACACTGTGGCTATTTGAAGGGAGTTAAGAATTACCCAGGCTCAGTGCTTTGTTTGAATGACAGCACCAGATCCTGGCGTGGTTTTGGAGTGACAAGCTATGCTAATGAGTGCTTTATTGTGTTGGTGCTGTCCTCTCTATACCTCTTAGCAGATTACACGGCCAACCGACAATAGTTCTCTCAACACTTTTTAGTGCCAAGAGAATGTAAATAATTAACATTTAGAGAAATCCTTTCAGCTTTTGCAATGTGCTATAACTGATGTACGGAATGAATGTTGCATAGTGTTGTGATTATGTCCGGTTATGAACAAATTAACACTCTTGTGTGAGAGGTTAGGGCAGTCCTTGGGAAACAGACAGTAAATAAAGTCACTGTCTCTTTGCTTCAGGTCCCATCAGCTCAGCTCCAAGGAGATTCTGCTTACCCTCATTTCCTCCCAACCCACCCCTGGGGGAAAGGGGAGGGTAAGCGGAATCTCCTTGGAGCTGAGCTGGCTTCAAGGTGACATGCTTGGCCAAGGTGTGTCGGAATTGAGTCAAACCTCTCCGCTGGTCTTGGTCGTCTGGTTTCTGAGCCAGGTGGGTTTGCAGTACTCCAAGACACTCTGATGACTGACCGGCCAGCCTGGCTCATTGGCAGAACTTTGAACGGTCGAGGATTATGCCCATTCGGCTCCTTTATCACTGCAAGCCAAAACCATAATGAGTAGGGTGGTCTAAGACAGACAAGCAGCAGGAAGCCTGCCAGGCAGTGCTCTCGATTGCAAGCTAGATGGTTTTGGCTGGTTAAACAGCAGCAGTACCCCAACATACACTCCTTGGATCACACCACCTTGCACCTAATATCTCCAGGATTAGGTAAGCAGGATGTGTCCTCCAGAGATAGAGTGCACATTCCATTCCTGACATAAGTGACATACATATGTTCAACTTTGAGTCTGGTTTGGATACTCTTAAATATGCTCATGGAATTCCGGGATACTCATTTAACCAAACAAAAAATCTGTTTTGTTTGTCACTTCAAATCTGAAACTCGTTCAGCCAGAGAATATGGAGGGGGGATTGCTTGAGAAGGTCAGCCTACAATGCAATAAAATTGCAGTGCTTTCGAGGGCACTACCTGGCAAGCTTCCCGCTCACATTGCTACTATTCAGCACATGGAGAAATGAGGCCTCTGGAGAAACTTCAATCTCTGGTTGACTGGAGGTGGGTGCATGGAGATTGGTGGCTGTGAAGAAATTAATGAAACTAAAAATGAATATTCTGAAACACTTGTGTTTTTCAGCTGCCACGGGCTTAATCTCATCACTGTATAGCTTTTCCCGCAGTTTACTTGCTGTGGTTCTGCTATATGTATTATGTTTTGGTGCAGTAAAGGTAAGGTGATAAGTCTGAATTTAATTCTTAACTTATTCTTAAAAGTACCAACAAATAATGAATGGGATCAGTAATATTCCTCAGCCAGTCTGAAGATACGGCTGTAAGATGACATGTTCTAGATTTTATTTTAACCAAACAGCTGTACTAAAAGTTCTGTGCAAGAAATATACACAAAATCTCATTGTCATAGACTAAGAACTGATGAATTAAGTGTTGACTGTTTATACAAAAACGGAAAATGCTGTGTACCAAAGCAAGTATCTGAAAGAAGATAAAAAGATTAACTCATCATAAACCAGGGGATTTGATGGATCAGTAGAGAGTTTAGCCCTTATGTAACATTATATTTGGGATCCATAAATTGAGGCTCCACATTATAATGGAGTGGGTTGTAGTGCAGATGTTTATCAGCACTTCTGAAGTTGTCAGGGGTGTTGCTGACACCACAATACCTCACTACGCCTGGTCGTTGTGCAAACAAAATGAACTGATTGGCAGCAACTCATCCTGATTATTTTTGGTGGTTGTTGGGATGTCACTGACATAACTGAACTCCACTGCGTCTGCTCGCTACATGCGGGAAGCCAGCCAGCGCTGGAAGCAGGAAGTATCAATGCCCTTCAGCCTTCTGTGGGTCCACTTTATATCTGAATCCACAGTACACTCGTACAGCGCCTTTCATGGCGGGAGGACGTCCCAAGCCCCAGTACACTGAACTGCGCTGTAACAAATGGGTTGGACTGCATTCACACAATCATCGATTAGGAGAGCACTTGTGGAACTTGAATGTTGAAATTAAGTGTAATGGAAAGCTAAGGATATATCATATGATATCTGCACCTTTGCTTAGTGTTACTTTTGTCAGTCTGAGGCTGGAGTTGGAATGATGCGACTGTCTCAAAAAGACCCTGTGTATTTTGTGACTGAAATAATTTTTGTCACTGACGTTTTTCTGATACGGTGGATTCTCAAGATATTTTTGTTTGTTTGAGAAGAGCAAGCGATGGCAGTATATGTTATCCCGTTCACAGCATGATTGATGGTGACAATTTTTTATGCATGTATCAGTGGATGGGGACATGTGGGAAGAATAAATCACTAGATTGGGCACCAAACTTGGCTTACTAAACAGTATAAAACCTGTTGGTGTTGGATATTGAATTAAATGAATTAAGATTTTCTTTCTCCTGTATTACAGGGACCGTGGGATGCTCAACATATTCCAGTGCTATTTTCTGCCTATTGTGGACTGTTAGTTGCCATTTCTTATCACCTGAGCAGACAAAGCAGTGATCCAACAGTATTGCTGTAAGTATGCAGTATTCAGTAATAATCATTTGAGGTTATTATTGCTAATGATGCCAGAACTGCAGTAAAAGTGCAGTCCAGGGTCCTGCAAAAATGTCACTACATCAACCATGCAGAGAAGATTCAGACTGACACATGGCATCACAGTGCCAGTGCGCACTGAATGAGCTAATCTGATTTCTTCTGACAAGCTCCCTGAGTTATAGTCACTACCAAAAGTACTGCTACAGTTTCACAGGCTGCATATTTTATCCTTTTATATTGCTTTTGAACTTTCTTATTAATAAACAATTTAATTCTCAACTTGCCATCAAGACCGTGAGTGAAATATTCATCTGCCCTGTGTTGGATAACAATATCATGTGTTACCATTGTTTTATTACCTCAAAATATGTGGCTTTCATTTGAGCAGTGGAGTGTCACCCATGTTATCGGCAATGGTCTAGACTCGCACTGATCTCTACTTAAAGCCTTGACTGTATGCTCAAACAAGGGTTTCTGAAAATGGCATTTAATAACAGTCCAGAAATAAACAGTCCAGGAAACAGTTAATTCTTCTTCAGTGGATTGTCAACTCTGAAGGGAAAAAATAAATTTTTGACACATTAAAGAGATGCTTCTCCATTTCCAGCTAGAATAACATGGTAGGAAATTATTGAAAAATGAAATATTCCACACAGAACAAATATTAGTTGACAAGCTTAGTTGCATTCCCAGTCTAAAACATCAAGAAAACTGAATGGGTCATTGATTTTTTTGCATCTCTTTGCCACCCCATTAGCAATTTAGGTGGTAGCCTCCCTCATTTGGTAGGATTCTCTCCTCTGAGTCAGGGTTGTGGGTTCAAGCCTCATGTCCAGCCTGACACTACTGGGAGAGTTGCACTATTGGAGAGACCCCCTGGGATGTCAAGATCTGCCCCCCCGAACAGTCTAGGTTCTGTGTTGGATTGCAGTGCGTTTTCAGGTTTTTCTTGTTTGAATATTTGTTGATTTATGGGATAAATCAAGAAGTATTCAATCAAGAACACTTATTTTGTTGGCTGAATATAAAGGTCGGCCATCACTGGCCTAGATAAACAGTTCAAGTCCGAACTTGGGGCTTGAACCCACCTTGCCCCAAAAGAAAGAATAAAACCATCTGAGGCAGACTAGCACAGGAGACGATGTGGAAGGACAGATTGATGTACGCTTTAGTAATTAAACCTACACATGTGTTCTTGCTCTGCATGCTGTATATATATGTAAGTCAACCCGATTGTAACGCAGTCGTTTGGGTATCCAGAATCTCAGAGCCATGCACACATGAAGTGATGTCAATGACATTTTTTGCGTATAGCTTGCAGGTGCGCATTGTGTGTGAAGTGACCACTCAAACATTGACCACCTTTCAGCACAGGAAGCCAGCTGAGTCAGTGGCAAGTGTGCTGTACTACCGAGAAGTGCTGGCTCAGAGTAGACAAGAAGAAAAACAACAACTTGCACTTATATAGCGCCCTCCACGCCGGGCGGCGTCTCAGAGCGCTCACACACACAAAGCCATGCAGTATTGCCATCAAAGTAAAACGGCATATATTGGTTATATTTATACTGTGAACACTAGATGAAGCCAAAAAATCACCATTTCTATTCATATGCTGTTATGTAACTGAGTGTTTCATTTCAACTCTAGATCTCTAATTCACACTAAACTGTTCAATGAATTGAAAGCCAGGAATCCGGAACATCCTTTATTAGAAAACAAGGATGCACTTCCTGAAAAGCTGAGGAATTCAGTGGTACGTGTCTATTATTTTTTTGTGCTGGATTGTTTTGGGAGTAATTGTATAAAATGTGTTCATTTTTATATGAAATTATATTTACTGTCTTTGTGGAGTTAGTTGTTTGTGTTCAGTTTCTTTTTAGTTCTGCATTATTTGGGCAAATAATTTCTTATTAGTTATGAGATGAATGATATTTGAGCAAATATTGCATACAATTGAAAAAATCATTGTTTTCTCTTATTCTACACTGTGATTTTGTCAATTATGCATCTCACCTGTTTAAGCTCAGCAATACCACATATCACTTTTTCATTGCGAGAGCAGTTAAGTATATGAGTTCCAAAGGCTTGAGGTCTTGGGAGAAAATGAGTTAGAAATAGTGTGGTGAGAGTTTTTTTTTGCAATGGAATGAAGATGCATCAAGGAGGAACGGTGTACAGTACAACATGTTTACAACTTGAGCGAAACAAGAGAAGAATGTTCAGAGAAGCAATGACAACAGTTGTATTGATTAAAACAATGGCAAGGAAAAATTGTGACAGAGAGAAGATGGAGCCAGAAATGAGGGAAAGGCTACCAGTCAGACAACAAGTTTTCCTTTTGTGCTGTCCAGGAGTATGATTAATTGCTTGCAGAGTCTGCATACATATGGCAGCTGTATTCAAGCATTAAGTGGGCCTGAGCTTTAAAGAGATAAGTTACTGAAGAGAATATAAATATTCAGAAACCTGGATACTTGAAGAATAATTGGGAATGTTGAAATGAAAATTTCTCAGAGATCAGAGGAATTAGTGAGGCCAAGAATGTGATCAGGAGCCACTGAAAGTAAGTAGATGTTGGCTAGACATTAGAGGAATAAACAGTTTTGAGGAAGTAAAAGAAATGTCATTGCTTCAACGAATGAGATCAAGGTTTAGAGATTCAACCACCGAAAAGGGTAAATATTGTGGGCACTAAAGGAATTTTAATGAAATAAATTGATCAAAATGCAATGGAATCAGCTAAAGAGTGTGCGATTATTAACTGGAGGTTATTTATGTATATTTTTCCCTCATATCAAAGATCCTGCCCAGCATTTAGGAAGATCTGGCAATTATATTTGACACCATTCTGGTCAAGCAAGATTTGAAATTTGTCAGGTTATTTTTCAGCTACTTCTTTTCGGGACCTTCATTTAGTCCTCTGCAAATTGGTGATAGAGTTCTTTGAACTGCATGAGTTCCTACAAATAGTAAAATCCATCAACTAATGATAAGACACTAAGCTGCTGAAATCTATTAAGGCAATTCACATTGAATTCACCAAGCAGCTAAAATCTGATGAGACAATTCACATAAGAGCACAGAACCCAATAATTGTTCTGGTAATTTGGGCTAATTTGTAAATAAGTTGAATATGGCTTCATTTGTGAACAATAACTCTTGCATCAAATTTGATATTCTAATTTGAGATTATTCTGAAGTAACAATGACCCCTTAAATAGGTTAACCTGAAATGTGATTTTTGTTTCCTTGTGCTTGAAATTATTAAACATACACTGTGTTCAATTTACTGCCTTTTGAATGGTGTTCCTTATCAGCATCATGCATGTACTGTGCTCTGTACATTTTTGCAGAAAGAAGTCTTGAAGTCTGATCTTATCATGTGCTCAGTAATTAGTCTTCTAACCTTTGCGATCAGCGCAACCACAGTTTTCCTTTCATTGGAGGTACGTATTTTTCGTGATTTATTCAGTTTCTTAACACTGGGAGTAGATTAAAGAACATTGCTTTTTGTGGAAATATTTGTTGTCGTTTCGTGCTTTTACAAAATATAAAGAGCTGTTGAAATCCTTTGAACCAAGCATGTGTAGCGAGCATTTTAATGAGCTTGGTACTTATTTGAAGTATCTGTCGTCACCATCTCCACTGCTGCCTTCAAGCAGGAGGTGAAAATTTCTGTTGCTAAGTTTGTCAACCTGCAAACAAAAGAAAGCTGTGAAAAGTTTTGGTATTTATTTGATAATGTTTGCTTCGGAAGGTTTTCTGTTTTTTGATGATCTTGCTTTGAGGCTTATTTGTGTACTATAGAACTGCAAGATGTTAACCAAACAGTTCTTAGAAGAATTACTTGTCAATTGAGAGATGATTTCAAAAAAGGTTTGGAATAAGTTTATAAAAAAGTAAGTGTAAATTATTGCTGTTTTACTCTGGATTTTTTAATTTTTCAATAAACCAAGTGAATAATTGGCAAAATCATCTTTGTAATAATATTATTATTATTATTTTCAGGGACTGGGTGGCCCAGAGCACTGCCTTTTCAGCTCAGAGACTTTGATAAAAATTGAATCCAAGTATTCGAGCTGACACAGAAATTCCTTTCTTAATCTGAGTTATAAAACCCTGAAATAATTTGAGTTTGCTGCGATCATTAACACTGAAAGACATTAATATTGTATTGCAGATGAACTGCTTTTAACATATTCCGGCAATCCCATCTTTTATCTAACTCAGAATCTTTTTTTATTTCAGCCATTTCTTGGTATTGTGCTGTATGCTTTGGCTGGGACAATAGGATTCTTGACTCATTATCTACTTCCTCGGCTCCGAACACAAGTTCCATGGTTTTGTTTTTCACACCCTTTTCTTGAAACTAAGGAATACAGAGAGTTTGAAGTCAGAGGTTAGTACCAGATGAATGGTTATTGCAATACAAATGTCCTTTTGTATCAGAGCAAACATAGATTTTTTGTTGAAAAGATCACATTTTTTCTGCAAGAAATGTCTCTCAGTGGAAAATGTCTAATTATAATGTGTCCAATAATAGCTTTGAAATGAAAATCGATGATCAAAGGTGAAACAATTTCAATCTATATAAGGATTATATCGGGGAAATGTTAATGCAGTCTAAATGTGTGCCAGGCACAGATTCATTCTGTACTATATTTGTGCTTCCTTTCATGTAGACTTTTCTCATTCTTTAGTTTATATAATACTGCAGTGCACTTCAAGTGTTCCACATGAATTAGCAATCTTATCTGTTCTATTCAGTGGAAGCACTAATTTTTGGAGCGATTTATCCCACAGGGAGCAAGAGAGACTCAGCAAGTCATTCACACTAGGCCACTTTTGTGTACCAACCAGGTACAGAAAAGTGTACCTACTTGTCCATAAAAGTGTACTCACTTGTCCATAAAAGTGTACTCACTTGTCCATCCTTTTGTCCAGGAAATGGAGACCATATAGACCGTATATAGACTTTAATGGAGACCATATATAGATTTTAATGTAGACCTTTCTCAATCTTTAGTTTATATAATGCTGCAGTGCACTTCAACTGTTCCACACGTGAATTAGCAACCTCATCTGTTCTATTCAGTGGAGGCACTAATTTTTGGAGCGATTTATCCCACAGGGAGCAAGAGAGACTAGACTCAGCAAGTCATTCACACTAGGCCACTTTTGTGTACCAACCATGTACGCAAAAGTGTACTCACCTGCAGATAAAAGTGTACTTACTTATCCACCCTTTTGTCCAGGGAACGGTGACCATCTTTGGCAGCTCCAAAAAGTACAGCAGTAAGTATGAAAACAAATGACATGTTCATTAAGAGTTTCTCTTATTTTGTATACCGTGATCAGGAATTTTAATTTAACGGCACCAGTACAAATTTACATTTATATCGCGCCTTTCATGTCGGGAGGATTTCCCAGAAATAAAACTATAAAAGACAAACTAATTCAAACAATTTGGACAATTTTCAAATAGTAATTGTTGGACAAAAGGACCAGAGGATCTGCATGTTTTTCTATTGAACAGCACAGCAATGCGGATCGTTCAGAAATTGGTATAATTTCATCAATGTTTGGTGTCAAATCACTGCTAAAAGCAGGAAATTATCTGTACCTCTTGATATTCCTTTAACACTATACCGCAAGCCTCTCTCTTGTGGAGCCTCACTTCAGGTGGCTGATTCAGGTCATTTTCTTCCACTAACATCAGCAGTTACTTGTCCTGTGCTCATTTACCAGTCAAAGCAAGTGCTTTGCTTGCATTTTCAGCATGTGATTCAGGATACCTTTATTCTGCTGCCCAAAACAGACACAGATTAAGTTTTGATTTTGTAATGGACAATGAATATAGAAATGTCTTATCTGTTACTGATGGCCTGTGGTGCTTCCCTTTGAACTACAGTTTATTAGCTTTTTTTGCATTCTGATAAGAAGGCGCCCTCTGGGATCCCCCAAGCCTTGGGTTCCTTCTAGCCAGCACCTAATACTCTCTGGAATTGGGTAATCAGGATGTGTCCCTCCAGGAAGAGTCACATTCCATTCCAGATACAACAATTTCCACGTGTAACAACAACAACAGTTTACATGTACATAGCACCCTTCACACTGGGTAGTGCCCCTGAACGCTTGTAAGTGGCATAAATGCAACTGTCTGGTTTGGATACTCTTAAGCGTGATGATGGGTTTTCACATGTGTCTGGCACCTGGCTGACCCAAAACTGTCATTAGAAATCAACAACAACAAATTACATTTGTATTGTGCATTTCACGTCGAGAGGACATTCCAAGGTGCTGGACAGTAAGGGATTTGGGCCCGAGCAGGGGGTTGGGATCAGGAGGAGTGGAAGGAAGGAGAGTAGGGGTAGGAGGGTGACTGAAGGCGCGGTCGAAGAGGAGTGCTTTTAGACGTGCCTTGCAGGAGGCAAGGGAGGGACTGGCTGGAGTTCCAAAATGTGGGGATAGAGAGGCTGGAGGCCCGACTGCCGATGGCGGGACGGGCCAGATGGGGGACGTGGAGCAGGCTAGAGCCCACTAAGCGGAGGGAGCGGACAAGTGAATATGAACAATTTGCACCTATGGAGCACCTTCCACAAAGCAACATCTCAAAGCGCTTTACAAAATCTGAGAGTGGGCGGGGGGTGGGAATGCTTCGTGCCACTATGCAATTTTGTATGCGTGTACAAAAGAATCTGGTGGTAAACTATGTGCCCACATTTTAAATGGTAATAGGATCTTTCTATTTTCTGAGAAGCTGTACTAATGCACTTATTGGTTTATTCCAAAGTGATAATGATGAGCTGATCAGTGAAAATAATGTGTGAAATGATTGGCCGACAGCCTCTGGAGTGCTTACATTACAACCTTGTACAGTTAAATTGGAATTTTGCGGTTCATTTAGAGTGGAATTTAATTTGCTTAAGCATCCAGACAATAATAGAAAATTAAAATCTCCATACACAGTCGTTGCTGTGAATGTGAAATGAGGCTTAAATTAAAGTACTACATCACCTGGAGCATTAACATGCATGTAATTAATCTCTGATCTGTGGAACTGAAAAAGATATGCTAAAATGTTTCTAAAGAAGACGGTGCAATGGAATTATTTATTTGAATGCATTTGTGACAAACTCAAATTAGATATCCTTTTTGAGCCAATTTTCATCAGAAATGACTTCATCCGTATCCTAGTTTTAATTTGTAGGAGCAGGAGGAGGCCATTCAGCCCATTGAGCCTGTGCTGCCATTTAACCGGTTGTCTTCAGTCACCTCTCCTCTCTTTCCAATTCAGCGTCATTCCACACCACTGTTAACGTTCCAAGACACTCGTCACATGAAGGGCACTATATACGTGCAAGTTGCTAGTTTTATTTTATTATGGTGGAAACTGGGTATATTTTTTAATCCCAAAGCTCTGCCTTTTGGCCATACACTATCCAAGTATCCATGTTTCTTTTAAACATTCCTCTTGATTCACTGCTTTGTCGGTAAGCACTCCAGATCTTTACAAACATTGTAAAGAAATGCCTCCTAACCTCAATTCTAATTGTTGTGGCTCTGACTTTAAGACTATGCTAGTCTATACTAGGCTTGCACTTTTCCTTGTAATGAGCTGCAAATTGTTTAAGCCCAGAGGGAAGACATCACCAACACCTTTTATACTTTTCTAGGAGAATCACATGGTTAGTTTGTCACAGATGTAAAAAAGGTAAAAATAAAGTGAGATAACAGCAATTATAGTGCTTATTATGTTTAAAATATCCTCTGATAAAGCACCTAGTTTTTTTTAAAAAGTCTCTTGTTCGTGTTTTTTGGGGGACTTAAAGTACAACATAGTACATAAGCTATAAACATGATGCTGAACTTGTGTAGTGTGCTAGTCACTATTACAATAGGAACTTTCCAGACACTGGAGATGGTTAAAAAAAAGTCCAATTGAATTGTTTGTCTGGAATTTGACAGCAGAGCTAATCTGAACTGTCTGCTTCCCTCCTTTCTTCTGAGCTCAAGGATGTGCTTCTTGTTATAACCTTGTATTTGATACAGTGCTAGGAGAATACTAAGGAAGCTGGAAATGTTTGCACTATAGGAGAGAATACTCTCAGGGGATATTATTGATGCATTCAACATCTTAAAGGGCAGAAATAAACTGAATCCTAATCTATTTAGCATTGTTACAACATTTACAAGGTGTCAGCCTGGATCATTTCCTAGGAATCTCACCTTTGATTCAGAAGGCTGAGGGTTTAAGCCCCATGTTGAACTCAGTCTAGAATGACCTTCCAATCTGCTGCATTGTCGGAAGTGCTTTCTTTCAGATGAGATGTCAAACCGAAGTCCGTCTGCCCATTGTGGTGGATGTTAACAATCTCAGGGAAATATTTGAAAAGAGAAGGGAGTTTATCCCGGTGTCTTGGCCAACAGTCCCCCAAATAAAATTGGTTACTCATTTCATGGCTGTTCATGGGACATCTCTATGTGCACAAATTGTTGCCAGTTTGCTTGTGAAATGCACAGTCACTTTACAATCAATCCTGGAGTTGCTTTGAGACATCCTCCTGATGTGAAAGGTGATGTATCAAATGTACAGATTATAACAGGGAGCACATCCTTGAACTCAGAATAGGTGTTCTCAGAAAGAAGCAACTACCTTGCTCAGATTGAACTACCTTGCACTGAGAATGGTGAAATAAAAGGATTTGTGTGAGGTGGGGGAAGCAGATTTGGAGGTACTGATATGAGTTGTTTTTTCGTCTTCCTACAATCTGGTTTCCCCGCTGTCCAAAGTCCTGAGACTGTGCTGGTCAAAGTCACCCATAATATTCTCGCCATCTATTACCAGGGCTCTTCTCTCTGTCTCCTTGTCCTTCTTGACCTCTGTGCTGCCTTCGACATTGTCGACATCTTTGGCCTGCTTCACGTCCTCTGCCCTGCCCGTCCCACCATTGGTGGTTGGGCTTTCAGCCTATCTGCTCCCGCTCTCTGGAACTCCATCCTGTGTCCCTTCACCTAACCTCTTCCTTTGCCTCCTTCAAGGTCCATCTCAAGATCTTCCTATTTGACCGCGCTTTCAGTCATCTTCCCTCCCGAATCCAACCTCTGACTTGGGTGCAAACCCTCGACTGTCCAGCATCTTGGGATGTCCTCCTGACATAAAAGGTGCTCTACAAATGCAATTTGTTGTTACTGTTTCAAGAGTAAGTTAGTGAGGGATTTTGTGACCACAAAATTGAAAACCACAAACACTTCATTTTAATTTCCTGCTAAGGATTTATGTTCATAAGAGATTTGCTGTTAGTGCTAAAAACTGGATATTTTCCCATTACTGGTACCCAATGCCAACAAGAAGTGTTCCCAGTGTTGTATCGTATAGTGGGGTACTTACTGGAACCCCTTCTACTCCTCCACAATAATAATCCTTAGCTTCAACCTAGGATAGCATCCCTACTCTACGAAGGTTCCCTCACAAGCTAGCCTTGAGGTCTTTCTTATGATGTGTTTATAATCATAATAATTCTTGGATTTGATATCGTGCCTTAACACATCATGGAAATATCTCAAAGCAGTTCACAGGATTGACTGTAGATTGGAGTGACTACATTTTGTAGGTGAATTATGCGTAGCAATGACCAATGAATCATCATGAAGTGAATGATCAGTTTTACCCTGGGAGATTGTTGGCTAGGACACTGGAAGAAACTCCCTTTGTTTATATCACTGAACAACATCGAATTTTCTCAGCACAGGCCATTTGACCTGTCATGTCTGTGCCAGATATCTGCAAGAGCTAACTGCTTAGTCCCACTCCCATGTCTGTTTCCTATATCCTTTTTATATTTTTATTTTCAGAATGGAATTTTTTCAGGCTATATATCAGATCCATTGATAGCCAACTACTGTACTCCATTTTTTGAGGGAGGAGTTCATGCGACCAACTCTTCAACAACTTTAAAGAAAAATCCCTGAACATTCCCGCATTGCACAGTGGACTCCTGAGTGTGTGCAAGGACCCAAAGGAAATGGAATTACCATTGATTTGCGTCCACCCTAAGTGAACCCGTCAGCACCTCCACACCTCAGGCATTGACAGCATCACCATCTAAGGATGCACACTCTACCTCAATGAGTCAGTCCAGAACCATGGTGCTTTGTTTGACCCTCAACTGTCCTTTCTACCCCACATCCGTGCCATGACATACTCTGCGTTCCCCCACCTCCGCAATATCGCCCAGCTCCACCACTGTCTCACACCACAGGCCGCCGAGACCCTCATACACGCTTTCATAACATCCAGGCTCAACTACACAAACTCCCTGCTTGTCAGTCTCCCTAACTCCTCCCCCCACATAGGCTGCAGATCATCCCATGTCCAGATCATCCTCTGCAGCCCGTGTCCTCTCCCGCACCAGGCTTCGTGACCCTGTCAACCCCATCCTTGCCCGACTCCACTAGATTCACACAGACAGAGGATACAGTTCATGATCCTGGTCCTCGCTTTCAAAGCTAACCATATCCATATCCAGCCTACCTCTGAGACCTCCTAACCCACTACCAACCTGCCCACTCCCTCTGCTCAACGGGCTTCGGCCTGCTTCACGTACCCACCTCACCCTCCCCATCATTAGCGGGCAAGCCTTCGGCCATTCTGCCCCCACTCTCTGGAACTCCAACCCCCTAGTCTTTCCGCCTCGCCCCCTCCCTTGCCACCTTCAAGACCTGTCTCAAGACCCTCCTTCGACTGTGCCTTCGGACACCCTCCTTCCCCCCCTGCCCTCCACCCTCCACAATCTTGACCCCCAGCTCGGGTCCGAAACCCTGACTGTCCAGCACCTTGGGATGTCCTCCTGATGTGAAAGACGCTATACAAATGTAAATTTGTTGTTGTGTATTGCATTACAGTAAATTGGGCCAACTGGCCTGTTCCCTTGCTCTTTCACTCTATAGTTCTGAGGCTACCTCCTCCAACTGCTCGACACAGTGGACTCCAAAGCAAGTCACTCTGGTTCAACCCCGTATTGTTTATTTTTACACTGCATGTTTTGTATCACATCACAAATCAAATATAACATGAGTGAGATAGGCTGGGCCAATTTGGGCTGTGTTTCTGCATGCACTGAGACAGAAACTTCACAATAATATTCGTACAGGGTTCTCTTATCACCATCATTGGATTTTTACCACGACCCAGAGAGGTCTGGATAGGAACTTGTGGAGGAGTAAATGCCGATTTTCCCCAACCCTCCCTCCCCCAGTACAGCAGCTCTGCAGCCTGCCAGTTTGAAGCCCCTGGTGTAAGTGGTAGTTTGTAGTTTTGATGTTTTTAATATGTAGGCTCATTGCAATTTAAATTAGCAACATTGATTTGAAATTAGTACATTAAATTTAAATGTCTAATAAAGGTTTGAAATTATTATTACGTTGTTAAATTGAAACTGTCGAGCAAAATGGCTCAAAGCAATGTTTTGTAAAATTTATATGTACAGTGACAGCAGGAAAGACTGGAGAGATGACTGACATGGCCCCAGAGCTGCTATTTTATTGTTTCAATCCTACTGCAGTTCATGCAGAGCCTGGCTTCCTGTCCTGTCGCCAAATACAGTACACAGGAAAATGAATTATTTAATGTTTGGTGTGGGACGACAAGTTCCTGCTTTGGAGAATTCTACAATGTTTGAAACATGCCTTGTGCTGGGTCTTGCAAATGTGACTGCTGAGGGAAAGGAGGAGACTGTGTCTGTAGCCAGTCTGTGCGAGTGAGTGTCGGGCACTGATCGCTGTGCTTCTTTGTCCAACACTAATGCTAATGCTTGCAAAGCCATTCTAGATTTCGCCCTGTAGCTAGGAGTCAAACCAGCAGATTAAAGATGGTGTCATTTATCTATGTAAAAAGCACACAAAAGAAATAAAACCTATAACTGGGTACAAATGATAGGAAAGTAGGAAACTGAGAAAGCTTGAATATGATGTGGGAAAGGTGGAAGGCAGGCACCATTAATCAAAGTAAGTTAAAACGAATAGACTACAGGCTCGCTGCTGGCTCTTACTGAAGGCAATGGTTTTCAACAGTGCAGTTTGTAGTGATTGTTACAGAGGTGGAATTCACAAAAAGGTCAAACAAACCTTTTAAGAACACAAAGAACTTGCATTTTTATAGCAAGTTAAAACACCTCAGAATACTTTGTAGGTAATTACTGTCAATTCTCGTGATTGTTATGCATACAAATGCAGGAGTCCGATAAACAAACAGCTTTAGGGTAAATGACTAATCTTACCTGAGATAAGGACACCAGGAGAAATTTCCATATATTTATAAATATTCTTATGTCTTCTTTATTGTCCACCTGAACAAATAGGCAGGACCAAGGTTTAGCATCTCATCCGAAAGACGGCACATCACCTCTGACAACTCAATGCCCTCTCAGTATTGTTTAAACCCAAAGAATTGAACTGACAACCTTTTGACACAGAAGCGAGAATGGTACTAATTGAACCAAGTTAACACCGTTTATTGCTATTTGTTAAAAGCTTTGAAGCTTTAAACCGCATTACTCAATCCTGCCCCAACATACGAAGTATATTTTTTAAAAGTTAAAAGATTTTTAAAAAATTTACAAAGATAATACTTGGCTGTCTCTTATTTTATTTCACTTCCAGAGCAGGACAACGACCCACAACTGTAAGATTCACAAATGGTTAAAAAACAAAATGTGCAAATCGTTTAGACTAATACCCTGATCTTAGGGGTCAAGTGATACTTATAAAATGCTGAAGCTTCACAATCTCTTTTAATCATGATCTGAACCCTATTAATAAATTATATCTTGTATTTATTCCTGGCTATAAATTATTCTGTACATGATTTGCTGTGTGTTTTTCAGATGCTGCCCAGTTAATGTGGTTTGAAAGACTTTACGTCTGGCTTCTGTGCATGGAAAAATATGCTATTTACCCAGCTGTGATACTCAATGCACTTACCAATGATGCTTTCTCTGTCAGTAGTCGTAAGAAGTTCGGCATACAGTAAGTCGTTACGCATTTGAGTAATAGATCTTAAATATTTTATAATAAGTATTTTATAAAACCTGCAATGGTCTTTGTCAGTGCCTGCTGATATTCTATCTCAATCACTCTAAATCTCTCCATTTATTTTGATGGGGGAGGTTTTGAAAACTATTTTTAATTTCTTCAACCATTTCTCAGGTTCTGCTTGTACTTTGCAAACAACAATGTCCTTTTTACTCTGAAGTTAGGACTGCCATGTTAATTGATGCATTAGACAATTAGGCACCAAAGTACAGAAGAAGTTACAAGATATTTTGACAAAACTGTTTGTAATTGTAACGTAGCTATGCATATTTTGTCTGACTGACTTGTCAGTGTACGCAAGATGCAGTTTATTGTTCAATGAGATTATGGATTTGCAGAATATTATTTACAAAGACTGTAATGCAACAGAAATTTGCAATTATATAGTGAATTTCATATAGTGGAACGTCGTAAAGTGTCGTACAGTGATGGTATGGATCACTAAGCAAGGTGGAGAGAGGGGTTGGAAGAAGGTAACCGAAAGCATTGTCAAAAATGTAGAAGAGTTTGAAAGGGAGAGGGTTTCGGTTAGAGTCATTTTGGAAGCAAGTTTGAGAGTGGCTTAAAGCTCATTGTAGGATAATACAAGGGCTGTGCAGGTAAATGCATCCTTTTAGGCAAATATTATAGTAGAACAAATATCTAATTTAATGAAGAGCTTAGTTAACAAGTCTAAAACTTACAGTCAGATACAATTTGAAAGCAGCAATTGCATGAGGAAGAAACATCTTAAAAATGCATGTGATGTGTGTAGAAATGGCAACTTTAGAACTGTTCATATACATTCAACCCCACCGGCTAACCGGATTTACAAAGTATCCAGAATTTGGACTTAGCTGGACCGGGTCTGGGAAGAAAAAATCTGCGAGTCAAAACTCCACCTCGTCTGTTCTCAAACTCCCGGCAGTCCAACTCTCCCAGCCCAATTGATGCCCCGGTTTGACACTGCATGGTTTTGTTGAAGGCATCAACACAGTTAGATTACATCAATGATGAGTACAGAACTATACCATTTTTGGGTCCATTTTATTATTTAATATTAATTTTTGTTCATTTTAAATGTTAGGGAGGACTTATTTATACTTATTTTTAATGTCAGGATTATTATTAACACTTAGCTGGAAAATCCAGATAGCTGAACCGGATTGCCCCTCAATTAGTCTGGTTCCCCCAGGGTTGACTGTATATTTAAATTTTAAACCATCATTAGATGCTTACAGCTTAGTATTTTCCAGGTAAATCCACTCTTCCAATTAGGGCTGTGCCTCGCAGGGAATAAGGTGGTGTCCTCATTGCCCAAACCACCATGAATTCCTACAGACCTACTGGAATTTACAAACTGTGCCTCTTCAGTGCTAATTGTTAAAAGGGTTACTTTGGAAAAAAAGAAGCCATTTTATTAATACTCTCAGTACTTACTGTTTTACTTTTCTTTATTACAGCTGCGATGTTCTGATGATGACAGTGGCCGGAATGAAACTGCTGCGCTCCTCCTTTTGTAACCCAACGTATCAGTACGTCACTTTGAGCTTCACTGTCCTCTTCTTCCAATTTGACTACAGAAACATCTCCGAGACATTTTTGCTAGATTTCTTCTTAATGTCGATTCTATTCAGCAAGGCAAGTGCTTTTACTTACTGTAGTTATCCCGATGATTCTGAATTGATAACAATAGAATTATGTTTTGTGTCCCTTATCTGGTACATGATTTTATGGAGGTGAAGGAGTGAAAGAGAATATTATTATTCATTGTTGTTAACTAGGGGAGCCACATTATTGCATATTTCAGGTGTCTGACTTAGTTACAGTGTTTTACAAAGATTTACAAAGACTGCAAATTACGGAAACAGGCCACTCGGGCCAACAGTATGTGCTGGTATTTATACTCAACATGAGTCTCTGTCCAATTCCTTTCTCCCTCCCATACCCTTTATACAATATAATACAAAATTATACTTGTATAGCGCCTTTCACGTCGAGAGGACGTCCCAAGGCGCTTCAATTGCCCTCTCCCTCTCTCTCCCTCTTCCTCCTGAATGCATCTATACAATTTGCATAGATATAACGCCCAAAGCCCCATTGGCTTTTTTTTATAGCCTGAATCCCCACATCTCTTTGCACCTCTACTCCTCTTAGGTTCCTAATTTTGACTTCAATTTATTTTTAAAAAATGTAATTTGATTAGTATGTTGGTCTAATCTTTATTGGCACATGACTGAACAGTTTTGCATGCAGTTTGCAATAGATTATGACTACCAAGTAATATGAATCATATACAACCCTTGATAGTAAGGGTGGTCAATAATATTTGTCCCTTGAGTGAAATTCTCCTAGCCCAAGGTAATTCCTTCCATTTCATCTACATTCAAATACTCCTGTTGACGACAATTGAGTGCTCTTACAGGCTAATGGGCTTTTAACTAATGGCGGTTTGGCTTTCCACATGGAATACCCAAAGCATCCAGTAGGGGGCACTTAAAAGCTATGCAAAGAGACTTCATCAGTGCCTGGAGAGTGGCTTCCCTCTAAAGAAGCTTGAAATAAACAGAAGTGACACATGACTACTCGTTGAACCCAGTTTTTCTCAGGTTGTAGACCACATAAAAACACTGTGAAATTTGGGTTTTTACCAAGTTTTTTTTTCCTCTCATCTATCTTTTACTGTGTTGCCCCTCCAGCATGTAACCACATAATTTCTTGTTTCATGTATGTAACCATGAAACAATATATCCTAGTATCTCTTTGCCCCAGAAAGGTCCTACGTTGGTTGCACTACTTGCCCATGTGCAGAAATCTACTCAGGAGGCTCATTCTTATGTTCACTCTGAATTTTGTTTTCAGGGATGGCTTTAGGGATTCAGTGGGAGCTACAGGGAGCCCAGAAACTAATTGAAATGAAAATCAATGCAAAAATATTAGAATTTAAATGCAAACCTAACAAAAATATTTTGCCGCTTGCTGAAACATGAGGCTCACTATCTTTCTATTTAAATAAATAACCCTTTACACACAAAACCTCAGGATGGGGACATATGCTTCCTTGCAGGATATCCCTGTCATTCTGATACTGACACAAGATGAATTTGATTGGCAGTTACCACAGGGGGTGATTCTCTAGCAACAGCAGTGAAAAGCAAATGTCTTAACCTCTGAATTACCAGGCTGTTTGATTTGATGCCTTTTTTTTCCACCTTTCCACCTAATATCAAATGTGCAGAGGAAGATATTGGACTATTTCTTCAATTGGATCCTCATTAGAAATGCCAGTCTTAACCAAAGGTTTTCTGTCAAAAAAACTAGAATAGACTTGCACTGTATCCTTAAAATATTCCTTCTGAAATTCAGGACTAATTAGTGTCTTATGTACAGTACTCGTATGAAGTGTGCAGGTACTTCTGTCTGCCAGTCTAAGCAGACAGATGCTTCTTGTGTTCTGTCAAGCAGTCTGGTTTGGGAGAGTCAGTGGAGTACAATCAAATCAAACGACAGCATCGCGGCATGTAATTATACAACATTCAATATGATGCTGCTGACGCTCTCTGAAGGATTTTGTTTTTGTTTAATTACGATCTGCAATCATGAATAAAAACATACACAGAAAGACTGCTTTGTCAGTATCGGCCACCAAAAACATCTGGCCACAGATTTAATTAAAATTCCTGTTTTATAAAAATATCAGGTCAGAAATGAAGGATGTACACATTAAAATTTACTTTGAGGGTTTTGAAGTCATTGTAATATTCTTATGTAATTTGGCTGCAGAAAGATTTAAGAATTGTGTCAAGGCATTTTTTTTGCCAATGTTGCTTTGGCGGCTCTTATTCACGTGTTACTGGGGCTAATTAGCAGTTATTAAATTACTGAGATGTGCAGAGAGACTGTTTTCTAGTTGTCATGGTTACTGCATGGTGTTGGCTTCTGAAAACTCTTATTAAAGCTTAATTTGTAGATGATAATTCTTCAGCTCAGTCCTAATTATGTGAATGGTACCTCTAAATCTTGAAGACCTTAGAGTTTACATGCCAACCCCCCCCCCCCCCCTCAGTAAATTTGAGTTGATAACTGCAGGGATTCATTGAAAAATGAGGATTATTTGAGGGAAAGAAAAAATAATAATGATATATTGTGCAGTAAAATCTCTATGAAGCATATTCCCATTTTGCAGTGCCGCTGTTTTGTGGAGATTGTCATGCCATTGCTCTGTGAAGGGTTACATCTGGTCGTGGTGACAGGCAAATGGCAGTAAACATCTGTGCCTGAATGTTCTTGTGCAACTGGCAGTAGGTGGGAGTTGAGAAATTAGATGATATTAACGGATATATTTTTTTTTAAAAAAACGAGACAGGAGCTATTAGAAAATAAATGGGATTTTAGATGGGTGTAAAATTGTAAGTGCTGACAATGAATCGAATCTTCTCAGTGTTCTGGCACAGATGTCATACAGCCATATAATATCCGTGGTGGAGTTACTGCTTCTCTAATGTAAAATCTTGTACCTTGTATTCCCAGTTGCTCACATTTTCAGCACATTTGATAATTATCAGATTCCATACTTTATTTCCCCCCTTATATTTATGCACTAAGTGGGGAAAAACAAGTTAATTATAAAAACTAACGCAAGTATCCATAATATTCTTTTTCACAAATATGTTTATTTTCCACATTGTGAAAGATCTTTCTGCCAAAGTCAAAACATATTGTAAAATAATCAAGCTATTTTAATAATGAAAGCATAACTTCCCATTTGCATTATTCTTGAATGAGGGTCAACGTTTACAGTTCTTTCTTAGTTTATAGATTTGACTGTGATTACATTGTGAAACTGAAACATTGCATACAAAAAATGAAGTAGATTTCTATAATTGCTTCCTGGTGGCAGTAGAAGCAGAGACCACAGGATGTTTTTAGCCTGGTCATTGGAGACACCAACATCCCAGAACAGTCAGTGAAGCAATTCCATCTAGCACGTATTCCCAATTTTTCGATGATTAATTTGTTCTGGGAGGGGATATGTTGATCCCTCATTGAAGTGATGCATGTTCACGGTGCGCTGTATGAAATTGTCTTCGGTGTACAAAATATATTCAAACCGTTTTCACTGTGAAGACTGCTTTATATGAGTAACAGAATAAATTGCTCATCTGTAAAGGAAGAGTAAGCAGGCAATAAATTATTGTTTTACTTTGGCTTCTTCTTAACAACTCTGAATTTGCCAGATTGAGCTGTAAAAGAGATTAGAGGGAAGAGAATTGGAATAAAACAGCACAAGCTCCACAAAACAGTGGAAAAGTACTGAGTGAAAACTCAAGGGATTTGCACATTGTCTCTTTACATTTGTGAGGAGAAATTAAATGGATGAACATTTGAGTTCATAGAAAGTAAAAGGTTTACTCAGTCACGGAATTTGCACATGAAGGAACTAAGAGATATTCCGATGATTCCATAAATTGTAGATTCATTTTTTTTATTTTACCTTTTGATTACAGAACTCCTGTTGTTTGTACCTCTGTCTTTTGAGTACTGTATTATGTTTAGTGTGTATTTATATGATGTAAGAGGTACAAGAAGCTTTTCTGTTAGATAATAGCATGTTCAATGGTTTTGTTGGATAGGGAAGCAGAAAAATCCAGAATTGGGAACAGTTCTACAGCAAATGTTTCATGAGGAAAATAATGTGACCTGCAAATGCTTTTGACTGTTGGGAAAATGCTACCGGAGACTAATCTTCGCAGTGTTCGTTTGTCATGCTGAGATGCTAACAAATATTCTTTTTATGTATGCAGCTCTGGGATTTGCTGCATAAGTTCCAGTTTGTTTTGACGTACATAGCACCATGGCAAATCGCATGGGGCTCAGCATTTCATGCTTTCGCACAGCCCTTTGCTATACCTCGTATCCTTTCCCATCTGATAATAAAGCACCCTGTCCCGGTGAGTCTGACTTCTGGGAGGTATGTGCAGGAAAGCTGTTATTATTCAAGGAACTAAGTGATGGTGCTTAACATACCACAAAGAAAACGTTTTTCACATTGTAGCATCAATAATGTATCTTGGTTCTACTATGTTGTTCACTTTCTATTTTTTAATCTAGATTTTGTGGATAATCATCGAAGTGTCAGTAATGAACAACATCAATAATTGATAGGAAACAAAATAGAGGTTATTTGTTCCTAAACACCAACAGTGCCCAATGTTTGTTTATTTATTTATTTATTTATTCTGTTTAATCATAACTAATAAAATGTAAAACTGCTACACAGATGGCAGACAGAGCATGAGGGAAATGAAGAGCACCTTATCTGGAATTTTGAATTCAGGTTTTTTCCATTCAATTTGTATGTGAAAATGATAAGCTGTAAATAGGAGCTGCAGATGTTTCACTGTGGGATGCAGCTGAACAAGCAATGGAGTCTGGAATCTATCAATGGTTAAATTAAGGATTTAAAGTGAACATCAGTAATCCTTTTTAAAGTGAGTTGAAATGTGGCAGAATTGGCAAGTTGCAGGAGAGCGATAACTCAATAGAGCCAAATAGTATTTTGGAACTCTTGTCTGGTTTGTGCATGTATTGCTGAATTTATAGTTCCTGCAGCAGGGATTGAGGAGAGCTCTGCACAAACATAACTGACCAAAGCACCAACCGCTCTTTTAACATTGAAAAGTTCACCTTGAAAAGTTCCTGAGAGTCTTTATGGAGTAGAAGTTGAATTCATTCACAGTGTCTATGTTTATATTCCAGTGATTGGAATCCAGGGTCTGCTAAATCCACCTCGGATCCGAGTACAGGGATGAATGCCCACTTTTAATAAAAACAAACGACTCTTTGTGGGATACTACTGTGAACAATTGGATGCTGCGTTTTCGCTCACAAAATATACAGTTAATGCACTTCACAGTATAGTCTGTGACGCACTTTGAGACCTCTCAATGACGTGATAAGGCACTATATCAAATGCAAGGATTATTGTTATATTATTATTTTTGAGTGCCGGTTCCACAATGACAACTACAACAACAAGATTCCATTTATTGAGCGCCTTTCACCTCGGGTGGACGTCCCAAGGCGCTGTACAGTTGGGTCAGGACCCGAGCAAGGGGGAAATGGTCAGGGTGAGGGGAGGGAAGGGAGGGAGCGAGGAGTGGGTAGAGAGTCGAGAGGGGAGCTGAAGGCACGGTCAAAGAGAAAGGTCTTGAGACCGGCCTTGAAGGAGGAAAGGGAGGAGGCGGCGAAGGCACTGGGGGATAGGGTTCCAGAGCCTCGGGGCTGAGAGGCTGAAGGCCCGGCCACCGATGGTAGGGCGGTTGGGGCGGGGGATGTGAAGCAGACCGGAGCCAGAGGAACGGAGGGTACGGGCAGGTAGGTAGGGGGATAGTAGGTCGGAGAGGTGCAGCATAAACGGAATTTTGGAGTGTCGATTGAAATTTTTTGTTTTGCATTTTAAAACCAATAGTAGATTTTGTATACATGAAAAGGACAGGCACCAATTCTCTTTTGACTGTTCCTGCCAAAGCTTGGGACCTCAGAAAGTGTGTCTTGGTTCTTCTAGCGTTTACCAGCTAAATTTGCATATATTGCCACTGTGAGCATTGTCTGGCAAGCTTCCCACTGTTTGTCTAGCTAGGGCTATCCTATTAATTATGGTTTTGGCTTGCAGGATTAACAGTAGCCAAGTGGAACTATTCCCTGCCCCAGACCAGCCTGCCCCTTCAAGTTCTGCCCACAAGTCTGGTTGGCTGGACTGTCGTCAACAGAGATCTGGAGTACTGCAACTGCCAGAGAGGGTTGACTCAATTCTGACATTTTTTTCAGCTCAGCTCCAAGGTAGAGAGCCAGACAATTATCTGAAAAACAGCCAGCATGGGCACAATGGGCTGAATGGCCTTCTGTGCTGTAAACATTTTTTATTCTATGGATTACAAGATTCTGTATTTTAATTCTATATTTTGTACTTAACAATTTATCATGTCCCACTTGTAAAATCTGTGCACTGGATTAATTTGATATGTATGTACTGTACTGTATAACTTCCATTGTAAATACAAAATTGATTCCTTAATGATGCAATTTCAGATTCAGCTATGCTCTTTGTGCAGGCTGTTGTATCTTCTGTGTTATCCACTCCTCTTACCCCATTCCTCGGGAGCGCCATTTTCATCACTTCCTATGTCAGGCCAGTAAAGTTCTGGGAAAGGAATTACAAGTAAGGAAACTTCTTTTGCCCATGGTGCGCTTTGACCAATTACTAGATATTTGTTCTTTGTGCAATGTGGTAATGTTTCAGAGTACTCTAGCGTGAAATGGAATAAGGTAATACAGCTGCTCAATACATTCTCAACACTGCCATGGTGCTTCTACTGCAAGCAAACCAATTGACTAGTTTCCTTTTTACATATTTTTTAAAAAGTTCATGTATGTCAAAAGTAAGAGAAAGAAACTAGGCCACTGTTTTGCAATGGATACCGGCCTAGAATTAATGCATTAAATGCAAGTGGTTGAATCTTTCTTCAAAATGTTTTAGCTTAGCATTATTATATGTACTTCACCTGTGTAGGTGTGTGCGTGCATGAGAGAGGGAAAAGAGTACAGCTAAGTAAAGATTCTTGCCATTCATTGGTGATTCCTAATTGTCATCAATGAATCTTGACATACTTGCCAGTTACTATGATTTTAGTCCAGTTTTTTTTACACGTACATACACACACACACATTTAATTTAAAAATAACATGAAGCATGATTGGGATCCTCTTCTTCACAAAATCTGCCTCCAGTTTATTAGTTCCACCATAAGTGTAAAGAGCTTGGAGAAAAATTGGTGTGATTACAGAAGCATGGATTCAAGAGTTTACCATGTTGTTCACCCACAAGGTATAGAGAACCTCCATTCTACAGTGTATCCTGTAAAGAGCTTTGAGATGTCCTCCTGACTATATAAAATGTAACTATTATTATCATTGTTCTTTACAGCACAAAACGGGTGGATCATTCAAATACCAGACTTGCTACCCAGATAGACAGAAGTTCAGGTAAATAAAGGCAGTCCGCATTAATAATAATAATAATCCTTGCTTTTGCTATAGTGCTTTTCATGTCTTCTAGATGTCTCAAAGCGCTTCACAGAATATGCTGTAAAGTGAATTGGCCGTGTATTTGTGGCGAAATGCGGCAGCCTATTGCGCACAGCAGTGTCCCACAAACAGTCGTGGATTGAAATTGACCAATTTTATTTTTTTTGTTTTGGAGGGATTATTATTTGTCGTGTTATAATTGAGAAAGACTTTGAAAACTAGAACAAATAAATTAGTCAAAACAATTATTTCTTTGGGTCAAAATGTAACTGTAGAACAAACCATTGTAATAGTTAACCTATTATGTTACCCTGGAAGGATGATTGTATACAGCTATGGTGAACAACAGTTAAAACAGTTGTAGCATTCCAATCAAAGAGTAAAATGAAACTAAACAGTACAGTTAATACAAGCTGAACTCACCAATCTCGAGCTCCAAAGTAACTTCATTTGTTTTTTTCAAATGAGAGTTGAATGGTTTGCTAATCCTACCGATTCTGCTGTTTGTACAACCATTTCTATAATACATTGAGTATATTGAGTATATTGTATTCTGTGAAGTGCTTTGGGATGTCTAGCAGACGTGAAAGCGCTATATCAAATGCAAGGATTATTATTGTATCTTCAGTCTCTGTTTCTAAACTTTTTACAGAGTTTTTTTAAATCTTATATATTGGGGTCTATAATTTGTGGAATCTCTTAATGAGATTCCTTATTTAGAGTTGTGCAACGGGGTTTCCTGGAACTGGAAGAGTCCCACAAGATCTCTGCTCTGCTGTGAGCCATATAAAGAGTTGGAATTCCTTCCTGTAGATTGGCTAGAATTCTAATGGGATTTTGTATCCCCAATGTAAATTAGATTCCCATGGTTTTCTATTTTCTGGTCAATTTAGATTCTGCAAAGGATGCAAAGCATCATAAAGAAGAAATAAAGTATACTAAGCTGAACAAACAATCTCATCGGTCTTAACACAATATAATTAAAAGTAAGATCTCTGTATAATTGAGTAGTTCAGAAATTTTAACTATGTATGAATTATAATTCTACATACTTTTGGATTTGTTGAAAATAACGTATTTCTAATGCATTATGCTTAATAATACTTTTATAATTTTGAATTCCAAAGTCTAGAATTGAGGCATAAGTCAGAGAGGGTGAATTGTTATGTACAGTCAGCATGGATGTGACCATCATAAGATTTCGATGCTTGTTTTCAGAGTGAATACGATACAACAACAATGAGGGATGCCCTAAAGGGGCTGAAAACAAGATAGTGTATACACAACGTATCATAGAAAGTAGATTTTGCTGTTGTAGATTTTAATATTTAGAGGGACCTTAATAACCTATTGCTCTGTATGTAGATGATCTTTCTCTCACTCCTAGCCTCCAGCATTTCTCACTGTCGCAACCTTTCTCGTCTCTCTGCTTTGACAGTATCTACTACACTATTCTTCCTTGTTCTTCCATGCACCATAGTCACAGTCTTGCATGTTTTTTACCATTTCCATTGCTTCTTTGTCGTTGAAATTAAAATTCATTGCACTATTTTCTGCTGACACGCATTCTTTCTCAGGATCTTAATATTATGGAAGCTTTATTCATCCCTTTATCTTGTAATTAGGCTTTTTAAGCCTAAACCTGGTGTTGCTTAAGCATTACTGCTTGATTTATCCCTTCATCTTTCCTACTGTTTTCAACCTTGATGGTGTCCTCCACTAGGCCTTGGCTCTTTACCTAAGTTTCTCAATAAAGGTAAACTGAATGCTATTATATAACTACAAATGGGACAAAATGGAAATTTTGCTCTTGTCATTAATTTGGTGTGGAGCATAGGTATCTTTACGTTTAAATTCATTACGGATGATAGAAAATCCATTCTTTTCCATAAGAGGGACCTTAATAACCTATTGCTCTGTATGTAGATGATCTTTCTCTCACTCCTAGCCTCATTCCCATATATTTGTTAAAGTCTTTTCAATACTTATTGAACAATTGAATGACTTAAATACTGAACTTGTGTATGTCTTGAAGCTAGATCCAATATGTATTACTATTTTTCAAACTCTAGATGTCAATCAAGTGTTCTTCAAATGCTGTGAAGTTTCATGTTAACATTTCCAAAGCATTTCTGTTTCCAAAGCGTTTCTCTCCTCCCTTTTTTAGATTCCCACCCTACCTGCCAATTCTCCCATCTCACACATTCCTCTGCCGACTGACCCCTCCGAATCAGCCTACAAAATGTCTGCTCCCTTTCTAAGAAGGCTCTCGCCATCAACGACATCAGTGTGGATTGAAACATCAATATCCCTGGCCTCACTGAAACCTGGACCACCCTAGACAACACCTTCCTCCTGATTGAGGCCACACCACCTGCCTACACCTTCCACCTTACCTCATGTCCTAACCGCTGTGGTGGTGGTGTGGCTCTCATCTCCAGATCCTCATTCAGAGTCGCCCTGGAGTCATCTGATCTCTTCCCACTCTGGCCTACCTCCTGCACTGACTTATCCTCCTCGGTCACTCTCCTCCACAACTCCCTCTTCACCATTCTCGATGCCCTTGCCCCCCCTCACCTCTCAAACCACCTCACCAGCCACCTATGCTCACTCAAGGGTCAGGTGCGAACCACCAAATGCACCTGGCTCAAATCTGATTTAATGGTCCATCAGCAGATCTGGCTGGACCCCATAAAAACTTACCCCTGTGCCCTCGCCTCCACTGAATCATCCTTCTATTCTAAGATAATCTTGGAGGCCAAGGACAACCCTAGGCTTCTCTTCTCCACTACCAACCGGCTCCTCCGTCCACTCTCTCACGCCTCTCCCATCCTCTCCTCCAACTCCAACCCTGTCACCCCTCCTCTCTCACCACCACTATAACCCGCATGAAGCCCACCACCTACTCCCTCGATCCCATCCCTACCCCTCTTCTTACCTCCCAGTTCCAACTCCTCGCCCCTTTATTCTCAGACTTCGTCAGCCTCTCCCTGTCAACTGGCACCGTTCCCACCCCCCTAAAAACAGCTGTTATTACTCCTATCCTATAAAAACCTTGGACCCATCCTTGATCACTAACTACTGCCCCATCTCCAACCTTGTTTTCCTTTCCAAGGTCCTTGAAAGAGTTGTTGCTACCCAGCTTCACTCCTTCCTCTCCCGCCACTACCTTTACGAACCCCTTTAATTGGGTTTCCGTGCTGCCCACAGCGCGACTGTGCCTTCGGCCACCCTCTCTGCCTTCCACCCTCCCTAATCCCAACCCCCCACCCCCAGAATGTTCAGTGCTTGGGTTGTCCTCCCAATGTGAAAGGCGCTTTACAAATGTAATTTTGTATTGTATTGTAAAACTCAGACTTAACAATTGATTTCTGTTCTATTCACTTATGTTTGCATTTCTAGGAGCTGACGACAACAACCTCAACTCCGTTTTTTATGAACATCTGACAAGATCGCTGCAACAGAGCTTATGTGGTGACCTGATTCTTGGCCGCTGGGGAAACTACAGCATAGGGGACTGCTTCATTCTAGCCTCTGATCACCTCAATGCCCTGGTGCAGCTGATAGAGGTTGGCAATGGTCTGGTAACTTTCCAGCTCAGAGGACTTGAGTTCAGAGGTGAGTTGCAAAACACCTTCAAGAATGACAGTGAAATTAAAGCTACAGCTCTCTGCCCTAACAAGAAAAACAGAATTTTCCACAAACTCAATGTCCTTTGGTTGGCTAACAAGAATTTTAAACCAAATAGTTTGTTTTCAGAAAGGCTTAAGTAGGGGGTATCTCAGTGTGTGTTAGCGTGATGTCCTTTCACTGTTCCAACAGAAAATCCATCTCTGCTTTCTGTTCCCTGAAATGATCCCAAGTGAAGTTAGTTCATTGGAGTTACCAGCATTTGATAGGGAATTAGATAAACAGTTGAAGAGGAAAGATATAAAAGGATATGAGGAACCAGTATTAGAGTAGCTGGCTACAATGGGTGAGCTAACACCATCTTAATCCTGATGGTTAAATGACATGCTGTATTTGCAGTTGTTATGCTGTAATTTCTGTGATTCTATGAAATGTGTTTGTGGAGTATCTGCATGATTTTCACTGGATATGAGTGTACACAATATTATTACATTACACTGAATTTAAGGTCTCACTCAAAGAAGCCATCTGTTGTGAGGAATACGTCACTGACTGTCCAGCGCCTTGGGACGTCCCCGCGACATGAAAGGCGCTATTTAAATGTAATTTTGTTGTTGTTGTTAATGCAGGGTAGTGTCATTTTGAGTTTTGGGAACTGTTCTCTGCTCTTACTTCAACTGATATGAGAATGCTTAAAGATGATACTTGGAAATGCTTCCATTGTTCAGGTACATCTGTGTTGATAGGAGCAGAGAGACCTGGGGGTTCACAGGTCTTTGAGGATGGTAGGATAGGTTGATAGAGCTGATGAAATCCTTGGCCTTATAAATAGAACCATAGAGTACAAAAGCAAGGAAGTCCTGCTAAAGCTTTATAAGTCATTGGTTAGGCCTCAGCTGCCGTATTGTGTCCAATTCTGGGCACCACACTTTAGGAAGGATATCAAGACCTTGGTGAGGCTACAGAGAAGATTTACCAGAATGGTACCAGGGTTGAGGGACTTTAGATATGTGGTGAAGGCGGAATTGTTCTCCTTAGAGCAGAGAAGGTTAAGGGGAGATTTAATAGAGGTGTTCAAAATTATGAGGGGGTTTTGATAGAATAGATAGGGAGAAACTATTTCCAATGGCAGGTGGGTCGGTAACCAGGGGACATAGATTCAAGATAATTGGCAAAAGAATCAGAGGGGAGATGAGGAGACATTTGTTTAACCAGAGTGTTGGTACAGTCTGGAATGCACTGCATGAAAGGGTGGTGGAAACAGATTCAATAACAACTTTCAAAAGGGAAATCGATAGGTACTTGAAAAGGAAAAATTTGCAAAATTATGGGGAAACAGTGGGGGAGTCGGACTGATTTGGTAGCTTTTCCACAGAGCTGGCACAGGCACAATGGGCCGAATGACCTCCTTCTGTGCTAAAATATTCTTATGAATTCTATGATTCATGCAGGGAAGCATCTCGGAGTGCTGATCTCTGAAGATGTTTACATCTCCATGTCGGTCTTGAATTTGTATGGACATGCTGGGCTCTGCCAGGCTTTCCTCCTTCTGAGCCAGTTCAGCTCCAGGAAGTGTATCACCCTCTCAAAGAAGATTTGTTTTTGGATCTGATACTCATTATTAACCTTATAAGAGTTGAGAGCTGAGTGGATCCCACAGGGATTCAAACCCAGAGGCTCAAATCCGAAATATGGTGCTCAGTGAACTTAAGCTAACTGTTGAAATGGTTACAAACATCACAGATATTAGAGAAGCCGCAGAATAACACACCTGCTTTACGTCTGCTCTGTGCATCTCATACAACTCCGAACTTCTGGCTTTCTCGTTTGTATCATGAGACGCTACCCTGCTATATAAATGCATGTTGTTGTATATTTGCACATTCATGAAAGAGGCAACTGTGTTACAGTGGCTGCTACGCCTCTGATATCAGCTATTAACTACTGTTTTTCCCATGCTTCACACTACTGCTGTCCCTCAACTTCAGCAGTATTTTTTTGTAATCCATTAGCTGGGCTCATCCTGCACAAATAGCGAGAAATTAATGAAGGTTTAGATTTATATTAGACTGCAAGGAACTGTGAGGGTCACAGCAGATGCGTGAGACTTGAGAATATGATATCTCTGACTTTGAAAAGCACACATCCTCAAATATCTCTCATGCATTATGATGAACATAATTCAGAGCTGTCAAACTTGAAAGCAAATCACAAGGAAGCAAAATGGTCAAACAATCCCACTTCCAATTTCTCACAGCAGGTGTAGTACTTCAGTAGAACATTTATTAATTCGGCCCACACATGTATTCTTTGCACTTTTTAGGACCACTGCAAAGAATATTTCACAGGCTATTATAATAAATAGTTTAGGCGTCTGCTTCAGTGGGTGGGAATTGGTTCATGAAACATCAGCACTTTGGCTAACTTTGCTGGTCAGTCCACCATGTGAAGCAAGCTGTCCCCGTGTTTAGATGGAGAATGCATTTGGACAAGCCATCCATTCCTAACTGGCTATTTTAAGGTCTCTTAAGAGCCTCAGGGAGTGCCAGAAGTGATGGATGGCTATAAGTCCTTACATGGTGAGTTTATAATCTCAATGCACTGTCATGGGAGGTGCTGAGTGAAGCCCAGTTCCCACGGGCACTTCTTGCACTTATGGACCTCCTTCCAGATGGGTTTGTGGTTTTATCATTGAATTGGCTTTGGCCTTGGAACCTGTCCCTTGACCAGGGAAGGTGCGTGATATGAAGAGATGCTGTGATTTTAAGGGCAAAAAATTGAATGACAAAAAACCATGACAGCAGCATTTTATATCAGTACTAAAAATAGAATATAATTTTAGGTTTGGAAGAGTCAAAGATTCGGTTGTTCTTTAGGTTTCTCTGATTTCTCTTAAAATCGGCAGTGGATGCTTTTAAAGAAAATACTTTGTTCCCCGCAGCTCTTGTGTGATGAAAAGGATGTGCATGTTTTGAGAGCTGACAATTTGTGTCAGCAGTGGAAGGTTAAATCTCCCCACAGGAAAACACAGTGTGACCTCTCTTGACTATTTCCATGAACTAATTGCTCCACTTGTACATGCAAAGTCAAGCACTTCTTAATTATAATGTTGACAACAATTCAAATTAATGTGTTGATGCAAAATAATTAGCATAAGCTTAGAGGCATTTCGAAGGTTCAAACTCCGATTCATATCAGTCTGGTACTTTTTAAGAAAAAAGGCTACTATACTCTTAACATAAAGAATGGAATATGAAAAGACCTTTCATCCCATCAAGCTCATGCTAGGTAATGGTCTCTAGTAATAGTTTGCAGAGGCTTCCCAAACAAATGTACAATTGTGTTTTAAGCAACAAATCAAAGAAAAAGCCAACTTTTATTGATGGTTCTATAGGTCAGTGCAAACTACTCCACATCTCTTTGATGGGGGGGGTGGGGTGTGCTACATAGATCTCACAGAGGTCAACAACCTTTTTTGTGAGATTTACATTTACTTAGATTTACATAGAATGTAAACTAGTCGGTCTGGTGTTTATACTCCACATCAGTCTCCACCTACTTGCTTCCGTCCATACCCTTCGATTCTCTTCTCCCTCCCTCATCACAATTTTATCCCTTTGATCCACCTCCAGCAAAGCTGGGACAGACAGGCAGATCTAAATACACTCCAGTGTCAACCATGATGGCAAACTGTACCCAGTGTACCAACACTTGTCATTTTTTGTTATCAAATTTAAGATGATTAGGCCCCATCTGAGATTAAAACCCTGTGCCCTGATTGTGATTTCAGGTGGTTGAGTTCATAGAGACAGTGGATTTTCTGTTATGTTACAATGTAAATCAGAACAATTGGTTACCACAAATTCTCAGGCCAGCTTTTCACTGAGTTAAAATTGTTCCATAGGGAACAGTCTCTCTCGCTGGCTGGAGATTTTCTCCAAACTGCTTCGCTACACTATCAGAGGGCAGCTGATGCCTTGGACATTAGTGGCAATTGATTCCTCACGGAGTGGCCTCCTGACATTCCTAAAGGAATTGCACCACAAGCTTGTGGATATGCTCTTTAAGGGTGACAAGCTTTCTGATCCACACTGCGAGCCTCTGTTTGGAGTCTTGGGGACTATTTCCAATTGTTTTCTTAAGGTAGAGCCATTCTTATCAATCTGACTGCTAGGGCTTGAGGCAGGAACAGAATGGGCAATAATCCTTTCAGACACGTGACCTGGTCCAAATAAATCCATGCCAGTGTTGAACGTTTAAACCCCCCCTCCCCTGAGGTTCTGCAGGAGCTGGCATAAGCATCTCTCTGCTTCCAGCCCTCTAACCTCAATTCCCACTTGGGCAAATGTCACCCAGTGAATAGTGTGACCCAGTGGAGGCAGTTCACCTTGAACCTGTAAGTCCTAGAGCACTCCCATTTAAATGCCATCTTTTCAAGCTATTTTCCTGCCTTCTTTAACACACATTTTCCTACCTGTCATAATAATGTATCGCTAATTGTACTAATGGTGTGTAGAAATGAATGATAAAGACCCATAATCTTTGGGATCACAGAACATCTATAAAATCACCCTCGTTTCACATTTGTGTGATGAAACATCTGCATTTTTGCACTGTATGATTGTCTGAACTGGCTTCTACTATATTTTATTGTACAGAACTTGCATTTCTGTGAGACCAAATGGTCTCCCATCAAGTGAATGAAGAATAGCATTCAATTCTGCATAAGCACCACTATTTTATACCTTACATTATAATAGTTTTCAAGTTGTCAACTGCACAAATGGTACTGCTATTTGTCATAGCCAGAAATAGCTAACTTAAGCTGACACAAAGATGATTGTATCTTTGGGGATAATTATTGTGTAGTATTTTAATGATAAATTGCATGACTTTAGTATTGCTGAGTTGACAGATAAACTGGCAAATGTTTAACCTAAATGTTTCAATGCTATATTTTACTTTTGGTCCCTAAATCCTTTTTGTTTTGTTAGAATTCAAATATTTTGTTATTTTTATGTGTCGAGACAGATCAGTACTTTTGCGAAGGCAGAGAGCAATTAAGTGTTCGTACAGTAATTTGGTATCTTCACTGAAAGGTCTTTATCTACCATTAAAATAGAATGTAGCTTCGTGAGCATTTGATATCTCGCCTTGCTTCTTGGAGAGGCTAATGGACTTACACAGTATGAAGAATAAAAAATTAATGAAAAGGTATAAATAGACTTTTAAGTGACTTAAATTATACCGCTGTGATACCATAGACACTTCAGTGTTTAATTCTTTAACAATTTTAGACGTATCAATTTAACTTATAATCCTTGCATTTTACATTTGTTATAGCACGTTATCACTTCTCAAGAGACGTCTCAAAGTGCTTCACAGAATATACTGTAAAGTGAATTGACTGTATAATTTGTATGTGAAACTTGCCTGAGTATCCAATGAAAACAGTGTAAGATGTAGGAAATGGCAGTATTAGGGTCTAAATTTCTTACTAGAATGCTTTAATAATGAGTTGGAGTCACGCGAGAGGGAATTAAGTGCTCCGGTACACTAACCCGTGTGAAGGGCGCTGTATAAATGCAAGTTGTTGTTGATGAATTATTGAAATTTGCCTAACTTTTCCCTTGCCTAAGAATCAAACCCAAGTCTTCTCACTTTTGAGGCAAGCGCTCTAACCAATACTCCACATGAGTATGTGCACATTCCTGGAAATCTTTGCACCCATGAAACCGAACACTGCAATATATCCTTTAATTTGTTTTTTAATGCATCAAAATATTTTTTGACTGACCTTCATCGAAGAAAGCAGCAATCAGTATTAAACATTAATGTTCCATACAAATGTTCCAGTAGGTTGCATTGTACTTACTCGGATAAACTTGCTGAGCGATAACCTCAAGACTGCTGTCATGGGAGAACTTCTGCTCAGGATGTTACAGCTCCATCTGGTCTGATCCCGACTGGCACATACAACATCATGTTCCAAATCCCAACTAAGGGCTCTGTCCCACTTAAACATTGGAGTAAACCACCATGGTATACCACAGCATGAAACTAAGTCAATGAAGTTGGACATGTGACAAAGAATGTCTAAAAATTTAATTCAGCACTGTAGACACAAGGTTTCAGTTTCATAAAACTGAACCCGATGTTATAATGGGTGCATGAAAAAAATGGCCACAGTTCTTGTTTACAGGTTGTCTGATCACCACTGGCTTCTGGAACAGAGTATTTTTATGGCCGACAAGAGTGGTCACAGCTTACTAGGTGGCTCCCTGTGCCTTATGTGCAACAACAACAACTTGCATTTAAAAAGCACACCTCACGCAGGCTAGCGCCCCAGAGCACAACGCCGAGCAAGAGGAAGGTGACCGTAGGCACGGTCGAATAGGAAGGTCTTCAGGCATCACCTGAAGATGGGGAAGGAAGGCAAGGCAGAGGGATAGAGGAAGAGTGTTCCAGATTGCAAGCACAGGAAGAGGAAGTGTGCGCCATTTTCAGCAACCATGAGTTCACAGAAGACCCGCTTTATAAACAAACTCAAGAATTAAAGGTACTTTATAACAGGCGTGCTCTGTAAATTAGAGAAATTCCTGCAGATCTGTGTGACACACTTCTGATTATCAGAACAAATCATCAACTGTGATAACGGTTCTGTATATTGCACTGAAGAGCACTATTAGAGCAGGATATTAGCAAGAATATTTAATGTTAATGTTATTGAAGAGATAATTGTTCAACTGATTCTTTAATAACAAAAACTTAACCAACACTGTTAGTGGAGTGGCAGAATTCTGTGTATGTACTTAGTTGTGTCTTAGTTGTGCTTAGAGATTCCTGCAGCCATTGACTATTGCCATTGGGGATTGGGAACTATATGTACGAATGTGTTATTTTCCTGCTCCTAATTCAATCTAAAATCACTTCCAGCTTCGTAGATGGGCCTTCAAGTATCCAAGCAGAGGTACCAGTATTGAGGAAATGTTAAGAGTAGCACTACAAGTGATCAGCATTACAGCTTCCTGCTTTAAGGTGCATTTCACCTGTATCATTCTCCCTTTCTCCTCACTTAGTATTAAAGCACTTGGAGACATTTTCCTATGTGAAGGGAACCATGTTAGTGAAGTTGTTGTTAGCATTGAATTAAAGATGAATGGTTGCATAAATCTGGGAAGCGTTTGTTTCTTAGTTACAGTGAAGGTGTTTTTTCTTTGAATTCGCTCTTGTGAATATTTTTCAAAAGAAATCTTACAATATTTATTACATATTCCTGTTTTGCCTCTCTTCCCTGGAGGTTACATCTCCATTCTGCTGTTCTATCTTGATGTTCTTTCTCCTGTACTTGTTAAGTTTCTCTGCTTTTCTCTATCATCTACTCCATTCCTTACTCTCCTCTCAGTCAAGTCCTCAGAGCAATAGACCCCTTGATATTTGCACTTGATTTAATTCCTGGTTGATTCCCTCTTGCTCAATCTCTGTCTGCCCAATGCCAAGTCCCATTCCAGTCCATGCAGTCTGTTTCTGAGCTCACCTCCTGCCTGACTAATGTGTCTCTGTATTCCCTCTGAAGTTCAGAGAATACAACTAGGATGCAGAGATACCTCTGTAATATGAAACTGATGTATTCTCACAATAGGGAACAGACATGTTCTACATCACAAGGGATATTAAGATAGTCCTAATTCCCAGTGGTGATTTCTGACTCTTAATTTAGTACAAGAGTAAGCAAACATATTTATGGAAGCATATTTAGTTAGGATAAAAATGAAGAGGAAGAGGAGAGGGGGGGAGGTTAACATGAAGCTTCTTATGTTAATTTGCTATAAGTTAAAAGCAATTTCATCCCAGTTTTTTTTAAACTTACAAGAGAAATGCTGTGACAGCTTTTAATAAAGAAACCCATAGACAGCTCCTGAGGATAAACAGTCCAAAATCACAAGTAAATAGTAAATGCGAAATCAATATGCAACATGATATTGAATGTAGGGCAAGGCAATCAATGGCACTTTAGCCTGTAAACTGGAGACAGACTTTGCTTTTATTAATCTTGGATTTCAATTTTAAACCAGGACGTTTTTTCACCCATTTTGTGCAGTGTCTGTGTTTTGTGAAGTCAATCGGCAACTTCTTATGTTCAGTCACCTGCGCTCATTGGAAATATTCATCCACTGCCGTTAATTAACGGCTAATGGGGTCTATTATGTAGCTATCCTCCCTGGGGGAGAAGGTAAACACGGTCTCTTTGGGGATGAACTGGCTCCAAGATGATGTGCCTGGAAATGAAATATCGAAATCAAATGGCTTCTCTGTTGCTGACTTGGTGGATTGGTTCTTGAGCTGCTTCTCAGTAAATCCTCAGGACTCTGGCACTGTTCATAGCCAGCCAGCATGGCATGTCAGCAGAACATAGAGGAGCATAGGATGTAGTTCATTCGGGGAAACATGTCAGAACTTTGAATGTCATTTCCCTATCATTTTTGCACATGGGCAAATTCAATCAATTTATCATTTAGAAATTGTCCATTTACAAAATATCTGAAGACTCAACTGATTAATGTTATTCATTTTTTAAAAAATATCAGCTATATAAAATGTGACACCATTTTATTTCGAATGATTGAATTCTATGCTTGATATTAAGGCAGTAAAATCCCAATGAGAAGGGGTACAATCTGTGACATAATATGGGTTTAACAAATGATAATCCAAGATTAATTGCGAGAAAATAGCTTAGTGTATGTTACATTTTACAGAGTAATCCACAATTGAAAAGCATTATCAAGAAAGTTGGTTGAGGCCAGTTCACTAGACTCACTTAGGAAATTGCTGATGCTGTATTAAATAATCCTTGCATTTGATATAGTGTCTAAAACATTGAGGACATATCAAAGAGCTTCAAAAAGTCTCTGTATTTCTAGGCAAAGGTAATGGGAGAATGGGTGAGTATTCTAGAAGGATGAGATCCAAGTTAGGACTGGAGAGATTCCACAAGCCTTCAGATCTCACCAGAAAATGACGGAATGTCATCCATCTCTCTCTCGTGGTCTCAGATTGAACGTGCGTTTTGAAGTGCCTTTGTTTTGTATTTTTCCTTTCAGGTACCTATTGCCAGCAAAGGGAAGTTGAGGCCATAACCGAAGGAGTTGAGGATGATGAAGGCTGCTGCTGCTGTGAAGCGGGACATTTTCCCCACATGCTATCGTTCAACGCTGCTTTTATCCAGCACTGGCTGGCCTGGCAAGTAACCGCTTCAAAATACGTGTTGGAAGGTTACAGCATCAGTGACAACAATGCAGCCTGTATGCTGCAGGTATTTGACCTGAGAAAGATGCTCATCACCTATTATGTAAAGGTAGTAGTATACCAGTAAGTTTCTAATACGTTATTCTGTTTCACAAATAGAGGTTTTTGTTCTTTCCCTCCCCCAACTTGGACTCTTCCAGCTTCAGCCTGTCACAACTGCTAGCTGAGGAAGAGGAATAAAATCTATTTCTTCCCAGCTCCAACAAAAATCTTGCCTGAGCAGCTAACGAATAATAAAAGAAAGTAATAATAATAATAATATCCTTGCATTTGATATAGTGCCTTATCACATCTTCGAGATGTCTCAAAGCACTTCACAGAATATACTGTAAAGTGTGTATTTTATGGTTGAAATGCGGCAGCCAATTGTGCACAGCAGTGATCCACAAACAGTCGTGGATTGAGTGACCAAATTATTATTAGTAATTTTTTTTACAATAAAGACGTACTTGCGCAATTTATACTGACACAGAGAATATCCCATTATTTAGCCTGGCCAATTCCACATGAAAACACAGCAGAGCTGTGGCAGTCGCGTTGGACAGTCACTCTGGTGAGATCTGAAGGAACGTGGAGCATTCCCAGTCCTGACTTGATTCTTTAAAGTTTGGAAATGGGTTTTAACTCACAATTCTGCAGTAAGGATAGAGCATCAGTTCTGATTTGAAAGCAAATAATGCCTTTATATCAGAAAGTAATGTAGTTAGCAGATGTATTTAGTATTGATGAAGACTAAGCTGATCATTGCTGTTATGTTGAAAAATACAGATAGCTATAAAAATAGTAACTTAAGCTTCGTAACTTCACATCATGCTTTTCCATACAAAGAGAACTGCTCTATGTTGTGTTTCAATCATTCCCTATTTCCCAAGAAGGAATAAACTTGGTTTGGGTTTTATTCAGGAGGACTGAGGTAGGGTTCATGGGGGAGGTAACGAAAACACCTGTTTTCAAGCAATGTATGTGTTTTGGGGTTGTATTTATTTTTATCCTTGCGTATTATAGCACATTGAGTTGTCCTTACTTAATAGGGAGGCACATTTAGTGCATTGCAGATCAAATAAGCTTAATACTAATTGGATATCTGATGCAGTGAATTAATATTTAACCTGATCAATATTACATGCCAAGATCTCTTTGTCTAGCATTGCATTGTGGATTTGTTATGGAACTGTTAATGTATTCCTTCTATCAAAAAAGCCACTGAATCATATTAATACAATAGCAGGTGAAACATAAGGACTTCACTCTGATCCTAGCTGGCAGATCTAGAAGTAAAGCCAAAGATCAAAGGAATACACCCAGCTGAATATTCAATGGTATTAAACAGCCAATTAGAATTTTATTTTTGGGAAGGTGTCTGAATTTACAGGATTATACAGAAACCCAATGCCTTGCTTGAGTATCCACACTAAACTATTGAGAGTTCCACATACACGTGGAAACGTGCATTTTTTCTGGTATGGAATATAAACTCTCTCTTCCCCGAAGGCAAATTTCTACCAGCAAGAGCCCACAAACAGTCATGAGGTACAGGACTTTATGTCTCATCTGAGAATGGCACATCCAATAAAGCAAAGGACTAGAGTTTAAGTCCTGACCTGGTGGTGGAAGTCACAACCTTTTAACCCAAAAGATAGCGTGAGAAGTTCACCTATACTTTCTGGAGAAAGTGGAACACAAAACATGGGAATCTAAAAAGAGGAGGGATAGAAATAATAAAAACATGGAAGAGGATAAATTAAACCATTCTATTCCTGTTACCTTAAGTTCTTAGTGTGATTGAAATGACAAGATGACATTGTTGTGAAAAGATAAAGTACCCTTGAAAGCATGTCTTTGAAAGACAAATCTATGAGAATACATTATCGTGTATCCCCAAAAATCATTAACAAATACTCCTGTCCTGCTTCAAAATAATCAATTGTGCGAAGAGTGAAATTGACTAAAAAGCCAGAGTAGAAAATCAGTGATCCGGAGTATCCACTGTTTATAATACACTGTATCTATTGAATGAAATTCAGACAACTTCATCATTTTAAAGACACTTTTGCTGTGGTTTATACATGGTTTTTCAGGTTTATGACACTGTCAGGAAATCCTAAGACCCGAGCATGCATTACAGGACCATTTCATAGAATCATGGAAATGTAAAACAGTGAAGGAGGCTATTTGGTCCATCATTATCCATACTGGTGGTACCTTCCCCTGCTGGAGCTATCTGGTCTAATCCCATTCCCCACTCTTTGGAACAAATAAAGTTGAAGGGTGACCTGATTGACATCTTTAAAATTCCGAGTGGTTTTGATAGTCATTGGGGAGAATTTATTTCTACCGGTTGGTAAGCAAATAACTAGAGAGCATCAATTTAAGCTAGCTAGCAAACCGGCAAATGGGGAGATTAGGAGAAATGCACAGTGAAGATAGGTCACGGTGTGCCCTATATTTTAACCAGATCAATTATAACGAGACTGACATGGTTCATGTGAACATGAGTTTTATTATCAACAAAAGAGGAGAAATTGTATTAAAGAATTTCTCTTGACAGAGCATAATATACTATCTGGTTCGCTCTTCTAAACTGGAACACTGGTTGAGTACAGAGTCAATTCAGGAAGCACTGCATCCGTATACTGCATGGAATTATGTGGACAGAGATCCAGCCGTATTTAACGTAAACATCGATGAAGACTACGATCATTGCCTCAAGGGAGTATCAAGAGCAAGTTTCTGCAATATTTATCTGGATTGGATACAGCACTGCAACAATAAAAGGAATAAGGTACAGAATTAAGTATAATACTTCTCCATTTCACTGTCCTATGTAGGGTTGTGTTAGAATGATCTTTTCAGTGCTATGCTTATTCTAATGCTCCCATGATTTTGGGAAACACATTTTATACTATTGTACATATTACCTCTATACATAAAATAAGTGTGTATTTCAATTCACTCTTCCTCCAAAAGAGAGATATACCATGATCACTAGCCACCCCCAATGCAAATCATCAGAAAAGGTTGGACAAGGGCTGTGCTTTCCTGTGGGCAGTACAGTACACTTGTCACCCAATTTTATCGTCTGTCTGTTAGTGAAGACATCTTACTGATGATTTACTGCCGGTGTGATGAGAATAACAATAATTAAGGAATGGAGTAGCAGAAATACTCATTCATCCCTGATTTTTTTAAAAATAGCGGTGATAAAATCAAGGTCCCCTCTTCTCCCTTACAATCAGTCATGTTCTGATTGAGACAGGACTCCAGCCATGTGTTTACTTGACATTATGGGACTATCATTTTGAAGCCTATTTCACAGCCTAACAAGAACTCCCTTTCTGCCATAAATATTGGAAAATTTAAATATTTAGCCCTGGAGATATTGTACTGTGCGTGCGTTGGTAAATGTTAAGTTTTCTCAAGTGGTAAGCCCTTGAGAAAAATCCTTAATACATTGTCCATGGCTAGATCCCAACAATGGATATCTTGAATGTTTTTAATCGCTAAAATATTACTTATGTCCTCTTCCACTTATGAATCTATATTTGTACCTCTTTGTTATTGATACCAAATATCTTGAAGGCAGTTAAAAGTGGAGTTTTCTGAACTGCATTTGATTCTTTGACATTCTGTGAACAGCCGGTGAGGAGTGATGGAGATTCCCCTTTAGTCACCCTTTGCTATGGACTTTGCATTCTTGGCAGAAGAGCTTTAGGAACAGCATCACACAACATGTCAATCAGGTACATAGCTGATTCCTTAACTAATAAAGTAACTATTGCCTTGACTAAGTATACAAATCTCCAGGACAAGCAGTGATGTTTTGTTTGTTGAGGATATGAAGTCCAGGACTTTGATGAAATCAATGGGAAAAGCTAACTGAATTGAAAATTGATTTTATGGAAAGCAGAAGGTAATGAAAAAATATACAATTGACTTTAAGAGGAGATGTAACTGGTGGAGTCCATCTTGTTTATGCTTCTTTTCACACAGTAGGGTCTAAAATGCAATATTTGCAAACCAGGTTTGAATCGTTAATTGCAATTTCCAGTTTGGGCAATATTAGAAATAGAGGATGTTGCTTCTAGTCATAGTGTAATTCTTGGTGGTACCAAGGCAGTGTCAGATGCTTAGGAATCAAAAAGACTTAGACCAGTTAAGTGGATGGACTTCCCAATAGCTTATTGTAAATGTTTGATATAGTCAGTTTGATATAGTCCAATTTTGGAGTCCTGTAGCTCAGTGGTTAGAGCACTCGCTTTGCAAGTGAGAGACCTGAGTTCAATTCCAGGCAGGGCGAAACCTTGGGCAAGTTTCCTTACTCCACACGCCTAATAATAATCCCTCCAAAAAAACAAAACAATAATAAAAATTGGTCATTTTCAATCTACGACTGTTTGTGGGACATTGCTGTGCGCAATTGGCTGCCGCGTTCGCCCACAAAATATACAGTCAATTCACTTTACAGTGTGTTCTGTGAAGCGCTTTGGGACGTCCTCCTGACGTGAAAAGCGCTATATCAAATGCAAGGATTATTATTATTATTATTATTATTAATTTACAAGGACCATAACATTAAGAGGATCTGCAAAACTGGGATAAACTGCACATGAGGCACAAAAGCTAAGCAGAACATTCCCTGTGTTAAAGAATGAACTGAGAGCCATGGCATACAGGGAAAACCTTGAACCATGACATGCCAGTGTTTAAGCTACTTAGGTTGTTGCTGTGTTTACGATATAATGAACTGAGGGAGCCATGTAATATGAATTGCGAGGGGAGCCCTAAAGCTTTTGGACATGGTTACTACAGGGCGACCTGTCATAAAGCACCTCACTAGAGCGCTCCTCTTTCTGTGTTGCTGACATTGCTATTGGCTTCCACTTTGCAGTACAGACAGGTGGAAAATTGCTACCAAACCTGGAGGGTACTTCAGAACCATTTTTGTTCGACTGTCTGTATCCTGCGGTGCAAGTTCATCAAAAGATTATTAGTTTAAATGTTAGAGAGGCAGAATTAATATAGAATGTTTCAGCCTGCTTTTGACCTTTCATCATCTGTAAAATCCTTCATTTCTGGTGCTTTTACATTCTTCTTATAGAACTACTGGATTCCCCAAGGTGTAAGTAAAACCATTGACTGACAAATATAGGTGTTAATTGTCTTGCCTATTCCTAGTCTTTGTTATCAGGGGGTATGATTCATCTTCACACCCTGGCTATAATCTTCTCACTGAGTTTTACTTTGAAGGCTCCTTTTCTTCTCTTAAAGTATTTTTATTTAAGTTCCAAGTTTGCTAAAATCCAGCATTTATTTTCTTTTCTGCTTTGTTGGGGTTAAGGTCTCAATGTTTTTCATGGCTGATTCTGCTTTTGAACATTTCCCTGCATTTTGTGCAATCCAATTTCTATTTAATTGTAAACAAAAGGCAAAATTTCTATTTTTATTTCTATTTTTATTTCTATTTAGCTGTTGTGTGACTTGTTTTGTTTCACATGTTCATTGTGACCCAGGTGCTGTCTAATTCTGTATTTCCCTGAATAGATTTTGTTTCCTAAATTTCCCTTGTGCCCATATTTAAGCAGTGGATTCTCATGTGAACTTTGTTAACTGGTACATTGTTGCAGCTTTTTCAAATGCCCACGTACTCTATTATCAGACTGAACAGTCCAATTGAAATATTTTAGTTAATATAGAGCGTTAGTTGCTCAAGCTGGATGAAATTTGATGGTCCTGCTTCCACCAGTGCGCAAGAACAGATGTGGGGCATCATGTGCCTATACACGTGTGATGCTATTCTCAAGAGAGCACAAGTTCAGAATGGTGAAGGGAAAGTTTAGGACAAACAACAGGAAATATTTCTTTACATACTGCATAATTAATAATAATCCTTCCTTGCAATTACTGCAGTGAACGCTGGGACAGCTTACCAGGAAGGGTGGTAAACACCAAGAGGCTGTACTCATTTGAGAAACAGCTTGATGTTGTACTGGGAAGACAGTTGGATTTGGTCTTATGGAAGGATGGAGTCAAATGAACTGAAAAGTCTTCTTCATTCAGGCCAATTTTGTGGATCTTTCATGAGATTTGGAGGAAGCCTACGTATTCAGTATATGCCACATTGAAAATATATGAGGATAGAGTTCAGTTTTAAATGATGCAATGCTCTCTCTATTTCATTGCGAAAATAACCTTGAAGTTTCTGTTGAATTTTTTAAAATTTTACTTGTCTTTGCAGCTTGGAATCCTTTCTATACGGGCTCCACGCCTTGTTTAAAGGAGACTTCAGAATAACAGCAAAGGAAGAATGGATCTTCGCAGACATAGATTTGCTTTACAAGATTGTTGCACCTGGAATCCGAATGTCTTTAAAACTTCATCAGGTACGTTTTCTTTTCAGGTTTACCTTTGTCAAGGTCTAAAACATTTACATTCCAATAAATGGTCCAATGACTGTCTCTCCAAGTCAATTACCATCCTGAATTGGACATTCCTTCATCACCGCTGAGTCATAAACTCTGGAACTCCGTATCCAAACCCCAAAATCTGGGTGTGCCAGATGAATAGCTAGAGAACTAGCTATTATGTTCTTGGGATGTCCTCCGGACATGAAAGACACTACATAAATGTAAATTTGTCTGGTGTGTTCTTGGAGTTTCTTAACAGCTGACGATAAAAGGGCGACCTTTCTGGTTTATTAATAATAATTATAATGATCCTTGCATTTGATATAGTGCTTTATCACATTGTTGAGACATCTCAAAGGGCTCCACCGAGGATTGACATGGCAGACAATTGTATTTTTTTTTACTGGCTTGTTACTAACATGTAGTGTTTGTGTTTTTGTGCGTATCCAGGATCATTTCACTTCACCTGATGAATATGATGATCCTGCAGTTCTGTATGAGGCAATTAGCTCCCACCAAAAAAAGCTGATCATTTGTCATGAAGGCGATCCTATGTGGCGTGATTCTATACTGTCCAATGCTGAGTCACTGCTTGCCCTCAGGCATGTGGTAGATGATGGGGCAGACGAATACAAGATAATTATGCTTCATAAGCGCTACCTCAGCTTTAAGGTGATTAAGGTACGTCATTGTGCTGACTTATTTGTATATATTTCCAAAGCTTTACCAGAGTGAATAAGTACAGCCAGCAGAAAAGCAGCAGCCGAAGCACAGCGGCTCACTTGGAGAGAATTCAAGAAGTTTTTGTATAAATTGTTCCAGGTTTTCTTTCCTTTCGCCTCACTGTGTTGAATCTAGCTATGAAAATAGTGAAGAAACTTGTGTTTTTTTTTAAAAAAGTTACATTCCCAGCCTTCTAATTCCCTGTCCAGGAGCAGTTCTTTAACCTGTCAAGGCAGGTGTGTAAGAGTGGTGAGAGGCGAGGCACAGTCTTATTTCCTCACTGATCTTATTTCCTTTCCTTGTACCTTTCGCTAATGGGATCAGGCATGAGTTGATTCCACAAAAATATGACACTAGCCCCCGGGAACTGAAAAGTAACGGCATTGGCATTCTTTATAGCTATATAAGATATTGAATAGGAAACTCAGAAGTAAACTCAGAAAAATGTTTCCAGAATCCCAAGTTAGAATCACAAGAGGCACATTCAGGGTGGTAAAGAGTGAGTTTAGGTCAGAAACAGAGTAGCCCATTTCTAAGGCTGTATTTGAGGGGAGGGGTCCATAAAACCCCAACCAGCGCTATAACAGGGCCTGACCACCACACTGACAACACGACTGGAAACATCCTATAAGTAACCCTATAACAGGTTACAAGGGCACCTTATAACAGGGTTCTATTATATTTCTGTACAAGAGGGTATTCAACAAATGGAACAGGTTACCAGAAAGAGTGGTAGTGACCAGAACATGATTCGTTTAAGAAACAGCTTAATGCTACAATGGGAAAATGACAGGGTGGATACTCCAGAAGGATCAGGCCTTTGTCATCTGCACCTTGCTAATGATTTAATCTGTTGCATCACCCATATATTCAGCTACATAAATAGGCGTTTCTTTTTTCTTTGAACAGATCAATAAGGAGTGTGTCAAAGGATTGTGGGCAGGGCAGCAGCAGGAGCTGGTGTTCCTCCGCAACCGCAACCCAGAGAGAGGCAGCATACAAAATGCTAAGCAGGTCCTGAGAAACATGATCAATTCATCATGTGACCAACCAATTGGCTATCCAATCTATGTCTCCCCTTTGACCACGTCATACGCTGGAACACACCAACAGCTAAAGAACATCTGGGGTGGCCCGATCAGTTTAGAAAACCTGCAGCTCTGGTTCACTTCCAGGTGGCAGAGGTAGGTATTGCCTTCCACGCCTTTTGTTGCTGCGCTCTCTTACACACCACCTGATACCTTCCAACAATGGTATGAAAACACCTGTAAGACAGTATTACTTATTCATGGGCTCTAGGTGATAATTCACCAGTACAACCAAAGTTCATGTCAATGACTTAAATAATGTGGACAATAAGGCAGGGCAGCAACCCATAAAGTAGTTCAGCATATCTCCTGTAATTCAGGAAGTGTGGTATCCTCTGCCAGAGTTATATGGGTGCACCACTCACAAAGTCAGTATTTGTAAGGCAGACATTTTAGATATTGGGATTGAAGGAGGGTATCAATTTAAGATCATTACCAAAAAAGACAAGAAAGAGATTAGGAGAATTTTTTTTACAGAGTGTTACATTATTTGGACATGGAATACCCCACCAAAATAAGCTGTTGATGCAGAATCAGTAATGTTTTTTAAAAGGGAATTAGACTTATATTTGAAGAGGAAAAATATAAAAGGCTATAGGAAATGAATAGAGGAGTGGGACTGAACAGATTATACTTCCAGAGATCCAGCACAGGCACGATGGGCTGAATGATCTCCGTCTGTGCTGTCTGATCTGTCTATCGTTCAATGCGACAGAAAGGTTTTCCCAGATCTCTTTATTAACAAGCACATCAACAATGTCTTTCTGGTAAATCAAAAGATAGGGTTACAAAATGTACTACAAAGGCGTGAAGAAGTAAGCTGTTATGATCAGTAACTGGAAAATGAACATGTTGATATCTCAGCAGAGAGCTGCGCTACACTCCCAGGCTTCACATGCACAATCTAATCACATTTATGATAGAGTAACAAGCAATGTTATGGAATGGTGTTTGTTTCAATTGGAGAAATAGTATTTCTAGTGAAATGAGCTCCTCCAGTTAGTAGAAATATTCCTGTTAATTAGAGCCCTGGGGAAAGAACTTCAACTGGGTCTAGACTTTGACATTTTCCTTAGTTTTTAGAGCGTGCCAATTTTAAATACATTTTAGACAATTCTTCAATTTAGTCTTAATTTTTAAGACTTTAAAAGAATTTAAAAGAATTGGTCATGGGTTGCATGCACTGAAATACTAGGAAAAGAGTTTTAATTCTAGACCCAGGTGGAATTTCAACACTTTGAGCTCTGACAGTTAAGGCGGACAACTGCAGTCCTGGAGTCCTGTAGCTCAGTGGTTAGAGCACTCGCCTTGCAACCGAGAGACCTGGGTTCAATTCTAGGCAGGGCAAAACCTTGGGCAAGTTTCCTTACTTCACACGCCTAATAATAATTGCTCCAAAACAAAAAATAATAATAAATTGGTCATTTTCAATCCACGACTGTTTGTGGGACATTGCTGTGCGCAATTGGCTGCCATGTTCGCCCACAGTATATTCTGTGAAGCGCTTTGGGACGTCTAGAAGACGTGAAAAGCGCTATATCAAATGCAAAGATTATTATTATTTTACAGAATGTGTCATGGGAGAGAATGCTTTTAATGCGAATATCCCATGTGAACATTGTCTTTGGATATCCTGTTTAGTAGCAGCAATCATTCATTCTCAGCATCATTGCAAAATCAGATATGTCATGTTGGAGTTGTCAGGGTACAGTCCTGCTGATATGAGTCGTGAGGAGGTATCTTTGGGAAGTTACTTAATTGATTCAATGTTTATCTGCATCTCTTCCTTTAGTTGATGTCAATCTAAAACTGTATTCAGTTCCTGTCAAGTACACGTCATATACTGCATGTGACAGTAGAGCCTAATATGTGGTGATTTTTAAAAGGATAAAGAAACTGGAAGGATATCACGCAGGAACTCCACTTCAACACAACCTACTTTCTATTGTCGGATGGAGTTCTGGTCGGGTTACTGGAAGCGTCCCTGCTCAGATTCCTAAGCAACCCCATTAGAAATCACCATGTATTAGATCCTGTTACTCATAGTTCAAGAACTCCTAACCCCATCTCCATGGTAATTCTTTGGAGTGCAATTATTTGTGACCAGTAATTACTAAATGGAGGCTTCTCGAGTGTAACTGTGTGTTAGCTGAGTTTGTGTATGTGAATAAGAACTGAATCTTCTCTATCAAGGATAATAATAATACTTTCATGTTAGGAGGATGTTCCAAAGCGGTACACAAAATTTACGGTGAAGTGGAGTCACTATGTATTTGTAGGCAAACCAGAGGCAAAGAATACATTTAATATCTGAGAGTTTCGCCGGATAACCTTAGGAAAAAATTTTATTTTCTTGAACATGTTGCTTGTGATTAATTAATTCCCTCAGGAGAATAAATAATTTGGGTAGAAACTACGATGTAGCAATTGTTTAGCTCTTTGGAAGGAATGGGCTGAAAGGCCTGAATTATGTTAGCTCTTCATGTTTGTGGCAAGCTATGTATTAGGAACTTCATGGGAAATTAATACCTCCCTGGTGAGTTTGGTGCCATGTTTATACTGTACATCTGGCAGTGAATTGCCAATTTTACTGGAATTCAGCTCTTTATCCTAATCTGGAAGAGGTGGTGGTTTTTGGAGCATTGCAACTTGCATCTTAATGTAATGGGTAGAAACGACACTCTGCTCATTCCCCCAGGGTCCATTTTAGAGCCCCCAGACTGGCCAAGGCAACTTTGAATAGTGTTATTAGTTGAGATGCCCTACTTTGTTTTTCTTCTGCCTTAACTCAGAGAAATGTGGAACAGGCAGTGTAAACATGACATCCAATGACTGCCAGAAGCAAAGCGCTTTGTTCACAGCCATGTAAACATAGCATGAAACCTAGCATCATGGGTCTCCCTCAAGCTTCGTGGTTGGGAGTTAGAAAATTAGGATTTCTCTCACAAAGTTAGAAATTAAGAAAGTAAGGCTATTGTTTGGGGACAAGAGAATTATTTGATATTGAGTGTAGTTATCTCATGCTTGCCATCACTTTAAATAGAAGGGGGAAAGGAGATTTTGGTTCAGCTACTTACTCTAACTCAGTGTGCTAGAAGGGAAAAGCTGACCTGGTTTATATGCACTCCTACAGTCAGCTGATAACAGTGGGATACTGATAGCAGTGAAAGAAGTCTCTGTCCCACGTCATACCATGCTCACAGCCAGAGAAGGCTGTGTGGTCACAGGCTGCAAAATGAAACAGAGAAAGATTTAAAATAAAATTAGAGTATGCACTGCGTTCATTCCCATTGCAGTTGAGTGACGGAGCAGGATAGACTTTTAGGGAAGAAAAAATGGCTGTAACTGAGGCTGACTTGACAACTACGGGGTCTGACAATTAAGACAGTGAATGGCGGCTGCGAATGGGAAACAGTCAATGTCTGTACCAAAGATAGGGTCAGTCTATTGCTACAGAATACATTGTAAATGGGCTTTTCTACAGCCTTCTGTATACATTTGCCACGGTGCTTAGGACAGTTGAACTGATTACAGTTTGTCTGTGGGTGGTTTAAACTAACTGGAAATGGAAAAGTGCTGTCATTTATGGAATCTTATTTTGATGGCAGACGTAGGAACAGTCAAAGAATGTCCCTTTCATCCCCACTGTCAGGTTCATTAGCACCATATTTTGATGCCAATTTTCCTCGGATTGTGTGTATAAGTCATTAATGGCAGTAGCTAAGGGTGCACATCAATATCCAACCTAAGCACACAGATCGATTTGGTCTGATTTATATGGTTGAATAAACTTTTAAATGTTTAGTTTATTCACAGAGGAATCCCAATGTAATGGATAAATAATAATGGGTATTATACTTGCCTTTGAATGTGTCCTAGTCATCAGTTCAATACCTTTCTACTCGTACAGTGTGGAAAGGCTCCTCCTTAAGAGTTTTCCAGTCATTTAGTTTTACTGTAAAATTCATCATGGTCATGGACATGTTCTGACATTCCTTAATAAATCTTGATTCATTCCAACAAATTCAATCATTGCAAAGCTGAGATTTTTGATGGGATCCATAGAGATCCCATGGCAGCAGGATGGATTTGCATTGAAAGTGTTTAGATAAGAGTGAATGACTGGCCTCCACAGAGAAACCCGTCAACATGGATATATGCTAAACATTTGATTTCAAACCCAAACCTTGTGGGCACACCCAGGAGAGCAAGTTCTTTACAAGTAAGCACTTATCCCTAACACTGATATTTTCCTTCAAGTGTTGCATTTGTCACAGTAAAACACATATATTTTGAATGTTTAACACATTTCTGTAGCTCAGTGGTTAGAGCACTCGCTTTACAAGCGAGAGACCTGAGTTCAATTCCAGGCAGGGCAAAACCTTGGGCAAGTTTCCTTACTCCACACAGAGCCTAATAATAATCCCTCCAAAACCAAAAACATTAATAAAATTGGTCATTTTTCAATCTACGACTGTTTGTGGGACATTGCTGTGCGCAATTGGCTGCCGCGTTCACCCACAAATATACAGTCAATTCACTTTACAGTGTGTTCTGTGAAGCGCTTTGGGTCGTCCTCCCGACGTGAAAAGTGCTATATCAAATGCAAGGATTATTATTATTATTATTATTTCTTCACTTCAGCTCATTTTATGGACCCAGACACGATCTATTTAGACATTACCTATTTTCAGTTGCAACTGAAGATGAAAGTTGTGTGTAGACATTCAGCTTATTCTCGCTACTTCAAACAGTCTTTTGGGTGTTCACGTCCTCTATATTATTTTTATTATTATCATTTTGAGATCTGAAATTCCTCATGATCTTTTTGTCTGTTGATTGTGCCTGTAAAATTTTGAAAGATTCTTAAATTCAGATTGAACTTTGCCCTCCGCAGTTCTTAATAAGAACTTTTATCCCAAACTAAACTGAATTTACGAATTTTCCAAAATTGCACACAATCTATAACAAATATAACATTTGTTATGACATTTTATAACAAAGTGCATGAGAAATTTCAGTGAACCTAATAGCTGATTGCCTGAGAAATTTAACGTACAATTTTAAAATGAAGGCTGCGTTATATGTAATCTTGTGTGAACATTTGAGAGGTTGTAGAAAAGTTCAGAGTTATGATAATATTATTGCCCAAGCTGCCAAAAAGCTACAAAATGACAAAAACTGCAGTTTTACCACAAATATCTTGATCTGTTTAGTTTGCGGAAAGGATGCAGTGGAGGGAACATTGATGACTCGGAATGTGGAGGAGGTTCTTCGTCGAGCAGCAATAACCACACTGGTAATACCACACGAAGCATCAGCTCTAAGCAAACCAGGATGTGGACACCACATCCCCTAGCTCCACTGACTAGTCACCGTGCTACAGGTAGGTCCCAAAACTCATTCTCTGCATGCTCTATTCCAGTTTGCCAAAGAGAAGAATTATGCCTAGTTGATGTCAGCAGCTCTGCCACAAGATGACAGGAGCTCATCTATTATCCACATTATATTTAAAAGGCACACACATGCTAAGGGACAGAAAATCATTATTGTACCAAAACTGCCCCAGCCCAAACCCAAAATTCCATCTCGTCTCAAACTATAAGACCATTTTGTCTTAAAATTTTAATTTGCGCATAATTCTGTAAAAGAAAATTAATTAGATCATACATTGGAAACATTTCTGCAGTCCCTAAAACAAACTTCCAAATTAAGAGTGAATTTTACAATTGTAGGCAATCTTAAATTTTAAGTGTTATAATAGACACATAGGCAAAGACCTAGATTAAATTCCAGGTCTCTTGATGCCTTGCTGCAGCATTAATCTTCTCTAACTTGAAAGTTAGACAGGGAGAAATATAACTTGACATTGGTTTTGGAAAATAGTTCAGGGACATGGTGGTTGAAAACTCGGCTACTGATAGTGGAATGGGAACAATAACTTGGGATTCAGTACCTGTAAGAAAATAATTACGCAGAACATTACAGCATGGAAACAAGCCATTTAGCCCAACTGGTCCATGCTAGTGTTTATACTTCAGACAAGCCTGCATCCCTCCTAAGCCCCTCTCCCATACCCCTCTATTCCCTTCTCCCTCATGTATGCATCAAGTTTCCAAGAAAAGGATTTAACAACAAGGTTACAACAAGATTACATTTGTATAGCGCCCTTCACGTCGGGAGGATTTCCTAAGGCGTTGGACAGTGTACAGCATTTCAGACCCAAGTGGGGTCAGGGGGGAGAAGGGAGGGGAGGGGAAAGGGGGTGACCAATGGCATGGTCGAAGAGAAGGGTTTTGAGGCGGGACTTGAAGAAGGCTAAGGAAGGGGCGAGGCGGAGTGACTCGGGGATGGAGTTCCAGAGGTTGGGGGCAGAGTGACTGAAGGCTCTCCCGCCTATGGTGGGGCAGGTGGGTCGGGGGACGTGGAGCAGGCCAGAGCCGGCTGAGCGGAGGGAGCGGGCGGGTTGGTAGGGGATAGGAGGTCACAGAGATTGGGTGGGGCGAGACCATTGAGGGCTTTGTAGGTGAGGACCAGGATTTTGAACTGGATCCTCTGAAGGATAGGGAGCCAGTGGAGTCGGGCGAGAATGGAGAATGGAATGGAGAATGAGAATGAAGTTAATTAAATGCACAACAAGGGGAGGAATTGCCAATGTGAGCTCAAAATGTGTTTCTACTAATGTAAGGTGCACCAGGAACACAGAGAATAAAATATTGGCTGTGTGACTTGTAGATTCGGTGGCATAATGACTTAACTTCAGAAATTGCATTGATACTAAACTTGACTGGATCCATTCCTTAATAATTAGCTTTCTTGATGTTTCAATCTACTGGCAGGAAGAGTTTATCTCAGTATTTGACCCTCATTGCATATATGGCACGGTATTAATACTGCCTAAAGTTAGTGTCAAGACTCCCATTTCCAATTGGCACCAATTTAGCATAAAAAGTACTATCTCTAGTAGAACAGGGCTCGCTCATCCTCTTTGGGAATCTTCTCCCGCAGTTTATTGTCTGACCAGCAGTGTCACTGTAGAGCGGGTTGGATTGTATGCGGGTTGAAATTAGGGAGAAAAGTTAGGTAAAAAATAGAGAATTAAAGAGGAGCAAAACAAGAAAAAACAGATTTTTTTAAATTTGTGTTTCTGTCGGTCGCTGGTAAACATGTAAATAAATTTGAAGTGGCCGTAAGCTGTTTTGTAATATACCTAAAATAGTGAGCAGCCCAACATAACATAACACCTACCTTTAGGCCACTCCAAACTCAAAGGAGCTTTACAGCTTCTGACAGAATGACAATTTTTTTAACCTCTTTCTTTGTTTCCTTTTTAATACTCTTCCGCCAGTCAATATCAATCATCCAGCATCAATGCAGCCTGTCTGACGAGAAGCTAGTTGCACTGGAGGGGGTTGGGGGTGGGGGAGGGAGTGGGTTGTGATGAGATATCCACCACAACAGGCTGGAAATTCAACTTGTAATGTAACATTTGAGATTCCAGGCTTCAATTGCAAGCACAATGCCGAGGTTCCTGCCTCTTTTTGTGCTTTTCATCTGGCATTTAAGGGAGCATTTAGGGCTTTAGTCTTGAGGGTGCAGTGGTTCTGAATATTTAAATATGAAGTTTAACTTTAAAAGCCAGGTCTAATGGACTTCACTAGTCTTTAATAAGATGATGTCTGAATCTTACAGTGTATCACCAGGGATTGGCAATGCCCATTTCTAGCTAGTCTGCCTCAAGCTCTGGGACACACCCTGCACTTCACCGCCTTGAATTGGGCACAGACCCACACACTTCTGCCACGTGCTCTGATGCATCCTCAGCCTCCAGGACATGGATCTAACCCACTGAACAACATATAGATTTTAATTAAAGGAAACAAAGCTCCTTCTTTCACAGTCCGATGCTCAGCTGCCAACAGTCACCATGGAAACTTCTGTCATGACAGAAACGTGTCCATCGCATATCTGCACATTATACTCAGACCACGTGGTCCTAATTGTGCAGGATTCAGGACTTTTGAAGAAATTTGAATGAAATGAATTGAGATAAAAATGTATCTTCTCTCATGAGGTTAATTAAAAAGGATCTGAATATAGCCGATCACAAAGCAGTGCTGACATCAGAGGCTGTGGACACAGTTTGTGGTCCATAGATCAGCTGGTCTCCCATTTGAAGTAAATAGTGGAGAATACATATTCAAGGGAGCATTTAAACAATGACAGAAAATGGTATCTGGGAAAAAAAAATTGCCAGAAAGAAAGAACTATTTTAGCAACAGAATGCTTGTGGACAAGCCGTGTAGATCCCGACAGTCTTCTGGGAGCTGCCGTCTGTGCATATTAGTCTCCTTCCGTGTGGCAGATGCTGAACTGGGAGGTTACAGTATTGCATATTTTATGAGAATTTGAGAAGGGTTATTGACTGCTACACATGGCTCTGCTGCTGATTGACTGAGACAGATAAAGCAGCTACACTTCATAATACGAAATACAAAACCTTCCGGACATGATTGTTTCATGTTCCACTTTTGACATAAGCTGTCATTTTGGAAAGGGAACGAGAAAGCTGTTAATATTTGCATGAAACTTGCTTGCTTTTTCTCCCTGTTGGGACGAGAAACCTTTGATGTCAACTTGAAAGCATGACATTATAGATGTAAAGACCTGCCTCTTGCAAATGTAATAAATTGATTTTGCAAAATAATTAGCATCCTGGATGCCATTAAATGTCACTTTAAATGCCCGTGTATTGGTAATGTAGCACATAAACCTGTGCTTCGAATTTGTAAGCAATATTTAACCTTTTAAATCTAGGCACACATTTGGTTTTCAATGTAAAAGTCACAGATTGTGTTGTAAAATCAGATCACTGAGTGGATTGAACTTTTGGGTTTTTTGATAGTGTATGAAATAAAGAACTCGGTCATGAAAGAAAACACCCTTTGCAGCCTCTTCTGAAATTATGTTCATTTAGGCCTTGTACTCATTTGCACTTGCATTACATCAAATGCAAGGATTATTCTCATTATTAGAGAGAAATTCAAAACCGGGATAGAAGGTAATCTCATTAATTTCACTAAGCATTGAGGAGCTTGACTCACTGCCACACACTAATCAGATAAGTAGCGATACCAAGTAAAATATATTTCTGAATGAGTCTTCAACAATATAGACGTGTGTAGTGTTGAAAAGGGGCTGTCTTTCTCGATGATTTACTTGAAGTACAGTATAACTTGTTGCAGAAATATTTTTTAAAATGTTCTTCTTGAAAGTGGTATTTTCAGATGGCCTATTCGTGTATGAATATCATTGCTATTTTATATATTCACACTTTCATCAAATGTGAAATGCGACTTTTTCTTATCAGTATCTTTTTTAACACAAGCACATCAATGGGGCCTGATTTTGAGATTTCTAAATTGATTTAGAAACAGCAAATCCATCAGGTTCCCGAACCTGTCTTGGGTCAGTCTTCCAGAACTCCATTCAGACACTCCTCTTCTGCCAGGCTGTTTTCTTGGCTATAATCCAGCTTTGTGAATGTGGAAACCGAAATTATTATCAGTCCCAAAGGGTTGGCCTGAGACATGTCTGACTATTTCCAAAATTCACTATTTACGACTATAAAATATGCAGTCACTACACTTTACAGTAGATCCTGTGAAGCGCTTTGACGATGTGATTAGGCAGTTTAATCAAATATAAGATTACTATGTACAAATCTTTTTGTGAATGCTGTATTTACAATTTACGTCTGGGAACGTTTACATCCATCTTGTCTTTGGCATGTAAATCAATAGATAGTATTTTCAAAATTGAGATTTAGAAATATCCTTATTAAAAATATTTTTTTTAAAAACTATTCCACTGAGCACTCAACTGCAACTGGTAAGCTTCATCTCCCCTTGGGAGGTTTACTGTGATTGTCACCATACACATGTAAAGGTTTCCTACTGTGCTGTGTAATTGGACTCACAGTGCTGCCTAAAAGCTCAAAGATGAACCGATCAATGAATTTCAGTGCGTTAAAGGGCCATCATCATCTTGGCTGCAATAACGCTGTCAACTGTTTTTGACGAAGCTTTCTAAATGCAATGTAATTGTCATCGCGCTGATGAAATTTGTATCATAAAACACTATTGTGAAAATTAGTCATGCTTCAAGCTTCTTTCCAAAACTGTGACAATCTTACTCTAATGTTTGAAGCTTGTCAAGAGTAAAATGTCAGAGGCTACCTTCCCAATGTATCATGTGCACTGACCAGTATGATCTATAATTTTCCAAGGACTAAATTGGGTTGATCTGATTATTTATGCATGCTTGCTGGTGGCTATTTCAGAGAGCATTTTAATAATAATAATATTGAATGTTAACGGTTTGTGTAGTGGGTATTCATTTACAGTGTAAAGACTGTGGAAATGATGAGCGCTATGGGCAGCCCAAATCCACCAGTCACCTGTCACTGAAAGCAGGGATACTTCCTACTCAGCTACTGGTAACTCTAGAGGCCAAACCCCTAACAGGTAGGGTGGTCCCTTGTGGACAAGCACGAGGGAAGCTTGCCAGACAGTGCTTTCAATGGCAAACTGTGGTTTTAGCTGTACTCCAACACATACTCTGGGATCTCCAAGCTTTGGCTCTTTTCAACCTGTGCCTAATGCTCTCCAGAATTGGGTTAGCAGGATGTGTCTATCCAGGGAGAGAGTTTGCACTCCATTCCAAACACAGCAAAATTTACATGTGTTGGTGGCATACACTTGTGGAAATTTGAGTCTGCTTTGAATACTTTTAAGCATGTGTCAGGCATCTGGCTGACCAAAACAAAACCCTGCAGAAACAAAAATATAAGAAATAACAAAATCAAAACGTGGGATGGGCAAGAGACAGAAGTAAAAGAAAATTGCATCCATTGCCTGCATGGATAATTATTCATAATTACAAAGATACAGGTGCTCTCGAAATGATAATTTGGAACTGCACACAGCAGGCGATATTGCATTCTACCTTCTGGTCTTGATTTATTCTTAATTTTAAAAACATTTGTGCAGAATCTGAAGACGCTCCTATAATTTAAAACAAAAATGCATGTCACCTGACTAGATTTCTCAACAGCGTTTACAATGAAAATTATATTTAGTTTCATAAAAAAATTCTCTCCGTCAAACTTAAGGGAGTTGATAACCTGCACTACAGTATTTTTTTTAAACTCGTCTGCTTAAACTTTAAACTTGCTGAATCATTGGAAATGTTGTGGAATGATAATGGTAATAATAATAAGAATCCTCACATTTTGTACAAAGCCTTTCATGTCAGGAGGATGTCCCAAAGCACTTTACAGGATGAATGGTAAAGTGCAGTGACTGTTTTGTGGGCAAACGTAGCAGCCAATTTGTCCACGGCAATTCCTTACAAACAGCCATGAACTGAACAACCAATTTTATTTTGATCTATTGAATTGAAATCACGCTAGTGGATCATTCACGTACTCCAGCTCAGAATTGGGAGTTGCTGCATTATTGGGGGTGCCGTACTTCAGACGAGACGTTAAACTGAGATCCCGTCTCACTGTTCAGGTGGCGTTAAAAAAAACTCATGACATTATTCAAAAATGAAAGGGATTTTCTTCTGCTATATTGGCCGGCAGAAATTTTTTTTTTATTAGGTCCTTCAATCCATAGCTGTTTGTGCATCATTGCTCTATGCAAATTGGCTGCCAAATGTGTCTAGAAATACACAGTCACTCTATTTTACAGAAAAACCCAGAACTTTGAGACATTTTGATGTGATAAGACACTATATCAAATGCAAGGATTATCATTTGTGCTGAGTTTTTCTGATTTGCATGGATTGCATCCAGCCAAAGCGGGAAACTTGAATATCTATTGTATAGAAACTGGGTTGTGTGATCTGTTCTAGTCAGTGTGAATTGTTAGTTTAATCTGTCAGTGGTGCTAGGATGTTTAATTGCGAGTAAGAGCACTTATGATGTCTGTATTGTCTTTGCATTGCAGTACAAAGAGAACAAAGGAGTCGCTCTGTGCAGCCACGTTCATCCAGATCAGTGACCCAGCGACCACCTGCTGAAAGTCAGTCAGGGTCTGTACTTGAAACGCAGCACCCACTGTCACGGGCTTCCACATCTGTCCACGGCATAGTTCAAAGGTTATCCAACAGCCAGCTGTCCTTCAATAACTCAATAGCTTCTATTTTATCCCAAGTACCTCGACTGTCCTCAGCAAGCCAGCCTAGTAGCCAAGGTCAATCTGCTACACAGAATAGATGCAGCATTGCCTCTTCCACTAGCTCCACACTAAGCCTTTTGTTTGGGAAGAGAAGTTTATCCAGTGGGCTCGTGATATCCGGACTTTCAGCAGCAGATGGAGGAAGCACCACTGACACCCAGTCAACCAGCAGTGTCAACGTTGCCCTTGGACCATCAATCAGAAGTGGAAGTCAGGCAACACGGGTAACACTACCATTCTTCATCTTCATTTTAGGGTGACCCAGTAACCTTAAGTGGTTGAGTGCTTGACTTCCAAGCAGAAGGGGTCTGAGTTTGAATCCCAGGCCTGCCCATCACTTCAACCGACTTGCTTAGGTTCAGTGAGTTTTGCTGGTTCCCAGGCAGACGGCTAGATGGAGTTCAAACAGCATTGAGATATTCCATATGGGAACGGGTGGGTTAACAGGAACGAAAACCTGACAGTGTCTGCCGCTGCTCATGTGAACAGCAGCTCCTGCTACACAGCATCCATTAGCAATACTGGAGGGGGAACAGCATCCCATCCTCCTAGTTGGAGAAGAAAGCAAACAGCACCTAACAAAAGAAAGATAAAGGAATACCAAAAGCATAACAACAAAAATATAAGAATGAAAGAAATTATGGAGGCCCTCTCTAATGGAATACCATCCAAATATAAAACACAGTGGTATGATGCACAAGTTTATCTTTAGAAGGATATGCAGCAGCAACAGTCGATAAAGTGGAAAATAATGCAGTGAAGAATTAGGTTAACTTCCAAAGCATTAGTAGGGGGTTACATTTCTTCAAAAGGTTCTCTTTAATCTGAATTTAATCCTAATCTAGTTGAGAATGGAAGTGTATTTATATACAAACAACATCCCCTCTGTCGATGATCAGGGCTCCCTGTGTCTCCTAATCTGTCTCGCATAAGTTGCAAATTGTTATAGTTATTTTAAACTTTATTCTAACCCTGCCCAAGTCTGCTGCAGTTAAAAACAAATTAGTTAACAGAATATGTACCAGCATAAGTAGAGCTATATTGAGCAATGGGTTGTCAGTGCACATATTGGCACAATGGCTTCTGTGAACTATTTCCAATCACGATTGGGATGCCAACGGACAAGTTGAGGAACTTCCCTATAAACAGGGACAGTACTTTAGGTGATGGGTTACCTTCCTAGTAGCTAATTGCAGAGCACAATTGATCAGGTTGCTGACCCAGACTCTCCCTCACAAGATCACGAAATGAACAGGCCCATTTGGTCCAGATTAGGTGTGTTGTGTGAGACCCGCCTATCAGTTTTGCCTCGCTGTCTGCCAGAGCTCTCCCCTGTGCACCTTCCCCAACAGCACAGTCAAAACGCAGAGTTCACCACATGGGCATTACAGGTTCATGACCAATGCATAGATCCACCACTCAAAAATTACCTTGATTAAAAATGAGAAATCATTACTAACATTACATAAATAAGGCATCCAATTTCAAGGGATTGTAAATATTTTATATGAAACTGAAAAGAATTCTTAGAGTTTAAATATCAGTCTGCACACTTTCAGCAACTAAACATACCCTAAAAAAGATAAACATTGCAGTTGTGATGTTGCTTTGCTAAACCATGAATGGTGCCCTTTTCATGGCTATTTATTATTCACAATTAACAAAAAAGCTACCCTTCACGACCGCGTGCAACTCACTGCTCCCACCATGGAGTGCTCCTTTTCTGACATGCTGGGCAGGGAGTTGCAGAACAGATTTAATTCTATATACATTGGTGTCCTGTAGCTCAGTGGCTAGAGCACTTGCTTCACAAGCGAGAGACCTGGGTTCTATTCCCGGCAGGGCAAAATGTTGGGTAAGTTTCCTTACTCCACACGCCCCTGTTTATCTAGCGGTAAGTAGGAACCTGGTTGTTAGTCAACTGGCGGATCGCTTTTCGGGGATAATAATCCCTAAAAATAAAATACAGTCAATTCACTTTACAATATATTCTGTGAAGCGCTTTGAGATAACTAAGGTGACGTGAAAAGTACTATATCAAAAGCAAGGATTATTATTATTATTAATTCCCGTTATCTGGGACTGTGTCTGCATGTTGTGCAAAGCTACTGAAATGCAGTATGGTGACTTTTAAAAGACATTTTAACAACATAAGGTAACATTTTTAAATCCTGGAAAATAAAAGACTTTATTTCTGAAACTCTGAAACCTTGAAAACTTGAAAACTGAAACTCTGAAAACTTGAGGGTTCAAGAACTATGGTGTTTCTAAAGACATCCTGTTCCTTAGTTATTTACAGGGATAATTAAGGAACAGTACAGAAACTGGTTAGAAAACATGTCCTTAAAATTGTTCCGTCGGTGAATGGAGAATAAAGATGGCAGTTGCAAAGACAGAGGGAGATATTGCTCTCCCAGACTCAGAAATCTGTTGAGTCCCAAATCTATTATTCAATAAAAGGATTCCTTAATTAACCTGCAATAATTGAGGAATGCAATGGGTTTAGTAAAGGGAGGTTAAAACAGAATATGGTGTTCAGATACAGTCATTGCAAGATTTGTTTAATGCATGGATATGAAAGATTTTAGCTACACAAATGTTTAAATTAATATTTAAGATTTCTGGTGACTTTTATTCGGTCAGACGGGTGTCTGACACATGCGGAAATCCATCACCATGCTTGAATATCCAAACCAAACTGAGAATTCCATGCATTCCACCTACACATGGAAATTCAAGAGAAAGATTGTTGGAATGAAATACCTGCCTGACGGGCTTTCCTGTGCTTTTCCAACTAGGACCACCCTACCCGTTAGAGCGTTAGCTATTGGGTTAATGGGGGCTGAATGGGAAAACTGACTGATCTGCTCTTCCAAGACCTGCCAATGAGGCAAACTGACTGTGCTATTATCAGCGTAAATTTTAAATGCTATCAAAGCAGGAAATGTCAGCGCAGGAAACAAACTCTTTCTTGACTAGATAAAGCTCTTTCCACTCTGCCCAACAATATCTCTTCACTCCAGCCTCAGAGGAGCATTGCTCCACTTCACCTATGACATTTCTAAGCTCCACGCCTGCCAGGCTTGTGACCCAGGAAGTTTAATGCCAAGCATTAATTTAATCTTCTGTTGTACATGGTATGTCCACAGCCATTATTTTGATGTGTGTGCAAGATGAACGATATCCCAGCAGGTACAGACCCATTCTCCAGGTATAATCTTTTTTATATATATTGTTTCCTCACATTTTCCATTGGGATCACAGCTGGGCTTCTGTTGAGACATAGCTCCTGTTGAGATGTCCATAGGAGCAAATTTCTTCCAACAAGTCTTGGATCTGCAGAGCTGATGACCACAATTTAAGCAGTTTTGTAATGGATTCCTCTGGAGTTTTCCTTTCTGCAATTCCTACGATTGATGGGGAGTACCGCAGACTCGAGGATAAATCTATTCCAGGTAGTTTCTAGATTGAAGTTGCCTTAAGTTCTGAATGCACCCTGGGACTGAAACTCATTCATAGATTGTGCTGGTGTAAATAGCCTAGCCTCAAATGTGCTTGAGTGGAGGCTGTTTCTCATTCAGTTTAATCATTCATAAAACTCAAATAGCTTGTGCATCAGATTAAATCTCCTTGTTGCTAGAGATTAAGAAGAGCATTACTGCTGGGAGGCAAAGTGGTTTGAAAGACTCTGAAAGGTGCAGCGAGATTCAGCAACAATAGGAGACAGTGCTCGAATTGGAGCAATTCACTCACAGGCAAAAACAGAATTAGCTGATAAAGCAAATCAGCAGCCCAAGGAGCAAGAGCAACAAAAAAGAAAAATCTTTAAAATGAATAAGAGATCAGTCTAAAAAAGAACAGAAACAAGAGCCAGAGTCAATACTATGAGGAAACAACTGGAGGAATAAGGCAGCTAGTTCTTTGTGGTTGGATGACTGATGCCTTGGACATCAGGTGATCATTAGTCAGTGACCTTTAACTCAGCAGAAATTAATCGGTTCATTTCCGACCATCACGAAAATTCACAGTGTATGAAGGATTTTAGCTCACCAGAATTGCTGCAATCGGGGGGAAAATTATGCTCATGCATTCTATCCAAATGTGCATTGAACTGGACTGAAACCCTACCAGCTTTCCAGCACAGTGTTGTGCAGGAACACATCCAGTTCATTGACTGTTCTGTATCACTTTCACGGGCAGATATGAGCGCAATTTATCTTCCATTTCAGCAACTTCTCTTTTGTGTCATTATTTTAAAAATTGAACAATGTTTCAACTGAGGTTTATATTCGTACAATTACTTAAATTCAAGTATAAACCTCTACCACTAACAAAAACAATGAATACACATAAAATAGATCAGAATAAAGCTTGTTGATTTGAAGCCTGGCTTTAATAAAGTGACTGTAGTTCATTTGCTTAAAGAATTTTTGTGAACACTTTGGTTAACTCAACCCATTAACAAATGAAGTACTACTCCCTTTTTCACATGTGAAAACCCATGCTATCAGTTTCTAGCTAAAACGTATGAAGTGGATGGGGAATGTACACTCTTAGTATTACTTTTGTCTACTTTTCTAAATTCAATTTAACCATGGGTGAAAATACAGATGCACATTACCACAGTTTCACCTGGGCGATTGTTGACCAATACACTGGGAGAAACTCCCTTCTCTTTTCAAAATGCTGCATTACCCATATCAACCTGTCCGCTTCCTCCGCTCAGCAGGATCCGGCCTGCTCCACGTCCTCCGCCCGGCCCGCCCCACCATTGGCGGGCGGGCCTTCAGCCTCTCTGCCCCCACCCTTCGGAACTCCATCCCACATTCCCTTCACCTTGCTCCTTCCCTTGCCTCCTTCAAGGCACGTCTCAAGACTTCTTCTTCGACTGGGCCTCTGGCCACCCTCCCTACCGTGCCCTCCACCCTCGCTCATCCCACCCCTGCCCTCTTCCCCCGCTCGGGTCCAAATCCCTGACTGTCCAGCTCCTTAGGACATCCTCTTGACGTGAAAGGCGCTATACAAATGTAATTTTGTATTGTATTCACCTTAATATCCAAATTTAAATTTTCAACAGCCCAAAGTAAGGCTTAATGTCATTCATATATTTATCTCCAATTACTATTTGCTGATAATATTTTAGAAGAGTTTGGGTGTTATCTGTAGGTAGTACACTGTACAGTGCTATGCGGATGCCAGACTATATGGGCATGTGACTTGCATTGAAATTTAAAAAATCACTGCACTTGGCATTACACTGTGCCAGCCTGGCTCAGTTGGTAGTGCTTTCACCTCTTGAGTCAGCGCTGGTAGCTTCAAGCCTCACAACCTATAGTATAGGCTGACACTCTCATGCAGTGATAGGGTCTGCTGTGTTGTTGGAGGTGCCGGCTTTTGGTCGAGAAATTAAGCTGAGATCCTGTCGCCTAATCGGGTGGCATGGCGCACTTTGAAAAGAGAAGGGAGTTTCTCCCAGTGTTTTGGTCAACAATTGCCCAAATAGAATTGGATATTCACTTCATGGCTCTTTGTGGGACATTCCTGTGCATAAATTGGCTGTCGTGTTTGCCGAGAAAATAGTCACTTGACATTGTATCTTGTGAAGCACTTTGAAACGTTGTCCTGATGTGAAAGGTCTATTATCAAATGTCAGGATTATTATTATTATATTATTCTACACCAGTAATTATTTTTGAATCACTTTGATATGTTTTGACATTTAAGGGTGCTATAAAATTGAAAGTTGTTTCTTTGTTACTTATTGGAAAAGAGGTCGGATAGTTAATAGTCCTGTAGCTTACTGGTTAGAGCACTCGCAAGCAAGAGGACCTACGTCCAATTCCCTGTCAGGGTAAAACAAAATGTTTCCTTATTCCACACACCTCTGTTTACCTAGCAGTAAGTAGGAACCCAGTTGTTTGTCAATTGGTGGATTGCTTTTCTGGGGGTGATAATCCCTTAAAAAAAATAATTTGGTCACTCAATCCACGACTGTTTGTGGGACACTGTTGTGCGCAATTGGTTGCCATGCTTCGCCCATAAAATATACAGTCAATTCACTTTACAATATATTCTGTGAAGCGCTTTGAGACATCTCGAAGACTTAATAAAGCGCTATATCAAATGCAAGGTTTATTATTATGAATAGCTGAGCTAAGGCTTTGCAGATGGATTTAATGTAGAAATTACAAAGTAATGTATATTAAGAGCATGTGCACACAATTAAGAGGTATTCAGTAGCAGAGATAGAGAAAAAAAACAATTTGAATGTGACTATTGATCATTTATTGATCATGTATTAATACTTCCAGTCAGTGTAATACTGATATCAAATACTAGGTTACATCTTTCAAAAAAATGTTCAAATCTTGTATAAATCAATTGAATGCTGTGTGCAATTTTTGGAGATGAAGGGGGAAAATTACAGCAATTTGTACTGCTTTCGGCATTCCATTCTTTAATTAAGGCTAGAGATAAATAGATGCTTTTTCAACAGGATAGAAATTGTGGTTAAGACATGCCTGTCTTAAAACCAGTCATAAATGACAAGTTTGGGATTGGGCAATCTTCCTCTCTGATTTCTGGAGAATGGTTTCTCCTGCAAGCTTTTCAGCGACCATGTTTCGTAAAGCTAGTGAAATGCTTAAAGAATCAATTTTTGGAGGTTTGAGTGTAATTTTAACTTTAAAAGTTTTGTTTAAAACGTGTAAGTGGTGAGAAGCACGAAATCAGCACCGAAATGTTAAGAGGCTTGAGACCTACTGAAAAATAATGCATTGTTGATCACCATGAATTCCTACAGACTACAGTATAGAGAATAGTGAGAGCACTGGGAGTAATTACAAACCAGGCATCATATTGAGAGAATCAAATCATGTCACAAATCTCTAGGGTACAACTCAAGTGGCTCAGACACATCAGTCAAACCCTGAAAGAAAATTGCAGCCTTTACAATGATCCCATGTATCTGCTGCTTTCATGATGCGTTATTGTGGAGCAAGTATCTGTATTTTCGGGGGGGCTGGGGGCATTTTGTAGCCAGCGGGTATGGTGTATACCACTGAGGAACTTTGTGTAATTCATGTGAAATTACATCCATAATGAAGAATTAATGACTGTGATGAAATCACCGCAAGTTTATTAAGTGATATGTCATGATTAATTACCAGGAAATAACAGTTGACATTTAATGTTAATTGTATTGCATTTCACAAATGATAAAATACTACAATTTAGAATGTATTTTGATGTACAATTGTTCTAGCCGTCAGGTTTGACCCACAGATGTCCTTCCTTCCCCACATCTGGTCCCTGATCAGGACAATCCTTCCTCCACCTCCGCCACATTGCCCGCCTCCGACCATACCTTACTCTAGACGCAGCCGAAATGCTCGTCGATGCACTTGTCACCTCCCGACTTGACTATTCAAATGCCCTTCTCCCCGGTCCCCCCAGCTCCACCATGCACAAAATCCAGCTGATTGAAAACTCCGCCGCCCGCATACTTGCCCATACTGAACGCCGTACCCCATCACACCAGTTCTAGCCAGGATCCACCCGATCGCCGAATGGATTGATTTCAAGATCCGCGCACTTGTTTTCAAATCCCTTCATGCCTTGGCACATCCCTATCTCTCCGACCTCTTTACTCCCCAACCCACTACCCGCTGCCTCCACTCAACTGGCTCTAGCCTCCTGTATGTCCTCGTGCCCTCTGTTCCACCATCATTTTTCAGCCACTATACGTAGAAACTCCTGAACATTATTTCTCTATCCCTCCAGCTTGCCCCTTCCTTTCCCATCTTCAGGTCACGCCTGAAGATCTTCCTCTTTGACTGTGCCTACGGACTCCCCCCATCCCCCCCCCCCCCCCAACCACTGCTCGGCGTTGTGTTCCACCACTGTTAAGCGCTCTGGGACGCTACCCTGTGTGAGGGGTGCTATATAAATGCACGTTGCTCTCCTTGTACACCATATACTGATGGTTGCAGGTATATAAGTTTTATATCAGTATCACAGAACATTATGACCATTCTGAAAAATAACTAATTGTACCGTTAAGCTTCCTATATTCTATAACTTGCCAGGATCTAATAGTGAATGACTTTTGCTTCCAAATTGATTTCAACCTGCCTCTGTAACCGGTTAAGTAGAGACAGTTGAATTAGAGATTGTGACAGTCGAAAATCAGACTTGAACTGGAAAACGTATGATAAATTGCCAACAACAGTGAGGTACAATCACTGTTGTGGGAATTCTTGGTTGATGAAGACTTGTGGATTGTATAGAAAATACAGCACTCAAAAATTTGTTTAGTAATATTCTCTCTGGATTTTTTTTGAAGGATGCTTCTGATACTTGCCTGAGCCCTGATGCTACCGTCTCCAGCCAGATGAGAGATGCTGCTCAAACAGACGATGCTTCACACTCTCAGGATGGAGACCCACTCTGTGACTGTACCAAACAAGATGGGCCAGAGAACAGGGTTTCTCATCTGATGGTGGAGAAGAATCGGCAGTGATTACTCAAGTTTTAAGTTGAGTTACAGGTCAGCGAATCAGTAATGAGAAGGCATGCATTTTCAATAATACAAAAATAATAAAGGGGAGCTTAGAAAATACTTATACTGAGGGTGGTTGGAACGTTGAATTCTCTGCAACAACTTAGTTGAAGCAGAGTCTATAGAATATTTTGAAAGGGAATTAGATAGATGCTAGAAAAAAGAACTATTAAAGGGTTTAGGGAGAGTAAAGATGGGTGGGATTACATTAGGTGACTCATGGAGAAAACACCAGCCAGATTTGATGGGTCAAAATAGCCAGTTTAGGTGTTGTAATACTCTTCGATTTAGCCCAAATCAAAGAATGAAAGAAAGCAGATTTTTTTCACATAATAATAATAACATGAAACATTAAACAGCAAGGGGCACTTGTGATAGGATTCCTTGTCATTTGGAAAAGAAACCTGGAGTATGATCTGGTCGAATTATTTTGTATCAGATCCTATAAATTGCTTTGTGTAATGGAGTGAAAATATATTTTCATTTTAAAATTCAATCACCATCCCATCAAAAAAAAATTCTCTGAGAATGCCTGGGAATAAGAACATAATTTGATGTGGTTTAAAAGACCACATATTCCTGTTTATTCAACCACAGATGAGTTAGATTTCAGTCTCATCAGACCAACACAAAATTCATTTCTGCATAACTGCCATAATGTTCCAAAATATTTGTAAGGTTATAGCTGCATTGTGTACCATTTTAGTTAAGGATACATGATACAGTTACTCTTTAGCTTTCTGTGTGTAATATGTTACAGAGAGATAAACCCTTTTCCAAGGAGGGTATATTTCAGAAAGGGTAACTTTTGTTGAGCCATAACCTTAAGCAGGTTAGGAGAAAAAGGGGTGTGGAACAGCACAACTTATGTGTGTCCTGCATCTCAATGTGTTCACTGGTTTGAATGCAGTTTGACTGTGTTTGCCGGTGATAAAATTAACCTTTAAGAGGTGTAAATATTTCATCCACACTGGATGTATTGCAATGTTGTGCTGCTGCTGCTCTTTCATAGGGATGAAATTACAGTATATACAATCTACATGTTAGGCACATTTGCTATTGATTTGGTTTGGAGATTCTTGCATCGGTTTCAATGCTATCTTCATTTTCCTTGTATTGTTTAATAGCTGAGTTGTTGTGAATTGATAGTTGGAGTTCATAATTATTCTTCCCCAATATTTACTAAAATGAAAATATAGATACCACTCATTATTTTCTCCCATGCCAAGTACTTTTCCCTGAGAGGAGAAACAGGCAGAGATGTCAAATCCTTTGCCTAAGCCACACTTACATGAGTGAATGTCTCCGATGTCAATTCCTTTCTTCTCGCTAACTGGCATAAATTCTTAACCTGGATTTGTTCATACTTTTTTTAAAAAAAAGTGATATTAAACATTACAATCTTCCGTTATTACAAAAAGTACATTTAGATGTTTTCCTCTAGCATAAGCACTTTGACCTGCAGCTAGATCACTAATGTGACATTTATACTGCTTTCATGATGAATTGTTGCTGAAAGCACAATGAAAATTTGGGTTTAAAGGCATCGATTTGATTCCAAGCTCGGCTCACTTCAGGAAGTGATTCGACCCATCGCTGCAGCACATTGCAGCCAACTCCAAACAGATTTTAAACTTAAGCAAAAAAAAAATTATTTGTGTGATCCACTGAATGAATCATGCAGCAGTATAAATCCAGCAGAAATGTCTGTATACAGCAGGTGCTTTATTCTGGCCTTATTCTGTATACATCAGTGGTGCTAGTGATGTACCCCGTATGCTTTCGAATAATTCAAGATTATTATTCTTGTTTAGTGAGTTTAGTTAAGCATTTACACAAAGTGTATTTTTGGTTCTTAAAGACATGTTATTTTGTGCTTCTTCACTAAACAATTGATAGAAAGAAATCTTAAAATTGAAATAGAATAATGGATTTCATTTTACTTTCTACAAATACTTAATGGCATCCATTATGCCTCTGTAATACCAAATTTCTTTCCATTATGCTGCTGAGTGCACATAGAGATAACAGAATTAACCACAGAGTCCTACACAAAATATAACTGTGCATGAGATTGCCTGTTGAAATCTGCTTAATAACTTATAAACGTATAGCCATTTTAGTTTTATGATCACTGAAGGTTCGAAAATGTTATCGGATCAAGATACAGAAGAAAATGGAATGCAATTTATTCTTAAAACATTATTTCTAGCAAACATGTAGGTTTTATTTATTAAGTTTTATTTATTAAGTCAACACACGGAGAATGTATTCTTGAATCAGATGCACATATTTCTGGTTTCCTTAGTGTCCGTGTGCAATACCAGTAGCCTGCAAAGTGCCCATGTACTGGTAACTACAAATCCTTTTTTNCCTATTGATTTAAAATTCTGTATTCATTTATTGTGTTTCAGTTGCCTTGAATTTTATCAATGTTTTAAATTGCAACGCATGATGCAGTGTGCAGTTTTTAGTACTGTATGTAATTCAGAAAATTAAAAGTTGCAATTTTTATCTGGTTTCTTGAACTGTTTATTGATTCACTCTCGTCCCGTGTGAGTAATTTGAGTGGTGTATGTATGTGTTGGGAGGGTACGGGGGCTGAGTGGTAACGGATCCTGGAGAAAGCAACAATGCAAAGAGGCGTTTTATCACATGTACGGATTATTATTATCATATTCCGGGCGATGTTTAAATTGTTTCATTTTTGTACAGGCAGGCAAAGACCTTTTGTTGCGCTATATTGAATAAACAGTACTTTTATCTGATTATTGAATGTAACATATTTTGGAGCACTTGATATCTGACTGATGAATATGGTTAGGAGGTGAACTTACCCCAGGTTTGTAGAAATAGTTTTATATTTACTGGAACTACTCTAGCCCTTGATCTGAGTATTCAGGTCCCCAAATCTATCTTATCACGCAATGAGACAAAAAGCTAAGAAGTAAGTCTCTAAATGAGTTTGCATTTAAATTGTACAGAGAGTCACAAGAAATTACAGCTTAGAGGGAAGCAATCGGCTCATTGAGCTCATTGAACCTGAGCTGGTGCTGCCATACACTGCAGAAATTCCTAATTCCCTGATCTTTTCCCATATCCTCTTGTATTCTTTCTCTTCAAGTACCTATCCTTGTTAAATGTTATTCTGTTAGCTTCAATGACACTTGTGGCAAAGCATTCTTAGTTCTAATAATATTCCATGATTAACCCTTGGCTTGGTTCCATCCAGCATTCCCTCTTCGAATCAGCACAGAAATCATTTTACAGAGGATTTGTTCAAGTCATTCTGCAGCTATCCTGAATCTTCCAAGCAGATACTTATCCACTTCTGTTTTGAAGGATTTAAATGATACTGCATGAACTAATTTTATTGAGAACCTGTTCTACTAATAATAATCCTTGGTTTGATGAAGAGCTTATAACATCAAAGCATCGCAAAGTGCTTCACAGGGACTTGCTGTCAAATACAGTGATTATGTTTATAGCTAAATGGGGCAGCCTATTTTCACACAGCAATCTCCCACAGATAACCAGGAAATGAAAGACAAATGTATTGGGAGATTGTGAGCCAAGCCAGCAGGAGAAACTCCCATCTCTAGATTTACAGGCCAATGAAACTTTCAGAATTTAAAGTCTGATCCGAAGGACAGTACCTCTGAGATTGCATTCCTATCTTGACCTAGACTGTGAGCTCAAGTACTAATGTGGGGCTTGAACTTAGAATCTTTTGACTCATGCCTTTGCTGGCTCTTTATAAGAGCTATCCATTTAGTCCCACCTTTCCGCCCTCTCCCCATAAATGTTTATATCTGAAGTGCTTTGAGGCATCCTCCTAACGTGAAAGGCACTATATACCTGTAAATTGCTGCATATAAATTTTCTTTTTAAAATATTTATCCAATTTCCTTTTAAAAGCTATTATGGATTCTGCTTTAACTACCTTTTTGAATTCCCAGTGCGTTTGGAAAGGTAGATTATAAATCCTGTGTGTGGCAATGCACGACTCACTTATTGATCTTGAGCCTTATTCCGTTATGCAGAATTGAGCAATATACTCCAGGAGTATTACAAAAACCATATAGAAGGGGCAGTATGCTTTATTTCCCCCCAAATAACTTTTATTTCTTCATTCCTCCACAGTAGGAGAATCCAGCCACCCTCGGCTTCCTGCGGTCATGTTTGTGCTCTAAAACATGACTCATTTAGTGTTCGACAGCAGGTCCGATCACTAAAGCTTACATGATTCAATAAATATTGAATCTCCTATCAGCAGGCAGTCCTTTTAGACCATACCGTTCTCTGTACGTTGGCTGTACTGTAACCTTACAGTGTCATTGAATCAAATGAGCCCAAATAACTGGTTCCTTTTCATGCTGAGCTATGGGTCAAATTCCTGTCAGAGTTTATTAAAGTGTCTTTGAATAAGGGCTTTCTGTTACAATACAGCTTTCCTGGCAGGGCTATGGCTGAGCTTATTGGACAGATAATAGATGCCTTCATAGCTTAATGATTCTGATACTTGGAAAGTCTTCCATCAAAGAGAAAGCCAGCAGTAAGTTAAGAATGTCTAGAAGGATCATCTGTAGGAATGGATCATTATGACTGATCATTTCTCTCCCTTTGTAGCACACCTCATGGCGATTGTGATCCTGTCCGGAGGGAAGTGCAGTCTCTCTAAATGTATCTCTTGCTATCCAGTGGCCATGTCAGTGGCTGATCTGATGGTGGTTATTTTCCCCGGGATCCCCCACTAACACTTGCCTCTGGGGAACAATCACATAATATCCACATCAAACGCATTTTAGATCTGTAATTAAAATTACAGTTTGCATCAATTTAATGCAGTTTCTGCATCAAATTAAGGTAAACTGTGCTTTACAGATCCAGTGACAGACATTTCTCAGATGTAGTCTCCCATTTGTGCTAAGCAGTGTAACTTCAGACTGACTGGAGCCGATGCAAAACCAACTTTTAAACGGAATGGAATGTGCACTCTCTCCTTGGAGGGACTCGTCTTTACCTATTTTTCCAGAGAATAGTAGGCGCAGGTTGGCAAGATCCAAGGCTTGGGGACAACAACAAAAATTACATTTATAGAGCTCCTTTCACGTTGGGAGGATGTCCCAGAGCGCTGAACAGTCAGGTGTTGGGGCCCGAGCATGGGGGAGGGGTGGTATAGGGGTGAGGGAAGGCAGAGAGGTGGGAGGGCGACCAAAGCCACAGTCGAAGAGAAGGATCTTGAGACCTGTCTTGAAGGAGGCGAGGGAGGAAGCAAGGCCAAGGGACCGTGGGATGGAGTTCCAGAGTGTGGGGGTAGAGAGGCTGAAAGCCCGGCCACGAATGGTAGGGCAGGTCGTGCGGGAGACATGGAGCAGACCAGAGTCCGCTGAAACGGAGGGAGCGGGCAGGTTGGTAGGGAGTCAGCAGGTCAGAGAGGTAAGAGAGTCAAGGCCATGGATGGCCTTGAAAGTGAGGACGAGGTCTTAAACTTGATCCTCTGGGTGATGGGGAGCCTGGGGAGGGTGAGTGGGAGTCGGGCGAGGGTGGGAGTGATGGGGGCACGGAGCCTGGTGCGTGAGAGTACACGAGCTGCAGAGTTGTGAATGAGCTGCAGCTTGTGAAGGGAAGAGTTGGGAAGACCGATGAGGGGAGAGTTCCTGCAATCAAGGCTTGAGGTGACGAATGCGTGGGTGAGGGTTTGGGCAGCCTGAGGGGTGAGCCAGTGGCAGAGTTCTGGCAATGTTGCGGAGGTGGTGGTAGGCAGTGCCGGTCATGGCCCAGATGTGGGGGAGAAAGGACAGTTCAGGGTCAAACTTAGTGAGGTTGAGTGTGCAGCCGTGGAGGCTGATGCTGCCAGCGCCCTGAGGTGCAGAGGCGCTGGCGTGGGCCAATCAGGAGGGCCTCGGTCTTGCTGACCATGCTTTTGGTCATTATTTCCTCCCCCATTCAGCTCTCACCCTCCCACCCCGGCCCAGCCAGCTGCGTAAGAACATGAGACATCTTCCGGGCTTTAAAGGCACTATGTATATTGAATTGAGTCAGAAGGTTGTGTTTTCAAACACCATATTGTGACTTTGAACTCATATAGTCTAGGCTGACACTCCAATGCAGTGCTGGGGGAGGGAGCACTGCATTCTTTGAATGGGATATTTAAGCGCTCTGGGACTCTACGCATGAAGAGCGCTATATAAATGCAAATTGTTGTTGATGTTAAACTGAGGTCCTATGAATGCGCTAAGTGCTAATTGGAAAATCAGGTTGGTAAATACCATGACTGAATATCTTTTATTGCCTTGTTTCAACATGGCATAGACTGAGACATAAGAAGAGCTTTCCAGTCTATCCCCTTGTCTCATTGCATTGTTTTCACAGATTTTCCGATGGGCGCTCATAGAGCAACATAACCAGAAGACTGATTTTAAAATGGTTACTTCTCACATGTGGCTGCTCAGGGGACAAATAATTCCGTTGATTGGGATAGTAGCTGAAGATGATTATGTAAGGAATGCTTTGGTGGATGCAGAATGGGAAGACTAGGTGATTCTTGCTGAAGAAACAATTTAACAGATTGACCACTCTTTAACCTTCCTAAGGTCCAAAGTTCCACCTAGTCTTAGCCTGCAAGACTATTGTGTCTTAATCTTTCAGTATTATGGAACATTCTTAAACTGAGACCTGATGTGGAGCCAGGTCTTTTCAAGAACTGTAGAAAAACAGTTTTAACTTTGCCATGTTACAATATCTTACATTTATATATTGCCTTTAAGTAGGAACTCGGTTGTTAGTCGATTGGCGGATGGTTTTTTGGGGGCTTAATAATTCCTTAACAAAATAACAAACTGGTCACTTCAATTTACAACTATTTGTGGGACACTGCTGTGTGCAATTGGCTGCCGTGTTTTGTCCACAAAATATAGTCACTACACTTTACAGTATATTCTGTGAAGTGCTTTGAGATGTCTCGGAAGACGTGATAAGGCACTATATCAAATGTAAGGACTATTATTATATAGGTTAGGTCTGAGGCTTGGTGTCAAGCCACGCCGTTCTTAAGCGCCCCAAAACATTACCTGCGTGAAGGGCGCTGTATAATTGCTTGTTGTCCATAAATTGAAATGTTATGTTGAAATTAGCCTATGCTGTGCTTGGTTTGATCATTATATTACAGAGGATGTGTCCTGTCCCCAACCCCCCACCCCCATACTGTGGCTCGCATTACTGAGCATAACACTTTAAGATCACCACCATTAAAAATCAAATACCTGTAGTTTCAAAGTTATGCTCACTTTCAACATTGTGTTGATTTCTGCCCCACTTGTGTCAAGCTTGTTTTCAAATATTTTGGTTTAAACAGTGAATGCCATTTGGGAAATGGCAGGGAGGATTTACTGATCCAACTGTGTGAGAGCATCACCAGTGAACCAATTCTAAACCCAGGGGGCTTCATTAACGGTGCTATTCAAACTAAGTTAATTCAGCCTCTCACACTGCCAGCCTCAATAATCTCTCCAAGCTTCTACCCCTCACAAGGTCATTAGCACCCGGTGTTTAAACATTTTCTTTTCAAAAACAGAGAGACAAGTTTAATAAATAAGTTCGATGAAAACTGTTTGCAATATATGATTTTTGTAAAAGGTGATAACTATCTCTTTTGATTTTGGCATATGACCGCCAGTAAAGAAAGCATGAAGTAGACAAGGCATTAAATAGAGTGCAGTTTAAGAATAGCACAGTACGATAGCACAGGATAAAGCTAAATATAAACTCACAAGCGCAGTTTATAGCATTCTGTCACCTAATTTTCAATGAGCAGATATAGAGAAACGACTCTTTGGAGTATTGAAAGAGCCAAATCCATAGCATGTGGAAAAAACATCTTTATCTGAAATTCATGAGTTTAAGATAGCTGCATTACACAAAGTAATCGTTTTATGGTTAGTGTTTATCAACAAAGCGAGAACCAGACCAATACAAATCAGTGGCAAATTCTCAAGGAAAAGATAAGAAAAATTGTGAATGATGTTGATTTGAAATAAAACAGAAAATGCTGGCAGGCTACAGTAGGTCAAACAATATGTTGAGGAGAATAATAGATTAATCTTTCTGGTAAGACTTAACTCAAGGCATTTCATTTTCTATTAAATACAGTACAGATAAAGCTGCACCGATTTGGAGCTTTAATAAGTATCCACAGTTTTAGAAGATATTCAAAAGACTTGCTTCCTTGGTGTTTGATTTTGAAGACTACTGTATCGCTACTTTATATCCCGTTCAAGGTGTATGTAGTTTTTTTAAAAGTTTTTTTCGCCGCTGCTCTTAAACCTTTTATTTTGGTCGTGAGCTTGTTGTATTTTTATGGTTGTCAGACTCACCTTCTTGAACACTGGGCCAGTCACTGTAACATGGTGATGGTCCCCCAAATGTGGTACAGTATTATGCCTTTGCACAGCTCAGGAGAATAATAATAATCCTTGCATTTGATGTAGCGCTTTTCACGTCGGGAGGACGTCCCAAATTGCTTCACAGCACACTGTAAAGTGAATTGACTGTATATTTGTGGGCGAACGCGGCAGCCAATTGCGCACAGCAATGTCCCACAAACAGTCGGAGATTGAAAATGACCAATTTATTATTGTTTTTTTTTTGGAGGGAGAAGACCTCAAAGGTATCAATTGGAAGAGAAAAGAGCCTTGTTGGGACTGAGTTGGCTTCGATAAACCTCCATCCCTCCTATCCCTTCTTCTCTACCACTCTATTCCCTTCTCCCCGTTGTATGCATCGATTTCCTCTTAAAATACATTGATGCTTTTTTTTCTGGTTTCAGCCTGCCTCAATTGGTAGCATTCTCGCCTCTAAGTGAGACGGTTGTGGGTTCAAGCACCTAGGTAGGGACAAAAGAGCTATTGGCTCCCCCATACTGCTTGTAAATCCCCTCTATGGTTTGAGAATACCGTTTAAAGTACATTGGGTATGGTAATCTTTTTAAATTGATATTAAAGAGTTTCTGTACATTGGCAAACATTTATTTCAAATTAAATCTCAATAATTAAATAATAATAATTTGGTCACTCAACCCACAACTGTTTGTGGGACACCGCTGCGTGCAATTGGCTGCTGCGTTTCACCCACAAAATATCCAGTCAATTCACTTTACAGTATATTTCTGTGAAGTGCTTCGAGATGTTTTGAAGACATGATAATGCGCTATGTCAAATGCAAGGATTATTATTTATTTTTATGCTCTTTGTTTGAATGACAGCTTTCAGGAGCGAATTCCATATTCTTACCACTCTCTACATAAAGAAATTTCTCCTAAATTCCCTTTTATAACTGCTGGTAGCTAGTTATCTCATATTTATGTGGAACTCATATTATGTAGTTTGGTTTGGAGACTCTTAAGCAGGGTGATGGGTATCAGACACCCAGCTTACCAAAAAATACACTTGGTTGTACATCCTTTCCAGCCCCCACCCCTCCAACCCCACCAGGCAAGAACGATATGGAGCAACCAGATATAAATCATGTTTCCCACTCTGAATCGCTCTACTGCTGGAAGCAATGTCATCACTCCAAAAGCATAAAAGGAACATGGATTTTAATTGACAGACAGATCCAAACATCAAGGCAGCACTGACAGAGCTTGCAGTACAGTTGTTACTGTGGTGGAGATGAACTTTTAACTTTTAGAAATTTATTTTCACTTTTTATTTGCGCAGACAACCCAGAGGGTTTTTTTGATTGATCATATCAGCCATTTCATGGAACTTATTGATGTGGGTAGCAATGAGAGCATTTGCAACAGCTGCAACTGTTTTAAAAGTGGATACAGAATTCAGGCAGCAAAACTTATGGGGGGTAATTTAATAATGTGGATTTTGTCCAATTACAAAAATAAGCTAAAAACTACTTTCTCTTATCAAAGCAGTTTTGCTTTTATTATCAACCCATGTGATAATACTTTTGGAGCTGTTTACAATTTCAGTTTGAGTTCAGTAAAAGGCTCTACCGTTGTTCCTAAACTGGGTTAAGGTTTCACAGCCCATCTTTTCGTTGTCCACTTGCTGCTTGGGTTCTGTCTGCTTTTATTGATTAAATGCCACAATATAGAAAGTGCAATTTTCTGTAAGATTTCAAACACCTTAACAGAATATGCACAAACTGGGGTATGAAATACAAATTACATTTGTACAAGAACACAGTGCTGTCAGCTTGGCTTGACTCCATTACTCCATTGAAATAATGCAATCCAGTATAGGGGGAGGGTGAAAGTAAATTGAAGTATGTTTATGTGTTACATAATACAGTACAGTTGTACTGAAGCAAAGAAAAATAATCCACAAATGTAAACCACAAAAAAATGCAAAGATAAAACCCAGAGTTGCAGTTTATAGAAGCATATCTTTCCTGTAATTATCAACAATGAAAGCCAAATGCCAGATCCTTCACGATGATCCAGTTAGTTTCCATTTACTTTCTGCACTCTTGCACTGCAGAGATAATTTCTTGTACAATACTGTTTCTATTCTCCTTTGTAATCTGTAAAATAAACAATGTTACTGTTTAATTAATATTCAGTGTTATTGTCAAGGTCACATCAAAAGCTGGGGGGGGGGGGGGGGGGGAGTGGAAAGATAAAAAAAAATTGGTCATTCACATTGTGTGTGTGACATTGCTTTGAAGAAATAGTCACCACACTTTTTTTACAGAAAAATTCTGTGAAGCACTTTGAAATGTTTCAAATACCAAGGTTATTATTATAAGGAAAACAATGAATGAGAAAAGGCCATCAAATGTGTTTCATCCACAAGTCATGCATTGAATGATTAGCCTATCATTTCCAGCCCACCTCCATTGATCCCTAATTTAAAATTACAAGCCCAAACCCTAACAGGTTGGGTGGTCCAAGCTGGACAAGTCGTGGGAAGCCAGACAGTGCTCTCAATGACAAGCTGTACATTTTAGCTGGTTAAACTTCAACAGTAAATGCACACAGTGGGGTTCCCAGGCCTTTGCTCTTGACAATCTGCACCAAAATGTGATCTGGAATTAGGTAAGCACACGTATTCCCACAGGAAGAGTGCATTCCACTCCAGACACGGGGAAATTGTCATGTATAAATGGAATACATTACATGGAAAATCAGTCTAATTTGGATACTTACAATGGTCAAGTGTCAGACACCCAGCCGACCAACAAGATGGTCTTAATAACAATGTATCCTGAGACTTCGAGTCAACCTTGTTTACTCTTTCCTGAACTATTTTTAAAGCTTTCATGTCCCTTTTTCAGGGACTTGAACCACATAGGATATTCCAGAATTGACCTCGTCAGTGATCTATACAACATTAATGTAACTTGTTCTGACTTGTAATCTAATACTTTTCAAATGACGCCAAGCAATTGATTTCTTCATTCACAAACTTTCCACTGAATAGATACTTTTGGTGCCTGGTCAGTAAATCACATCCCCATGTCTCTAGTAGTAAATATTTGTTCATAGTAAGCAAGTTTACATTTCCTTTTCCTAAATGATTTACTGAACATTTATCCACATTAAAATTATTTGCCACTTCTCATCTTATTATCTTCCTGTTCTTGCTATTTCCCTGGTCACATAATGTTAGTTCGGCTAAGTTGGCTCTGTGGGCTGACACTCCAGTAGTGTTGGGGAAGTGTTGCAAGGTTAGAGGCAATACTCTTTGGATGGCATCTAGACATTAAACAATCTATGACACTTCGAAAAAGAAAGGCGTTTCTCCTGGTGTCCTAGCCAGCAATCCTCCAGGTAAAATTGGTTACTGAACTCCCGTCATTTGTGGGACACGACTGTGCATCTGGCTGCCATGCTTATCTATAAATATATTTAACAGTAATTACTGTAAATTGCTTTGAGAAGTTATAGGCACTATATCAACTGCAAGGATTATTACTATAGCTTGAGAAAAAATAATTTGATAACACTACTAACACTATTTTATTCACAAAATGTGTGAAAAGAAGAGGATTCAAAATAGATCATTGTGGAACTGCAAAGGTTACCAATTCCCAGACATAGTATTGGGTATTCATTACCACCTCTTATTGTGAGACCAATTTTCAAGAAAAGAAGAGCTAACATACTTTTTATTAAGTAAAACTCCTCATAATAATAATAGTCATAGGATTTGAAATAGAGCTTTATCACATTGGTGAGATGTCTCAAAAAGCACTTCACAGAATATATTGTAAAGTAAATTGCCTGTGATTTTTGTGGGCGGAATACAATATTCACAATTAGGAAAATGTTTATAAAAAAAGTATAGAATGATTTGTGTATTTAATGTCCACTCAAGTTTTAAATTGTCATAATCATGCTCTTACATTAAACATTCTTACATCACTTCTGGTTCTGATTTCTTCTACAAGTCCTAGGGGTTTTCCTCTAGGCACAGGAATGGTCCCGAGTATTGTTGAACCTGCTCCATCGAGGATTTGACGTATTGCCTGGATGAAGGGTTGGCTAAAGAGCTCCATTTTCCCAATCTCATCGATCACATATACCTTATTCCCAGTACTATCTCCAGCATCAATCTACAAGAGTTAAGAGGAGAAAGGGGGGGAAAAAAAGTATTACACTATTAACCTATTGATTTTTCTAATGGCATCAGTGGGTTCATATTTCTGGATAGCATTTTCTCAACTACCCAGATCATTAATTCTTTCTACTTAATATTGAATCTCCATAAATGGAGGAAGTCACACTTGTTAAATGGCATACGGTCTAGGGATACAGTTACAACAGATGGAAAGCACAAAGGATGAATGTATCTTTTGAGGTCATGAGATGGTACCTACATTTCTGAGAAGTGGCAAAGCCAGGAGTTCAAACGATGGAAGATCCACTACATACTGACCGACTCTGTATTCACGTCGAGCTCTGTTCACACCACCTGAATCATTACTAAAAACAGGAAAACATTTTGAAAAAAATAAATTTCAGACCTTACAAAAAGAATTTAATAGACTGGAGGAAAGAAAACCAATCGATACCTAGTTCTGGACAAAGTTCCTCGCTTACCAGACAAAGTAACAACATCGAATCCCACTCTTCGTCCACTTTGTCTGACTTCCTCTGTGTAAAATCCATCAATAGAAATCCCAGAAGATTTCAGCACATCCATAGCCTTGTGGATCAAAGTGGTTTTTCCAACACCTAGAAAAATACATAAAAAGCAAATTTCTTTCAGAGATGCGTGTAGATTTGTTGCATTAATTCGTTGTTAAACCAGTTTGATTGCACAAATGAATCATTTGCCATAGAAATGTAATCTCATTACCAGAAATCCTGTTAAGATAATACAATAAAATTTGCATACAACAACGACAACCGTCTCAGAGCACTTTACAGTAACGGATCCCGGGGCTGAGCCAGCGGGAGGGGGGAGAAGGTGACCAAAAGTGCGGTCGAAAAGGAAGGTCTTCAGCTGAGATCTGAAAATAGGAAGAGAGGGGTGCGAGGCAAAGGGAGTGAGGAACAACAACAACAACAACAGGATTCCATTTATAGAGCGCCTTTCACGTCGGGAGGACGTCCCAAGGCGCTGCACAGTTGGGTCAGGGGGGAAATGGTCAGGGTGAGGGAAGGGAGGGAGCGAGGAGGGGGTAGAGAGTCGAGAGGGGAGCTGAAGGCACGGTCAAAGAGAAAGGTCTTGAGACCGGCCTTGAAGGAGGAAAGGGAGGAAGCGGCGAAGGCACTGGGGATGGAGTTCCAGAGCCTCGGGGCTGAGAGGCTGAAGGCCCGGCCACCGATGGTAGGGCGGTTGGGGCGGGGGATGTGGAGCAGACCGGAGCCAGAGGAACGGAGGGTACGGGCAGGTAGGTAGGGGGATAGTAGGTCAGAGAGGTAGGAGGGAGCAAGGCCGTGAATGGCCTTGTAGGTGAGGATGAGGATCTTGAATTCGATCCTCTGGGGGATGGGGAGCCAGTGGAGGCGAGCGAGGGTGGGAGTGATGTGGTCGCGAAGCCTGGTGCGGGACAGTACACGAGCTGCAGAGTTCTGAATGACCTGCAGTGTGGAGGGAGGTGCCGGGAAGGCCGGCGAGGAGAGAGTTCCCATAGTCCAGCCTTGAGGTGATAAAGGCGTGGACCAGGGTTTCAGCAGCGTGAGGGGTGAGGTAGTGCCGTAGTCTGGCGATGTTCCGGAGGTGATGGAAGGCGGTGCCAGTTGTGGCGCGGATATGAGGGAGAAAGGACAGCTCAGGGTCGAACAGAACCCCGAGGTTCCTGACTGGCTTTGAGAGGTGGAGAGTGCAGCCTTGGATGCTGATGCTGTCAGCGCCTGAGGTGCGGAGGCGCTGACGTGAGCCAATCAGGAGGGCCTCAGTTTTTCGCACGTTGAGCTGAAGAAAGTTGTCTCTCGTCCAGGACTCGATGTCGGACAGGCAGCTGTCAGGACATCGGTGGTCGTGGAGTTGAGGGTAGAGGAGGAAAGGTAGAGTTGGGTGTCATCCGCATACATGTGGAAGTTAACCCCATGTCTGCGGATGATGTCACCGAGGGGGAGCATATAGAGGGTGAAGAGGAGGGGACCGAGGACAGAGCCCTGAGGGACACCGCACGAGACAGTGCGGGGGGTGGAGGAAAAACCATTTGTGGAGACAAAGTGAAGACGGTGGGAGAGGTACGACCTAAACCACTCAAGGACAGTGCCTTGAAGGTTGAGGTGGGAGGACAAGCGGTGGAGGAGGATAGCGTGGTCGACCGTATCGAATGCTGCCGATAGGTCGAGGAGGACGAGGAGGCAGAGGGAGCCCTGGTCACAGATGGTCAGGATATCATTGGTGACCTTGACCAGGGCAGTTTCTGTGCTATGGGCAGCACGGAAACCCGACTGAAGGGGTTCGAATAGTGAAGGGTGGAGAGGAAAGAGCGCAGCTGGGAGGCGACAACTCGTTCCAGGACCTTGGACAGGAAGGGGAGGTTGGAGATGGGCCGGTAGCTTGATAGCTGCGACGCATCAAGGGAGGGTTTTTTTAAGGTGGGAGTGATGGTGGCAGTTTTTAAGGGAATGGGAACAGAGCCAGAGGAGAGGGACAGGTTGACGATGTCTGTGATATGTGGGGCAAGGAGGTGGAGCTGGGAGATAAGGAGTGGAGTGGGGATGGGGTCAAGGGAGCAGGTGGTGGGTTTCAGGGATAGGATGAGTTTGGTGACAGAGGGTGGGGAAACGGGTACGAAAGTGTGTAGGGGAGGATGGGTAGGAGTCGGAGTGTGGGAGGGAGGGGGTGGGAGGTGGGTGGATGTTGGAGGGGAAGTGACCGCGGAGCGAATTCCCTTGATCTTGGATTCAAGGAAATCCAGCATCTCCTCGCAGTGAAGGTTGGAGGAGATGACCTGCGCGGGGTGGCGGGGGGGACGGAGGAGTTGGGATGTGGTAGAGAACAGTAGCCTGGGGTTGTCCTTCGCCTCCAGGATTATCCTGGAGTAGAAGGACGACTTGGCCGAGGCTAGAGTGGAGCGGTAGATTTTGAGGAGGTCCAGCCAGATTTGTCGGTGGACCGTTAGGCCAGATTTGACCCAGGTGCGTTCAGCGGCCCGCACCTGGCTCTTCAGTGAGCGGAGGTGGGTGGTGAACCAGGGGGAGGAGCGAGAGTAGGAGACAGTACGGGAGGTGATAGGGGCAAGAGTGTCAAGTGTGGAGGAGAGGGTGTTGTGGAGGAGGGTGAGAGCAGAAGAGGGGTCAGTGAGGGTTGAAGGCCAGAGGGAGAGGAGTTCAGAGGACTCCAAGGCAGCGGTTAGGGATTGTGGGGGTAACTTCTTCCAGGGGCGGTAGAAGATGGTGGTGGGTCTGGTGGAGGTGGGGAGGGGGGTGGAGGTGGTGAAGGAGATGAAGTGGTGGTCGGAGATGGCCTTGTCGGTGATAGTGACATCCGAGACACTGAGGCCCCGGGTGATCACCAAGTCGAGTGGGTGGCCGTGACTGTGAGTGGGGGAGTTGATGTGGAGGGAGAGGTTGAGCGAGGAGAGCAGGGAAGAGAAATCTGAGGAGATTGAGCAGGAGGGGGTGAAGTGCAGGTTAAAGTCGCCCAGGATGATGAGGCGATCAGAGCAGAGGCAGAGAGATGTGAGAAGTGTTGAGATATCAGAGATAAAGGTGGGAGAGGTTTTAGGGGGCCGGTAGAGGAGGAGGATTTTAAGTGAGAGGAAGGAGGGGTGGGAGAGGGTGAGGTGCTCAAAAGAGGGGAAAGAGCCAGAGGAGTAGGGGGATAGGGCAAGTGGTGTCCTTGAGATAAGGGCAACACCACCGCCACGGCGGTTGGGGCGAGGGATGTGGTGGGAGGTGTAGCCGGGTGGTGTGGCCTCCGTGAGGGGGAAGGTGTTGCCTGGGGTGAGCCAGGTTTCCAAGGAAGGGAGTTCCAGAGCCTCGGGGCGTAGTGGCTGAAGGCACGGCCGCTGAGGGTGGAGCGGAGGACTCAGGGGACGAGGAGGAGGCCAGACCCGGTGGAACGAAGGCAATGGGCATTGTTGTGAGGAGAGAGGAGGTCAGAGAGGTAGGGGGTTGCAGAGAAGTGGAGGGATTTGAAGACATACGTTAGAAATCGTTTAATCACCTAAATCGCACATCCATCCAAGTCCCATTCAGTTTCCTATCAAAACCATTTATGTGGATATATATGTATAATAGATTTCTTTGCACAAGCTGTATTTATCATCTCCTAATTCATAACGTTCTCTCCTCTACCCTCTATTATTCTCGTACTTATCGTCTGCATTGAACCATGGGATATGACATCCTGACTCGTTGATTGCATGCGGAAACTTCATTTCCCACGACTCAGTGTGATTCCAATGCTTGCCCGGTAAGTGTGCAGGCGGCAACAGGTCAAGACACACCGAATAACGGGAAACGTAGTTTTGACCCATCGGCGCGTGCACACTTACCAGCTGCAGTGATGAAGTGCCACGTGCGCACTTACCGGCTGCATGAATTACAACACTGAGTATTGATGAAATCCGATTTTATACGGTTTACACAAGTTTGCCTGCAACTCGGACTTTGCGTAAGTCATATTAAATGTTATAGTCCTGACTGATATAACTTGTGAGTTTTACCGTGCTATCTATGACTGTGGACTGTTTGACCATCGTATACTGTATTTTAGGCACTGAACAGTGCTGAGTGCTATTCTGAACTCGGAATGTTCCAAAGGAGCGGCATGAAATGTGGTGAGAAGTTGAAGTATAGTGCATGATTTTTTTATGCATGAACCATAAAATGTTGATTCCCACGTATCTGCTACCAGCTTTACTTTAGACCAGGATACACAAAGCTAGCAAGTACAGTGAGCTGGACAAATAGTTACAATGAAGAATGTAATACTGTCAGAATGTGTACGTTACACTGAGAAAAATCATGGTGCTTTTGTGCTTTGAAAATCATTACTGCTACTGTACTACCGAACCATTTTTTAAATGCAGAAATGTATGCATTATGTATAAAATATATGCTATTAACCATTGGTTAATATTCCCAGCTCAACCAACTGGTAAATGTTGTTTCCCCTCCATCTGCCCCTTTGCACGCAAACATACACACACACACTCTATTCTTCTGAGCAGAGCCCAACTGCAGTCAGTATCAGTGAGTCTTAAGTATTCATCATTCTTACAATAAATGGTACATTCCCCATATGGGGAAAGCAAGTATACCCTGCAAAACTGGATATTTTTATATATAAAATAGAATTGATATTACTATTTTCACTTGGAAAATAGCAATCGCACCCCTAGAAACAAGTACATTAATCCTATTTTCTTCATTAATACTCCACAAACTCGGGGCAGCTCTCCCACTGGATAACACAAAGGCAGTGCTGCTAAACTTCAAGTTCAATTTTAGAAACAGAAGGTACAAAATCAAGGGCACTAAGCAATATAGCCTGTATTTGGTAACACTGGAATCGTTAGTTCACATACCACATGATAATAATGGCCTTCCAGCACTTCATAAATAAAATGCACTTTGCCTTACCCCAACCATAGAGGGACCTTATTGAAAATAATTTATAAAAGGTTTACACAAGTTTTCTACATTGCACCCAAGTGCAGAGAGTTTTCATTAACTATGGAGAAAATTTCACTCCATTTATAAATGTAACATAAAATATCTGTATGCTATCAGATTGAGCAGTGGAGACACCAGGTCTGACCTGG